CTTTAAAGCAAATCCCAAAGAAATTTCAGGTTGCTGGCAAACTAACACAGACTGAAAGCGGAATGATAGCAAATAGTGTCACCTGTATTAGTGGAGCTCCTCTGGTCAAAATAAAGGGTTCATGTTGAAATGCACGTCTGGCCAACCAATTTTGCAGTTCCGCTGTGACCCCATGTATGAGTGAGTGTGCTGTCTTAGCCTAGGATACGCCTTGAGAGTTGAGAATGACCCAGTGTGAACATTCTAGCTTGTGCAGAACGAGCTCATAAATGCTTAGTCTGGCAAGCAATAAGGTAAGAGCCTTGCAAACCACCATAGTTATTCAATGAACGAATGATTATAACAGAGAACACCTGGCTTCCGCATAGTGTCTGTTGTCAATAATCAATATCGTGAATGGATGTTGAAAACTCTTCTTATGTATACCCGCATAAAATGGTGTGTCCAACATGTGCCCAAGCGCTCTCGGTATTGATCACGACCGGGTTCAAATAGATCATGCTTTGAGAGAGGCATGTAGAGCTTTAAATTTGCCACGGCTGCCAATGGTTGGGGTGAATGCTGAGCATTAGATTTTCAGGAATTGTTTTTATAATCATTACAAGGTACACCTCGTTACACTTTTTGGTGTGGTTCTACTTCTTAGTCAGACCGCATACACCGCTCATTGCTGAGAGGTTCTCTTCTACCTCTTTCAATGTTCTACCTCTTCCAATGTCCTCTGTCAGAGTCACTTGTGCCATTGCTGTTGTCAGATGTGGACCCCTCTACCTGTATTTTGCTCTCAGCGTCTGTAAGAAGGCTGTCTGTTTGCCATACAGCTGCAATGGCCTTTCAGTGGTGTTTTCATGTAAATGTGTTACGGCGGAAGTCGCTAATGGGCAATAGGTCCTAGTCGTACGGCATAGGGTGCTTGAGGCAAATCGCAGGTAGTCGGGAGGATGTCGCAAGTTCGCTTAGATGAAGCGGGTTTGGGTAAGGGATACGAATCCAAAAATATATGGATAAGGAAGGTGATCACTCGGTGTAAGGTACCGGATTTGTTCTAAGGTAAAACAATGAAGTGTAGATACTTAGCGACATCCTTGAGTTTGTAACCTCTCCGCAACACGTCTTGAAGATGTTGTAACAAGTCAGATAGGCATGTATTGAATGTGATATCGGAACTTGACCTATTACTATTACAGAGCGTCCTCTATCGAATTCGGTCAAGTTCCTCTAGCTATTTATACGGAGACAAGTAAGGAGAAGAGAGTGGCGAACGCTGAAAAATTCCAAGAACAATAGAAGGGCGAGAGATGGCAAAACTGAGAGAGCAAGATGGCGAACAAGCGGATCCTGTCGAGAGCAACCGGATTCGGTAGAGGAGGCGAGTTTGGGTTTGCATTTATCCCTAGGTACGTCGAGTAAGGTTGTCCCCGAGTAAGGTTGTCGTGTACCTCAAGGTCCTTGTACCCGTTTGTGATATGTACCGGGGATGTATTGTTGTTTTGGTGAATGGTAGAGGCGACCGAATCTGCTCCGAGGGAATCGGGTTTGCCTCGTCGAGCCGGACTTACGTGTATACTGATGTCCGTGGAACAAGTCCGTATGCCGCGGTAGTCGACTCATGTAATGTTCCCGTAATACTGAGGCAATGTGCACCGTAGATCACGCTTCAGGTGACACCTATAGTAATATCAAAATTGATGTTTAGCTTTGCCTCATCGACCTGTCTTACCCGCCTGTCCACAGAAGCCCCTGCCGGGCGTTACTACTTGGTCTCATGTATGCCAACAATGTTGTAGAAAAATCAATCAAATGCACTAAAATTGACTACTTGATGTACCTAGGCAATGTGATTGAAGTTGTGTACTAGTGATGATCTTACCTGTTGTGATACCAGCCTAATCTGATGGTGTAGTTGTTCCTTTGATAGTGTTGACTGATGCTATCTCTTGTGTGAATGACTATGTATCTGGTTGCTATGGTTGCTTGCATAAAAGTGAAAGGAGTACATCAGGGGGAAAGAGAAATCAGGCCATTTTGGCCTGCTATATATACTTTTCTGGGAAGGGGCAAAGGGTGGCAATGTCGAACAATATCGGTGTCCAATGTTCAAGAAATGTCAGAGTTCGGTGCTCGATAATTGAGATTTGTCAGACTTCAAAAGTCGAGATTGATCGGTGTTCGACAGTTGTCAGAATTTGGCACTCCATTTCAAATTCATTCCTTCTAGCATGTTCCATGCTTTTTGCTTCCACCTTGCTTCCTGTTTGCTTCCTGCTTCCAGTTGTTTACTTTGTGGTTGAGATTGCTTCCACATGTTGATGACTAATCATCACATGCTGATTTGCAACAAGTCAAGCTTTGAGCAAGATGGTTGAGAACAAACTCAGTGAAAATCTTCATGACAGGACTGCCTTCAGACTTGGAAAAGCTTGTCAAGCCATCAGCATTGAGCAAGGGGTCTCTGAAGGGGTCTCCATTGATGCAACAGATGACATCTGCGCTTCTGCCATTGTCAAACATATCGGGACGGGTTGGAAGTATGGAGATCTGGTTCTGGGTCAGCTGGAGCTCCAGTCAAGCCTGGTACATCAGCCCAAACCATTGTATCTACTTGTAAACTGAACATCTGCTGAGGGATTGGTAGGCAAGGTTTTGCTCTTTCAAAGTTGTCTTTTGTTGTGAAGTAGCAGCTAGATGCACCATGATTGACTATTTGACGTACCTAGGCAATAGTACTGTTGTTTCACTAGTGCTAATCTTGTCTTGTTATGAAGATGAATCAATGCAGCTCAAATGAAAGTGAAGTAGTGTATGAGAGCAGAGAGAGACCAGACCCACATGGCAAATGGCCCAATGCCAATATCTCTCCAAGAACAGGAAAATGGTGGCAAAAGGCTGCAGTCTGCAGTCTGCAATTTGCGGTTTGCAGTTTGTCATTTGTGATTAGTGGGGTGTGGCTTGTACTTTGTGGTTTGCATTCACAATTTGCAGGTTGCAAGCTGCAAGGTGGACATATTGTGATATGAGCCTAAGCTGCTGGTGTAGCTGTTCCTTTGATAGTTATAATCAATGCTATCTCTTGTGTGAGTGACTCATGTATCTGGTTGCTTATGTAAGAGTAAAGTAGACATGGGAGGGGAGAGAGAGATTAGACCCAAATGGTTTGCTTAGCATACTGCCACCGTGAGACGTGCCTTGTCTTGCTTGACATCTTCAAGGAGGGCACAGGCAAAGACATCTTCAAGGAGGGCACAGGCAAGACCCCTTATGGGCATCTGAGGGTCAAAACATAATGTCTCGTCCATGCTGTAGATAGCCTGTGGGTGATATTGCTCATCCTCAGTCTCCATCCTTTTCCTTTTGTTTCAACATTGTTTATGCTAATGGAGCCAGGTTCCAAATGTACTACGAAGTTTCTGAGACCATATCTGTGTATACACTCTAGCTTGTTCCACAGGCGAAAGTGATTATCGCTTGCGCTGTGCAGAAGCTTCCAAGCCAAACATTGAATTCATTAATCTGATTACTTCACCAACAAGGCTCTATGGATACTGATACAGTCTCACTACCAGATGTCCAGAGCAGGGAAGATTCTGTTGTACTATTTTTCAATAGAAAAGAAGCAAAAGCTTCTCAAATGCTTTGCCTGGCATACCATGCTAATCTGCAACATGGCTGAGGTTTAGGGAAACAACACAATAACTCTTTTTGGGGAGGAAGATAGAACATAGAAGGGGAGTATTACAAACAGGCTGTAAAGGTCAGCTATATATACTAGTTAAGAAAGGGAACATAGATCCAGTATCACAATGTGTAATCACGTTGCGTGTTCACATTGTGTGTCTATTTTGGCCTGCAGGGCAGAAGGGAAGGCACAGCACATTGTATGATGTACATTGTGCAGGGGACAATGTGAGTAACCCATTGTATGGGGTACAGTGTAGCCAGGTAGTGGTGTTGGTATGTGGAAAGTGGAGAGAAGTACATCGTACTTGGGACAATACATCAGGTACATTGCAGGTTGTATGTTGTAGGTGGTACAATGTGTGGAGGCCAAATTTGGGTCGGTTCAATGACAGACACTTTCCACCTGGCCCAGCCTTTTGCCACTACTAGGCTTGAAGCATAACACAAACTGCAAAACAGCCTCTTGACACCATTTGCCTCCTGAGAAGGTATATATAGCAGGCCATTTGGGTCTGATCTCTCCTTTTGCTCCCATGTACTACTTTACCTACATACAAGCAACATTTATTCCTCTTTACAACAGGGCAACCACCAATAGCAAATCAGCCTCAAGACATGATCAGAGACGTAATCACAGTTGACTGGTGAACAGTTCACAATCGGTCATTGGAAAAGTTATGACTCAACCCATTTTCCACCACTTTTGCCACCACTTTTGCCACCACTTTTGCCACCACTTTTGCCACCATTTGCCCCTTCCCAGAAAAGTATATATAGCAGGCCATTTGGGTCTGATTTCTCTTTCCCCTCTTATGTACTACTTTACTTTATGCAAGCAACCAGATACATAGTCATACACATAAGAGATAGCATTTATCAACACTATCAAAGGAACGACTATACTATCAGCTTAGGCTGATACCACAACATATTGCCTATCAGCAACCTCCGCCGTAACACTCAGGATCTTGTTTGGAGACTCTCTTGGAGACTTTTTACGAGGTGTTATTGTAGACGTCTAGCTAACACCTTGTAGTAGCTAGACATCTGTTAACACATTACTATGCCTACCATTATGTTTCCCCAGTCCCGCAACCTTGCTACCTCAAGAACCTGCAAGCCAGTTGCAGGGCTTTCATTGTCTGGGACGATATGTATAAGAAAATAAGAGAGGCAGGCTAATGTGTATCTGAGTGAGCTGACAAAGAAATGCATACAATGATAGAGTCTGGAAGCAGTACCAACAGGAAAAAAAATATTGGAGGTCTCCGTACAAAGTTTCAGTACAAGCACTTTGCTAGCACAACTTATCTTCAACTATTTCAATCATATTTGCATACCTCAATCTTCCAGGTACTCCTGATGGAACCTTTTTTTGCACCTGGTTTCCTCAAGGCATTAGTGATTGCAAACTCAGAACAGCCAATGAACGCGGCTATTTCCTTGAAAGTTGGCATGAAAAGCTTGTCAACAGGATTTCCATCTGTGCCTGGGAATTTGGCTTCATCTAGCTGCTTTATCATGTAGCGATTGTTTTCGGTTATTTTGGGTGTATCACACACCTCAACTTTCCAGGTGTTCCTTAGGATACCTTTTGTTTGACCTCTTTTCTTCAGAGCCTTTGCAATTGAAGTCTGAGTACAGCCAATCAATGCAGCTGCATCTTTGAGTGATTGCATGGCCAAGGTCTCAACAGCATTACCATCTGGGTCCAACAACATACCCCCATCTATCCGGCTTAGATTGCATCCCTTTCTGTTGCGACATCTAGAGATTTGGGGCACACCTTCCGCCCCTTTGGCAACTGAATCCATGTCCAATGCTTGGAAGCTGAAATCTTGATCATCAAGATTATACAACTCCAGGTCATCAGATGGAGTTACTTCCACAGACTTGGGCTTGTAAGGAGCCCCCAAGCTGTCGTCGTTTGGCGCCATGTCCCAATCAGGGGTTGGTATAGATGGATCAACGTTGAACTGGCATCCCTGCTGCTGCTCCCAGTCCAGAGAAGGTGCATGTACGAATGACTCAGTTTGTGTAGTGCGGATGTAGCCTAACAAGTGCTCTTGTCCAAAAGTTGAAGAGAACTGGGATCCCTCAAAAATTGGATTCTGGCTTGGCACTGTTGGATATTGGTTTTGAACTATCTCAACTGAATGTATTTCCTCAACCTTCCATCTGTCCAAAAGATTACCCTTCCCAGTTTTCTTTTTGAGAGCATATCTGACAGTATTATGATGACACCCAACAAATTCAGCTACCTCCTTGACAGATTGCATGAGTATTGTGTCAACAGGGTTCCCATTTCTGTCATAGAACTCAGTCCCATCGAGCTGTCTCAAACTGCATCTTTTTGCATTTGGACCATGTTTCACTTGCCAGTCCCGTAACTTCTGCTTGCGATCTGCTGAACATGGTCTGCCAACCTTGTTTGCCTTTTTCGGAAGCTGTCTACATTGTTGAGATCTGGCTGCTCCTCTTTTGTTAATTCTTTTGCCAAGTTGATCTCCTGTACTGGATCCATGGTGCATGTGACTTGTATCTGGTGCTGTTACACAAGACATCATTTGACTGAGGTCTGATTGAGTGCACCTGGATGAAGAATCCCTCAGGTAATCAGGAGTAGTCATTTCCGTGTATATAGACTCCTGAGGAATTCCCAAACCCTGGTCTTCAATCGTCCCTATTGAATTGTAAGCCATGCGTTGATTCTCCTCCACAAGCAGATACCATTCTGGCATGTCATCACCTGTGACCATTGTCTGGTCAGATCTTTGCAGCTCATGTGGTTGTATGTTAGATGACATCTTTCAGGTCAAGTAGAGATTGTGTTCATGAGCTATCAATGGTTTGGCACAGACAAGTGGACAGCAATGATGTTTGAGTAGTTATCTGTTTCCACAATGTCTGGCCCCTGGTATCCCCACCCACATGCACACCCCCTATATATGTAGATTGCTAGACTCAGCATTACTCCTGGGCTTCCTTTGTATGCTTCTCAAGACCCAGTGCCACCATAAAGGCAGGGGCACGATAGATGGAGAATCGTCACAGGGCGTAATCGAACGGCAACACGGGTCGTCGCGCATCTAGGCTACTGGCCCGGTTTGGTCGACACTCAACAAATCCGTCCAAAGAAAACAAAAGAAGAACGCGACTTTGGGTAGTCAACCTTCTATTGTTTGCCTGAACGAGCGACTAACCAGCGGCAGCCTTTTGTTTGCAAACAAAAGGAGCAAGTGCCAAGTCTGGCGAAGTCGGTAAATCATAGCAGATTTGGTGCGGATAACGCAAGTACGTAGTTAGCATATAATGGAGCGCAAACTGTAGAGAAGTCGTGTGAGTCTTTTCGACTTCCATAACGATTCAAGCACAGTTTTTACTCTTGACATACACCTATACCTTAGCTTACACTACGGAGACGTATTAGGAGAGGTTAGTTACACTATCACCGACAAACTCGCAATCGTTAGTACAGTGTCGCGACTTCACCCCAAACTCAACAAAGACCGTGAGACATTGTAGGCACGTGATATAACTTTGCTTGCATCTAGAAACCTGTGACTCGTCACGTAGTTGCAACGGAAAGTAAACATGCGGAAGCAACCCCTTAGACGATTTTCAAGGACGCCCGTAACAAGAATCAATACTAGACTTGTATTATGGGCAAATCTCATAAGCCACACTAGCAACCATTGACGGGTCTTGGTACAACCACGAGTCAGAACATTGGTGTGACCACCTGTCACCAAGTAATGATTGGATTTGAGGTAGTTGATACAGCAAAACCTCAGGCTTGTCCCCTTGCAATACAGAATGCGCTGTTATGGACGTCACATGACATGCCGGGCACGTTGTATGCACCTCCCATATGTTGTCCCTGCCGGGGGTACTTTTCAGGAATGTTGTTATGATGTAGAACTAGTACCCTTGCAATACCTCTACATCCGTTATTCTATTCAGATGTCTATCCATATGGGCCATACCTTGCCCCGTTCCTGTGTCCCGTCAGGGGCCGCTCATGAGCCTTACAAAACGTCCCATAAAGCCCTACAGGTCCCGCACCCATGCACTCTTGCCTCTTCATGACACCACCAGTCGGCCTGGCAAAGTATCCCAGGGGATCACCAAACGACAACACAGGTCGACGCGCATCTGGGCAGGGAGTCATTCATAATTGTGCTGCTTAGATCACCAATTTATAGGTGCAAGAAGCTAGTGACAATGTAACAATGAATGCCAGAATATTATGTGGAACTAGATCTGCATTATAGCAATAATCCTGAAGAGTACCTGACTAGGAGTCTCACCCAAAGGTTGCATATGGCGCATCCAATGCGTCACATGACATACATAACAGGATCGGGTCGAATCCTGAGACTCTGGGGCAAAGCCATGCCTGAGCGAAAGCTATCTTGACGGATTATCTGATGAACCGCATGCTGACAGATTTCTCCCCGAGACTGTAAAAGTAGCGCTTATATCTGCAGAGGGTTCCACTGGAGTCAGTATTGTGGATGGTGTTGAGCTACCAACTGTACGTATCTAACTTCAGTGCCCTAACAGGCAAGAAGATATGGAAGAGATTGGCTGCGGTTCGTTTGAAGCGGCACCATTTGCTCGAGGGATTCTTTTGCCAAATGCTACACCAAAGTACCACCAGCACCTTGCTTGATTCCCGCACGGCGAAACCCCATTTCGACTCATTTCTGAATCGGCTCGGGACCACTCGATCTAATCTTGCTACAAAGCTATCTATCGCTACGTCTCTATAGGTTTGTTTTACATTTCATACCACTATCGTTACTGAGCTTCTAAAGTTCATCTATATCTATCGGGCAGTAAAGATTGAAAAACGGAACATCGCAGAATTCCCACGTTGATGACATCTGCTTCTTGTATCGTATAGCGTCCGTCGTCCTCAAGTGGTCTTCTCGGTCTCGACCGCTTGATCCTATTGATGCAGCAAGGCGGAGGTTACATGGCGTCAACTGTCAAATCATGTGGGCTAAAAGCTTACCTTCTGCTTGAAGACAGAGTTGGTCAACCTCTCAAGTTCGGGTTGCACTTTCGACTGAGAAGCAGCGGTCGAAGAGTCATTAGCGTCGTGCTCGTCTAGTCTATCTGCACAATGCAGTACTGACCTGGACGTAGTGCAAGATCTCGGTAGCTTTCCCTTGCGCGGTCGATTCTTCCTTGCCTACGATGTCCTTGATGTCACCATACGCCGCGGTCAAAGCCTATCACCGCACCGCACAGATGTCTCAGCATCGATTCATTAGAACTAGCCGAAGTGTCGATCCTTACCTCTTTCGTGCTGGCTGGGATCTCGGCGTGTTGGGCGAGCTTGTGAAGCTGTTCAGCGATTCCGGTAGAGATGGAGTGAACTTGTCCACCAGCCGCTTGTCCGGTAGCGGCGAGTCGCTGAGATGATGCCGAATATAGGGATTAGTGCGCGAGTTCAGAGATGAAAGGAGAATAGACTTACGTCTTTGAGCTCATAGATCTGTTCGATGACTCGTTTGACGACCTCATTAGGAAGCAGATGCCCGACTCGCTGATTGCATCAAGACGAGATCACCTATTAGTCTCAAAGCTAATCGCTGCTGGATCGACATCCATGATCTCACCTGGTCGTAAATCCCTTTGGCGCTCGACACAATTTCGTTGGTAGTCGCTTTGAAGGCATCTAAGACGGCGCAATTTGCCAGGATGAGCATGAGTGGATGACCTTCGACCTATAAATGCCTCACAAGGGAATCGGGCTTCGACCATGTCCAGACTGCGGGAGCCAAATAGTCCAGGTATTAGCACTTTAATAAAAAGATAGGTACATGGATCATGCATGATTGAACTTCTTACCCTTGATTGGCCAATCCGTCGGCCTTTGCAATCAACGGTTGGGTCCGGTTGATGACCGGAGAAGCCATATCGAGCGACTCTGTACATATAGCCAGAGACTGAGTATCATGTCCACGTCCGCACGTCTGACAGGTCGTACTGACTGGCAGCGATTCCAGTAGCGGTCTGGTACAGAGAAGCGGTAAACTGGTTGGCCTTAATAACGGTCCTACACAGGAAGGGAGTTTGTTTGAGCTCCCGTCGCTCGTCGACATGCTTTACCGAACAATCGCTACTCACTCAAAGGTCACCAAGCCATCAGCAACCAGAGGAATATGAGCAACCCTATCGACAATCTTGAGGTCGGTCAGGGTCGAACCGTTGGTATCCTTGTTGACAGGCTCGTCCGCAGGCTTGGCGAGCTGGGTGGAATCTCCTTCGAATTCGGCAATCATCTTTGTGTGTCAAGTGGGATGTTAATGTGAGAGTTAAGGGGTTCGTTCCTGTGTGGCAATAACCAGTGTTGGATAGCTATGTTGTCTAGGCAAGAGTCAAAGGTTGTGTGGGATTAGAAGAGACGAAAGTCCTCTTTCCGCGCGCTAGGCGTGTAAGACGTCATGACCGAGTCGGATGCTTCCCGGAAGTAAAATGACTTATCACGGCATCCCATCTTTGCATCCGAGCGACCCCTCGACCTTGAGCGGCTGCGATGCTGAAGCTCGTATCAATCGCTTTGATCGCAGCTACTGTATCATGATCTTGTGAGTTAGCCTCGTAATCCAGTGGGAAAGGTACAGCTGCCTCCCGCCATACTATCACTAAAGGGGAGACGATCTGTACATGTCCCACATCATCGACATGCCCTCTACATCTTCATCAACGGCGCTGGGAGGTGGGTTCTGCCATCCAACCACTCGGTGTGATTCATTGTTGTCTTATACTCGCAACCTTCGACACAGCCGGTAACAAGTACTCGGTCATCCTCCCGACCTACAATGAGCGGAAAAATCTGCCGATCATCGTTTGGTTACTCGCCAAAACGTTTGACGAAAAGTGGGTACTGAACGCAACCTATAGTCGTCGTTTACTGTGCGGATTTTGAAATAACATCCCTTTCTCCCTTTCGCATTGCAGCAACCTGGATTGGGAGATTATCGTTGTGGACGACGCGTCGCCAGACGGAACCCAAGAAGTAGCAAAACAACTAGCGAACCTCTATGGAGACGACAAAGTCCTGCTCAGACCCAGAGCAGGCAAGCTCGGTCTGGGGTATGTTGTCGAACCCGTTCTGAAGCGTGCTCTGCGTCCAGGCTGACAGTTTTGTTCTGATAGTACTGCCTATGTCCACGGATTGGAGTTCTGTACAGGCAATTTCGTCATCATCATGGACGCCGATTTCAGTCATCACGTACGCCTCCCAACCAGACGACCGTTGTTCGCGATTATTTCCATTCAATCCAGCTGAGCAAACATCCCATTCTCGCAGCCCAAGTTCATACCCGAGTTCATCAAGTAAGCGCTCGCTTCCCATTCTTCAATGTCCGCTATTCGACCGCTTGTGTTAATTGTCGGTCACGTTTGACGCATAGACTACAGCACCTGCACAATCTGGACATCGTGACGGGCACACGTTACTCTGCCTCTATCCGACCGTCTCCGAAGGCAGCATCGAAGCCTCTGTCATCACAGCGAATCGGATTCGGAGCCGGAGGTGTCTATGGTTGGGACTTGAAGAGGAAGCTTGTCAGTCGCGGTGCCAACTTTTTGGCGGAAACCGTGTTGGGGCTCGGTGTTACCGATCTAACGGGTAGCTTCAGGTACGTTCGATTCGAGGCGGACGACTGGGTTTCTCCCAAATGTTGACCTCAGCGAAACGATTGCCAGGCTCTACCGACTCCCCGTATTGCGTCACATCATCTCGGTCACGCAATCCAAAGGATACGTGTTCCAGATGGAAATGATCGCACGTGCCAGATCGCTCGGATACAACATTGGGGAAGTTCCTATCACCTTCGTGGACAGGATCTATGGGGACAGCAAGCTCAGCGGGGGCGAGATTGTGCAGTACGGTAAAGGCGTCTTTGGGCTGTGGGCCAATATTTGAGGGGCTGCGAGCTTGTATATGGATTGATCCCACTAACGACATGACACGACTTATCCACCATGAAAACTGCGCGTTGTTGCCAGCAAAACATCCCAGCTCTATACTGAATCATCGGCTTGAAGCACCGAGGCTAAAATGGGCTCGCCCGTCTGTAAATGTCCCTCCTGACCCCCTCGCCCCTATGGCAGAGTCGTAAGGCCGATGGTACGCCCTCGAGAACATTGGTAGGTTGTTGAAGTGGTGGTACGTTGTTGGGTGAACATGAGTTTCAGAGCTTAGTATTTGTTGTTCATGTTATACTGGTTGTCCCGCAGTCAAACAACGGATTAGATATCGGACCCGCTGTCAAAAAGATTGTTTTTTGGTCAAAAAGATATCTATGCAACAAGGGTGAATCGAACACCGGTCAACTATCCTAAGTACCTCTGTTCAAGTCCTTGCGCGTCTTTGCACGCTAAAAAGTAGCTTCCGCGCGCATCCGCACTTACAACCATGTTAAGATGGAAGGCGGTTATTCTACCATTGAACCGTTATTGTAGCTGGTGATGTTGATTAGCTGAAATCTATCAATAACAATCCAAATGAATGGTCGAGAGAGTTCGCCACGGGGAGAGATCAAAAGATGTCACGACAAGAAATCTGTGCAGCTTGAACCACTACGAAGAAGCGTTTTCAAAAGCTAGAATCAGGAAGCCATGGCTTGGCTCGAGCATTGTTTACTTCATAGGGCTCAGGTCTGACGAGCTGCTCAGCTTGCATAAGTACACCCCTCTAGGGTCTTCACTCGCATATGAGGGGAACTGCTTTGGCAAGGCGAACACTTCTGCTGATATGCATAACATTTTACATTCCAACATTGTCATTTCAGTTTTGGAACAAGCAGGGAGTAATGGTTCATTATTAGAATAACCGCCTTCCATGTTTGAACCTGGTCAGCGTGTCACATACATTTTACCCTTTTTGCGCCCGTATTTTAATGTTTCTCAAACGACCTTTGTGCTTGGCCGCCGCCAGAGTCATGTTTCGGCGGACGTAGTCATGCTAGCTGATATGAACCTCTGGTCTTTAGTTTACATCAAACTATGCAGCCATTCGCTCTGCCTCATTCGGCTGCAAATAAGAAGGCTTCTCGGATGAGGCTCCGATTTCGCGAACTACAAGGACGATGTTGTACAAGTGCGTCGAGCGCGTGCGGATTATTATGCTACTGCCTTGGCTGCGCGAGCCATCCGCGAAGCGATGAGCTATTACCAGAAACCATCGATCATCAGCGCTAGCTGCGCGCTGTGTCAATCGAGAGCATGCAAAGGCGCTCACCAATTTGACGAGCTCGAAGATCCTGCGCTGAGCGACGAAAAGGAACGAAGCGGTCAAGACGGACTGGAGTAGCTTGGTCCCGATACCAGCATAGAGCCCTGTTTTGCAGCGAGAAAGGGCTCGGGTGAGCCGGACTGCGAGACATCGAGCATATAGACAGGTGACTCACCGCTCAGTCCTTCTTCGCGCAGGATCTGTAGGATGGCCTGTACGGAAGAACCGTATTGATGCGTGGCCGCTTGCTGCAAGAGGGACAGTCGTCGAGGCGATCAGCTCCAGATCGAGGAGCATGACCACAAAACAGGGACTTACCAGACGGCTCTTGACCACGATCTGCAGAAAAGACATATGATCAGCATCATCGCCGGGGACACGCACGACGACTTAGGGAGCAGACTGACATATGGGTAAGTCCCACCCGTGGCGATGGCCTTGGCAATAGCTCCGAGCCAAAAGACGTCGATATCCCTCAAGGGGGCTTTGACGCCCGTCTTCTTGGTCTGGTAGCGTTGATAGATTTGGACGAGCCGCTCGAAGGCGGTGTACTGCCAGTGTCAATGTCAATCAGATGAGATTTGAGTAGCGAGATGAGAGCCTTTCTGTTTCCTTCAGTACTGACTTGTAAGACCGGGTTGATCACCAGGACCAAGGCAGGTCCGATCCCGCGCCATAATGCCTGTGCAAACGTTCTACACGTTCAGCATGCACATAACCTCAGGGACGGCTACCTGTTTGATGCTCACGGTGATACCCTTCTCGCCGATGATCTCTTGTGCCGCTTGTAACATCCCTGGTTTCTTCTTGACCACCTTGCGCTCGCCCTGCACAGGGTCTTGCTGTGAGTGTGAAGGTGGAGGAACATCAGAAGATATTAGATACGACGAAATCTCATGCGGTAGACGTACCTCGACGACCCCTCGTGTGGCTTGATGCGTCTGGATCAACCAGATAGGGTTCGTCGTGATCGTCGTAGCCGCACCTAATCCCCAACGAGAAACTCAGTAACTCGTATCGAGCCTGAAATGAGAGACACGGCGACGTTGAATTTACCTGCGATGGTACTGGCCAGCATCATCTGCGCCGTCGAGGTGTTCTTGTTACCCGAACGACCGAGGATGATCCGTTTCGACTCCTCAACTACAGCATCGACCGCACAGACAACGTTCATCAAGACCAAGTCACGGGCACTCGATCGAATCCGAGTAGGAATGACTCACGGAAGAGGTAAAAGACCGTGTTGGTGACGACGATACCAGCGATACTGCTATCCAATCCGGCATAGAGTCCGGCTAGACCTTCCTTCTTGAGGATCTCCATGGCTGATTCGAGGGTGGACTGTAATACGTCGATGTGACGATTAAATCTTTCGAGGTCCGTATGCAGGGCTAGAGATGGCGCTCACGGCATTCGATTTTTTTGCTCGGACGGCTGATCGTGTGCTCAATACGATCAGAGGGCTAAAGGCGGAGAAGTGATGTAGCGTGCTGTATATCAGTTTCCTGATAGACCCAATTGATCGGGATCACAACCAGAACGGGGTCCTACTAGGTCAGAGTCATACTGACGGCGCCTCCAAGCCCTCCAGCTACTGCGGCAATGATCGAGTCGCTCATGTTGATGTTCTAGCGGAAATCTGATATGTAGAGGTATAACGCTACTGCTGATTGATTTGAGTGATTAGCATGAAGGGACGAAGTCATACGGATCGCTAATAACATGCTCTCTTATATCGTCGTTGACCCCTTTGCTCAACCTCTCCCCGGTTATTAGTCGACCTCCGGTCATCGTCTCTATCCCCCTTGTGCCCCGGCTTTCCCCGCATACACACGCATCTGCTTCCGGAGCTCTCGTCATCAATCTCGGCACCGACAGACGGAAGTAAATTGCTAGGAGCCAAGAGCTTGATCGTGCATCGGGTTCGCCATCTCCCACTCTGAAGCTCATCAGCCTGCACTCACTCCATCCATCCTTTCATCATCCTGCTCACCTCGTAGCCACTCCATTATCGAGTCATACAAACCACAACCTCGTAATATTCCTGACATCAACCACCGCAACATCCTCTCACCCCATCTCCTACCATGCAACTCGCTCGATTCTTCGTCGCCTTGGCGGTCCTCACCTTTGCCATGCTCGCCATGGCGGACAACGGGGTTCACAACGCAGAGGCCTTGGTCAAGAGGCAAAGCAGGTGCGTGTCGTCGGGGTCACCTCTTTCTAATTCCCAGACCCTGATTGCGGCACTTTCACAAGAAGAACGAGTTGGCACTGACGCACAACATTCTGATTCTATCCCCAGCGCCAGTACGTCTGCAGACCCAGCAACGACCACGACCCAAGGGATCGCCTATTCCCCCGGACCTCAAGTCGGACCTACCAGCTACGTCGCCCCCACCGGGGTTACCGGCGAGCCCGTCTCGCCTACCAACACCGGACCCGTTGGAGGGGCCATCAACTCGGCTTACAGGCAGAGGAGTCCTTTGGACGGCAAGGTCGTTGTTGGGTCGTTGAGCTTCGTAGGGGTTGTTGTTGGGGGCGCTTGGTTGGCGTTGGGGTTGTGAGCGGCGGGGACTTTCACTTTCATTCAGGTTAGTAGAGAGTTTTGCATAAAGGAGATTGAGCGAGCCATGCTTATTCCGTTCGATAGCTTTGCTATGGACCATCTCACAGTTACATAATGCATAATGCGTTCAGTCAAATTCCTCTTCTGCACGTCCGATCGATTAACATGTCACTCAATACTCCCACGCCTTTGTATCACCCGTATCCGCCGAAGATTTCCATCATATTGTTATCGCCTCAATCCTTCGTCTGTCGTCAGATGAAGTGGCGATCGACCTATTCTATGACGGTTTCTGTCTCGCATAGACCCAGAGCTCGTCGATCCATACTCTTTCGACAAAGAATTGCGATCGCACCTGAAGATGACCAGCAAGCCTCGCTTCAACGTTACAGACCGATAACGCTAGTCTAGTCTATAATCCGTCCGGACTCCTTCCTCCGTCGGAGCTTTCCAAAGAGACCCCTCCGGTGTTCTGGTCGAGGTCGAGATCGAGAGAACTTTGGGAATCGGCCTCGACTCTTTGGTTGACGGGGTTGTATCTTCTCAACGGTCAACAAGTCGACAGGACGAGGACGCTCGAGATTATAGAATCCATCTCGCCTACCGCTCCTCCCTGAGCTAGATTCGGCGGGACTCTGACTCCCATTCTCGCTCTCATGGCGTGATCCCACGCTGAACTCTTTCCCAGAACCCTCGGAATCTGTCACGCTCGACATGGAAGTCTCGGTGAAGTTCATGCTCGTCAAATCAGATTCCCCGAGTTCTGGCGGTCGAGCTCGCCTCTCTTTCCTCCTCGCAGCCCTCTGCGCCCACCAGTGCTGTAAATTCTCTCTACTCATAGTCTGCCTCGGACCGGGCCTTATGATACGGTGTGTAGGTTTGAGACGTGATAGGATGTCTCTTCGGCTCCAGCGCTTGGGCGCGGGAACTCCTTTCAGCGCTTTCAAGTCGAACGGCGCCTTTTTGACTTTGGCTGTGGAGGGCGACTGGGCGAGGACTGGGCTCTGTAACGCTTCGGAAGTACGCGCTGTCGTGGAACTGAGATCGAGATCGAAATTGAAGTCGGAGAGGGCATTGCGACTGTCTGACGCTTCTGCAGGACGCGGCATATCGAAACCGAAATTGAAACCGTGGAGCGAAGAGGATGGGGAGATTGGTGTTTCGCATATAGGCGTTGTTGCTTCAGGAGGAGCAGAATCGTGGATGCGCGCTGAAACGGTGGCGGGGTCTGCGCCTCCTGAGACCTCAGGATCCACCACGATCCCTAAATCGCTAACAGGGCTGGTAGTCTGGTCGTTAGACCAAAGAGAATCAGATCGGGCGGTGTCAATCGCGTTGACGGTCTCCAACTCGGAGGTCTTTCTCGTAGATCCAAGCTCACCTCGATCTCAAGATTTCTCTTTGTTCCGGTCAGCTCGTCCTGATTTGCCGCCGCTCCTGGGATGCGGCTCTTTGGCGCCTGTCTCTCTAGTTGTACAACGGCACTAATCGTGCCCACCTCCGATGAGGGACGAGGATAGATGTCCTCGAGGGATAAAACCGTCTTGGAGGTGCGCTTCGATGACATCGATCTTTCACTGCCTTGTCGCGAAAGAGACGAATGATCGCCCACGACGTCGTCTGTAGTTTTCCGCCTCAGGATATCGTCATATGCGTTCCCACTTTCGCTACCCAGCTCAGGAAGTTCGGTAATGGACTCTAAAGAGCTTGATGTCGCAGAGCGATAAGACCGTCTGGTTGCCGGTCCAGGTATACTCATTTCTGACGGGTCCAGGTCCGTTTCGAGGCACATGTCTATGGGCACAGGACATGATCGAGATGGTTTCACCGCAACACGCGCAGAAGAAGCATCGCTGACCACCGGAACGGCAACCTGTTGTGAGGGCAGTGTACTTCGGGAGCTAGCAACGCGCTCATCTCGCCACTTTGCCAACATCTTCTCGTATGCTCGCTCGCGGAGTGAGCTTAGAGGCAAAGCATCCTCGCCGAGCCGCTCGACATCTCCCTCAACCTCAGCACAACACGCTGACCAGTTGGCTTTGTAGAATGTTTCATGTTGGCTCTTGAAATCTGCGATGGCTTGCCTGACCTTAGCAAAGCTGAGCCTATCAGGCTGTCGCGCACCAACCGGATTCGAATCGATCGAGGTTCCACCAGTGCTGATCGTTTGGATGGAAGCGCAGTCCGAGCTTCGCTTCGAACTTTGACTTGAATTTGGAGCACTGCTAGTCATGATCCCTGGGTCGATAACAAGACTCCCATCGGACCCAAAGTTCTCTGCAGCAAAGCTATTGGCATTTGAAATTCCCCTTGCGTTTGCCGCCTTCCGTAGGCCTATCTGATCGACCAAGGTGACACCAGGATACGGGATGTCAGTCCGAGCTGTGGAGCCTGACGCAATCGTCCAAGGCAAGCTCGAGCTATAGTGCGAGTTTCCGATAGAGAGACTCGTCATATTGCGAGCCTGATAGCGCATTTGCGGTTCAAGAGAGTGGATGCCACGACATGACTCGCTACCACCTGATAGATGCCTTATCGTCCGGGGATTAAATTTCAGAGCGAGCATTCATACTGCAAAGTGAATATGCCTTGCAAAACATGTTTCAGTCACGCAAAGGAAGCCGTTCCCCCTGTGTATGAGCTCCGGCTTGACGCGTGATTCTGACGCGTGTATGAAACGCTCAAAACACAAGCGGAACCAATCTTGCTCGGTTCTCGATCAATGCGAGTATTATTGTGTATCATGACACTGGTGGATACAACCAATCTTTCATTGTAGCGGCTCGCCTGCAATACCAAAATGATTTTCCGTAAGCGGATATCCCATCTACCATTCTTGCACCGCGGTACTCACGTGAAGATGAAAGTTTATTTAGATGTATGTAAGCATCTATTCCCCGCACGACAACAATATTAGCGCAGTTCGAGGTCCTGAAGTATACAACACTGCGACTTACCAGTCCCGTAACCCTCCATCGAGATCAATCGCATATCACCTCCAAAGAACCGAGCGTACAGTCTCGAAAGCGGCAGACCGTATCCGAACCCGGCCATGGGCGCCTTGAAGTCGTTTTGCGCGACGGCCTCCATATCCTGTGTTTCTGACATTGTCGTGTACATGTACGTCCAGATTTGAGGCATCTGCAATACAACGCGACGAGGTGGTATCAGCTTTCCGGCTTGGGAAGAACCACCGGGTCGTGATTTTCCTCCTGCGACTCACGGCTGATCTTGGGATCCCACCCCCTTCGTCCGAGATCTTGATCGTCAAGTCTTCCTTGCCCTCCACCACGACCACCTTGATAGGCGGGAAATCGTCCTCGTTTTCCACCCCATGCCGCTCGACCACAGCTCGGAGCGAGTTTTTCAGCAGTTCAAAGAGAATATGTGCGCTGCGTGACCAGAGAAAAGTCAGACTCTAGCGATTTGGAATCCGGTCGGCCTAATCAACTAGACTCACAGATGTCCTGGTACATAGGGGAAATGTAGATCTCTCGGACACAGCAGCTGGATAGGCGGACCTTTGTAAAGCGCGTAATGTTCCTCGCAGACGAATCTTGCGTTCTCGATGGCCTCGTGACAGACGTCTTGTACGTTTGTTCTTGTGCAGATGATACCGACGTAGTCTAAAAATGAGCTCATGGTCAGAGAACGCCTGAATCACCTATTTATCGGATCGACCTACCAGGATGAGGTTGTAGCGTATTCAGCGCGATGTCTGCAAGACGATACCCGCGATGTGCTATCAGTATCAGATTATCAAGGTCTGTCTTAAAAGACCCGCTCACGTTGTCCAATCAAAAACCGTATCCCAATCCTAAATCCCCAAACCCCCCTGATCAGCCTTCCACGAAATCCCATCCCCCACTCAGCCCTACATTCGAGCGCCACTCACCGGCTCATATAAAACCTATCCAAGAACCCCTGTACGTCCCTCCCCATCACGTCCCCTCCAATCTTCTTCTTCCACTCCAACACCCCCTGAGCGATCGTCGTCACCGTGGGGTCGTGACGCTGTTTGATACGCTGTAAGAGTTGGGTGAATTTGTCGTTGTATTCGTGGACTTCTGGTGGATAGGCGAGGTGGGCGGGGGGAGGTGAAAAGTACCTGATAGTCATAGTGAGGCATAACGTAACGATCAGGTCGGGTCAGTCGTTTGGGGCGTGAGATCGATAAGGCCATCACAGGACAGTAAAGAGAAGAGGTGCAAGGCTTACCGTCGTTCGATAGGTATTCTCAGCTTGCTAGCGTTCCCATTCCCCATCCCCGTGTTCCCCGTCGACGATGTCGAGGACCATTTGGGGTCGGCAAGGTTGGGCGTGGATGAAGGAAAGTTGATCTGTTTGTTGCTGCTCGATATTTTTGTTTTTGTTTTATTTCGATTAGGGGTTTGCTCGGAGGATGATCTCGATAGTCACTGACCTCTTGGCTCCACCTGAGAGTAGTGATCTTAGCTCTCCATTCAAGCTCAGACTCCCAAGACCCGGGAACCTAGAATCGTCATCGAAACAAACACCTCGATCAGCATTCTGCCGACTCAAACCCACACCCCGTTTGATTTACCCCCCAAACTCGTCGGGGACTCAAGAAGAAACTCACTTGACCAACTCGTCAAACGACTCTGCATACCACCCCCTGACCAGCTTGACGTTCTCCATCTCGCTCAGCCCATCGGGGAGTTCTTGGAGGTCTCTTACTCGGTGTGAGAGGCGGATGGCGAGTTCTTCTCTGAGGAAGGCGGCTGGATGGGGCATAAGGATGAGGAAGAGGTGGAGAGCGAGGATGAGGAGGAGAGCAAGGAGGAGAGAATGATTTCCGGCAATCAGCGGGACGAAAGCGGGAGAGTCTTGTTACTGGTTAGGTCATAAGGACTTACCGGCATTGAGTAGAGTACCCTGGTTAGGGTGTTGTCCGAATTTAACGAGTTGCTAAAGGATTACAATTTACCCAAGAGGTGTGACGTCAGTCAATCTCGAACTCGAACTCGAAGACGACCTGTTGTTAGCTGTCGACTTACCTGCAAGCTAACCCCCGTCTGAGGGAACGAAGCATAATGGTGGATCTTGTCTACGAGCGAGTTGCTCATGACGAACCTCGACATGGTGAGATGTCTTTCACTTGACTCGATATAAACCGTCCGGGGTTGTCGTGCGATACGATACGGTGGTGTCGGGGGTCCGCGGTAGAAAGGGGTCGTCGCTTATCCGGGAGTCGAGAAGATGAAGCTGATACGGCGAGTCGATATGCGGGGTAGTCTCTGGCGAGTGCTAGCTACTGTAGGTTATTGATGTTGTGGATGACGAGGAGCTACCTATAGGCCTCTACCTAACTACACTTACGACTAGCTGCTCGGTAGAGAGAGTAGTCCCGATGATCCCGATGATGGTCACTCGCTCGTGGTCATCCCCTAAGTCCGAGGTCAAAGGGGAAGCGAGTCAACATCATCATCATCCTCTGCGCGCGCGAGCTATGGCTCGGCCGAAATATCAACAACTTCGAACGAAGTAAACGAAGTAACCGAGTCCAACCGGAGGACCGGGGGCTAGCTGCTACCAGCTACCAGCGATCAAGCTGCAAGCTGCATCAAGGTAGAACAGGTCATGACTTCCGTTCGCCTGATATATATAATTATAGAAAGCTACATATCTGAATCGACCGATATGCTGATTCTTGACCGGTGACATGGAGGTCTACCCGATCGTGACGTCGTGATCAAAGGGCAACGAAAACCCACCGATCCCCCCATGAACCGCATCCGTGATCCGTGACGCGAGACGTGTTTCACCCTATAAATAAGATTCCAAAAACGATTCGATCATGTTTCAGACCGGCGGAGGGGGTGATCGGTGCGACCAGACCTATGAATGATCTCGCTCATTGCTCAATAAGGCTTGACATTGTTGTTCTCCTTGTCTGTATGCAAAGACCAGAGGGTCTGGATGTTGGAAGTCAAAATACGGGATCGCGGCCCGGGTGCTTGCTTCATCGATTGTAATTGTTGCGAAGGGGCAAAGGAGGCCGGAAATCGTCCTTTGGACTAGTAAAAGTCAAAGCCAATGGGGTTGATCTCAAGGTCTCAAAGTACAGGGTGCGGATCTATCGAAGGAGAGATACCGGTACATTCATCTTGAACGGAGTACGCAGCTTTCCCCTCCCTGATCCACGAGTGATCAAGCCTGGGTGGTTCAAGACCTACAGTAGAAGCGGGAAAAGAGGCCGTGCGTCAAGCCTATAGCCACTACTGCACCTTTGTCAAGCAGAGAAAGAAGTTACAGATCAAACCGGCGTGTGATCTCTTTCAAGCATGCAATTGGCCCGTACTTCCCATACAGTCGACCACCGCTTCAAGCACCGGCGCTTCCTCAATTCACAGCCTTCCAGCAACATTCAACTCGAACTCGCTCTATTAATGATCATCAGAATCTCATAAGGGCAGTACTTCGTACTACAGTATAGACCACAGGCTAAACTAGCATATTGGCAGACGAGATCCGTTCTTGATACCCCTATCGCATCGCTCATCGCTATGTAAGTAGAATGCAGTGCGCCGAGCGGACTTCTCGTCTCAAAACACCTCCAAGGTTTTTAGTTTAACCTCATATCCGACTCCCGACCAGGGGTGAGAGAGGTGAGATATCTACAAGTTCTTCGCGCGGGGATTATCTGTTCGATGCCACTACACCGATCGGGATCCATGTTCAGATCGGTGCCTGTAACTCGACATGATAGTAAATACAGTATAATAATATCGAGTCTGATGATGACGAGGCGAAAGTCGCCGGCCCGCCGGACAAGTTCGTACATCGGTTTGTTGATGTATTTCGTCAGACGACAGAATGGAAGATCAGAGATCAGGAGAGCGAGTCGGACGACTACTGTAGGATGTTGTAGGATATGTTTTGGGAGTCCTCATCTTTGAAAGAGCTTTAGGAGGAATCATCCGCTTGTCGGAAAGGTTACGGTAAGGAGGACGTTCTTTGCGTTACAGCGCTTTTTGGGGAGGAGAAAACCTTTCTTGGTTGTCGATTGATCGCGATTGATGATACAGAGTCGGGCGAGGCGGGATATTCGAGTTTGGTTTTGATCGGAATATCGTGAAGGGAGACAATGGAGATGGGATGTGTAGGTTGGGGAAGTACTCGTGAGACAAGGTTGGTAGAATTCGAATGTTTGGGAGGGCTCACATTGCAGCGTTCCATGGGTTTGTGCATGGAAGACAGGCTAGAAACCTCCCGCCTTCCGATGTGAACCGGTGTGAAAGTGAAGGAGATCTTCTTTTCTCTCAATCGGAAAATCAACATGGGCTCACTCAAGTGAGTATCAATACGCCGATTCAGACAGCGAACAGACAGAGAACACCATCACAAATCAAACACTACCTCATCAGGCCCTGACAGAAGGTCATCGAGATCCCGCTCATCCACGCTTGTTTTATCACGGTCCTGTTGTACTGCGAGACCATCGCCGGGTTACCGAGCAGCAAGCTTCGCTGGCGCTGCCTTGCTGCCTTGCATCCTTGCCTTTCCGACCGTCGTCTCCCCTGTCTTTCTTCGTCGAATCTCTTTTTTGGCTCTTCCTTTTCGTGCAAAGCCTTCCGCCTCTGTGCCTAGCTTTGTGCCCATCGGAATGATGTAACATTTTCGAAGTTGTTCCTTGGGGTGGTTGGGCGAGAAGATATCTGATGGGATTGGGAGGTTCTTCGCGAAAGGTCCTTGTAAATTGTAAGGGTCAAACAGTAGTCGACTTGCTTACAGTGGCGATTGGATAACGGTGGCGGATGGCGCGCGGGACAAGACCCCCCGATCCCGCAGTGAGAATTGACAGAAGAGGAGGTCTAACTGATCGATTGCAGCCTTGCCGACTCTGGACCTGATCGCAGATATCATATTGGATTCGGGAACGCGAACCTAGCTGGCAAGCTCAGCTTTCGACCATTGAAAGTCGCCTTAAATCTGCACTGACTTTTGTGCGGGCCGCTTTGGTATCGGCGTCGACCAATGCACTGAGTTTTGGGGTATACACTACATGTATGAGCCTCCCAGCTATGCTGACAATGATGTACAGCCTTTTATTATTACTCTTGTGAGGATCTTTAGTTACCAATGCTTCTATTGAGCATCCTTTCTTGTTTACAGAAAAAGGCATATCGTCTCGATCTAAACCAGTCACTGACCTCCGAGCGCATTTGTCTTGAGATTATCGGCAACAACTTTGCCTGACACCTTCTTGATATATTTCTTCAAATCATTCGATTCCAATTCTCGGCTGTCTCTCCATGCGATCGTCATCCTTGCTGGTCGACCGTCAACATTGTCTAAGAGGAGGGGCATCGGCTCTCACATGGAGACTAGCGAAGTGAAGATGTATATCACGCACATCTCATATGTCTCCATCCGATACGGTGATCATTCGTTGTTGATTCTTGGTAGATACAATACCCTACGACTGGTCACATCTTTGTTATCAAGGGATCTTGGCAGAGCGATTCCGCTGCCTGGTCCTCGTGTCCGAGATGCCCCGCTCGATAGTTCCGGACGAGACATGAGGTCGAGATGCTCCGGAACGGTATAGGAGGATCAAAATCTCATCCAGATTATCGTGTTGCGTCGACTTCAGCCGTCTTCAAAAGACACGGTCTTGAATCACATATTCATCAATTCTGCGAATGAAGGCTCAGGTCCGCCGAATCTGACAGGGGGGACTTGACATGGCGCGCCGTCCAGAAACATACTACTCGTATATCTGAGCTCTCTCATCAGGCTCTCGGGTTTGAGCGGCAATGATATCTTCCATTGCGTGGCGATAAGATCTCGCGATGATGTTGGTAACGAAACCTGAAACGGGAACGACGCCCGATTCGAATATGCTCAACGCTTGAGGTGAGACTCTTCGTAAACCATATGTCGAGTGGATCACCGAGAGGTTGTTGTCAACATCGACTGTTAGCTGTTAGTCAGTTGTCATCTAGGCATCTATCCTGTCACTCCATAGATGTACGGTTCAAGAGCCTAGAAATTAGCAGCTAAGCGAATCGTGATCATTTCTAGGACCCCCGGAATCGACGGTCTGTAGGGGACGGCAGGCAGATTGCTGCAATCGCGCTGCATCGCGGGGGGATCGCTCCTTTCAGGTGGATCACACTCGTCTATAGACATCCACGTTGGAACTGCCCCGATCTAGTCACAGCGACATGGCTCAGGTCGCCATCCCGGCCCTTCCGAAACCTCTGATGAACGGACACTCTCATCATGTGGACCTGTCGACACCGGGACTGGACACCCCCCTCGACTCGCCCATGGCTACCGAAGCCAACACCCCGAACCTGATAAACGAGGCTGCTCAATACGTCAACCTTCCCAACAAGGTACAACCGCCGGAAAAGTTTCACCGGATCGATACGATACACTTGAAGAAGAAACTCTTTGAAGCTCTGGGGTCGAACGAGTCGGGAGAGAGCGAGCAGGCCAGGGTGTATTGGCAGCATTTGGGGCAGTTCGTCAGGGGTAAACTCAGAAGGGAAGAGTTTGTAGAGTTGATCGCCGAGGTGTTGGAGACGCAGTATCAAGGTGAGTTCTAAGCCAATGCTGCGATGTCAGGTATTATACCATCATCTGCTGACGGATAACCCTCATGACAGTGACACTGCATAACCACCTCCTCACGGCGATCCTGCACAACTCGGTTTCTACTCAACCTATCGCGACTACCCCTACCCTCCCCATCACCCCAAACGCCCAACAGCCTGACATCAGCAATGATCCTACTACTACACCCAAGAAAACCCGACCTGCCGGTGATATCGACCCGGAAGACACCTCCTCGACCCCATCCAAGAACAAACGACCCCGCAAAGCCGACCTCGAGCTCGACATCTCCCAAGTGCCCGACCTCTTGCCCAAACGTACTCGCGTCCGAGAATGGCTTGGAGGTCTGAACCGGGCCGAGCGGGACAGGTTGAAGCGACTAGGCGGGTCTGGAGGGTCGAACGGAGGAGGATCGGGAGGTGTACAAGAGAACGACCACAAGTCCAAGATCCCTGGGGAGATGCAGAGAGGGTATCAGGGAAGAGGGAGGTTGAGGCAGAACAGTAGGTCTTCGTCGGTCTTGTCGTCGACCGTCGCGCGAGCAGGTTTACGAACGCATCGTCCCCCTTCACCTACTACTATTACCTATGATGATCATCGTCGCGTCGACCCGGCACGCCCGACCCGCTCAGGCAAGCCGCTCCGGCCGAACGTCTTGTCGTCCCTCCACCCGTTAGCTCAGTCGACAGGGTACGTGCCCAGTCAGAGACAACTACGGGACCGGATTGTCGACTTGGCCAAGTTGAACGGGATGACCGAGGGAGTCGCCGAGGGAATGGACGATCTGCTGGGCGCTGCGTTGGATGTGAGTCGATCGAGGGCACGATGAGACAGTGTCATTCCAAATGTGTTGGATACTAATGGCTATCTCTTGCCTTGCCTTTGTAGACGCATCTGGACAGCTTGTTCTGTGCCGCCCTCGAGGTCAAGGTGCAAAAGGGCAAAGCCGATGACCACAACACGACGTCGGAAGATGACAATAATGCAATGGACGTGGACGGCCCGACCGACATCGGCATGAAACCCAGCGCACCCACACTCTCGCTCCCACCTCCCCATCCCTCTTCGCCACGTGCTGCCGGAATCAACATCCTAAAGCAAGATCCCACGTACGAGCTGTCCCACCCGGACCCCATCCACCTCGAACTCCAAGACTTTCATTCGCTCTTCACCCTGGCCCCTCAGATCCATCCTCACCTCGGTAGCGCGGTCTGGCAGTTGCAGAACGGGATCGCACTCAGGGAAGAACAGCTGGAGGAAGAATCCGAGCGGATGAATGCGTCTTGGAAGGCTTGGGCGGAGGAGAAGCAAGAGACGGATCGGTCGTTGGAGATGTTGTTTCAAGGGCAGATGGTCGCTGCGAATTTACAGTCGGCCTTGTCGGGTGGGGTCATACGGAACGCTCAGGCCGGGCCGGGACCGAGGTCTACGGCGGCGGCCATGTCTGCCGTTGAAGCTGACAAGTCCAAGACTGATGGTCAAGGTCAAGGTCAAGGTCGGGACACCCCTGGGCCGTCCGTACCTTCCACTCCGGTACCCAACCAGGCGGCACCTAATGGACTCCCGAACGGCTCGTCCGCCATGCCGAACGGTGGAGGTCCAGGTACAGAATCAACCGCTCGACCTGGCGCTCCCGACCGTCCTCTACCATCCGACTTGGAGAGGATCCAACTCCGCCCCCACGCCCAACCTGGGCCTGGGGGGATCATCTTACGTCCCAGTCGAACGCTAGGTCTTCATCTAGGAGGTATTTCCGGAACGAATCCTTTGACAGCTAGCGGGACCGGGTCCCTCTTCAACTCGAACTCCAAGGACTATGAGGGGTACGCAACGGGGTCGAACAGGAAGGAGATGATACTTCGCGAGTTGGAAGCGAGGAAGTTATACAAGGTCGTAGATGGGCGACCTGTACCGGTACCGATGGGAGGGGTCGGGGGGATGCCTCCTTCGATGGGGATTCCGATGCAGATGCAGGCTGGTGGGATGGGGATGCCAGGAGGTCAAGGAGGAGGTCCAGGACAGGCACCAATGGGACATGCCTCTGCTGTACCACAGGATGACGCCACCGGGACCGGACCCGGACCCTCAGCAGGCCTGGCACCTGGGTCTACGGCTACCGGCTTGCCAGCGTTACCGTTACCGCTGCACGGACCTAATTATTGGCCGTACGTGGATCCGGCTTCGATCTTCAAGGATATCTTGGGATGAGAGGATGGGCAGTTGAAGTAAACCATGTCATATGGTGCATGGTGGTTGTAAGCGTGTTGTAGACGTGTTTGTCGGTGGTAGATTTACATGTACATGTTCGATGTGCGAATGTGCAAAATGTGCAAGTGTGACGTGTTTGTGTGTGAAACGCGAGGGACAAAGAGCTCCAAGGGTCGTCGTCCAAAGCTTGTACCTTCTTGTTCACCTACTACTCTTTACATGTCGAGACTACTGTCTATTGAATCATCAAGACGACAAACTTGTATCTCTCAGCCTCAACGTACACTGCTGGACCAGAACTTGACTTGTCCGAGATCGACCGACGTCCTGCCAGCAAACATCACGACAGCACGACCTCTACTTGCCGCTCGTGACACGACAGCACACGATCATCATCACTTCCTCTCAAATACGATCAACGTAACATATATACATCGAATCGATATCGTCCTGAACTCCTCTTTACCTAGTTTGATCCATACGACCACCAACGACACTCACCAACCATCATGGCCTACCAATCCAACCCAGAACCGTCGTCTGAACACTCGGCCTCGTCCCTCAACGCCAACGGTTTCAACGGCATGAACCGGAACATGAACAATACTTCCCCCGCACCCCCTGTCCCTGGGCTCAACCTCTCGTCTACCCACGCTGCAGCTCTGCAGCCGGGGAGCATGATCAACCCGGGTATGCCTAGTGGTGTGTCGACCCCCATCGGAACGGGGGGGAATCAAGCGGGAGGGTATATGGGAGCGAAAGGACAGGCTCCACCTCCTCCTAGTCCTGGGAGAGCTGCGGCGGAACAACTCGCTGGGATGTCCCTCTCCGACTCCGGTTCTAGGGAGATGTCTTCTTCCTCTTCCTCGTCCACCCCGACACCCAACAACAATAAAGGACCGGATTACGTCTACTTCCAAAGAAACCCTTCACAGTACCCCACGCATGTTACCCAGAAATCCACGGCTACGAAGATGCGTATGGAATTGTATTACAAACAAGCCGTCGAGGGTGTCGTACAGCGAAAGGAAAGACGGGTCGCTTTGGAGAAGAATCTGATGAGCGAAGGAGGGAGGGGGATGGAGGATTGGCAAAAGGCGAAACAGCTCCAAGGGCTGGGAAGGAGGGAGACCAAGTGAGTTGTTAAAATAGAATGACTCTTTTCATTTTCATTTTTCATCTCGAGATTCTGATGTGGATCGTCTGATGGGGTTTGGTGGTAGTTACCTCCGATTGCGTCGGACCAAGATCGGGCTGGGCGATTTCAAGACGGTCAAGGTCATCGGAAAAGGAGCTTTCGGGGAGGTGAGTTCGCGGTGGTCCTCCTATTGAGACTCCCGCTCACTCGACCGTTAGCTGATCATGTTATATTATTTCGATCGCTTTGCTTTGCTTGGCAGGTCCGGTTGTGTCAAAAGACCGATACCGGCAAGATCTACGCTATGAAGACGTTGATGAAGAACGAAATGTTCAAGAAGGATCAGGTGAGGCCTTGGTCGAGACTGGGAGTTTGGTGGCACGCACAAACTGGGGTCTGATCACGATGGATTTCGCCTCATCGCATTATAGCTCGCCCACGTCAGAGCCGAACGAGATGTCCTCGCCGAGTCCAACTCGCCCTGGGTCGTACAACTCTACTACTCGTTCCAGGACTCTGATTATCTGTACTTGGTCATGGAGTTCTTGCCCGGAGGTGATCTGATGACGATGTGAGTCATTTCATCTTGTCGTCGTCGCTGGGAACTCGCAATGGTCTGATTCACTGACCGGGTGGAAGTCTTGTAGGTTGATCAAGTACGACACGTTTTCGGAAGACGTTACCAAGTTTTACATGGCCGAGTGTATCCTGGCGATCGAGGCCGTTCACAAGCTGGGCTTTATCCATCGGTGCGTGATTGTACAAGGCGGCCATTCTCGAGCGATCGGGCTGATTTGACGAACTCGTCACCCGCGCAGTGATATCAAACCCGACAACATCCTGATCGACGGACAAGGTCACGTCAAGCTCTCCGACTTTGGTCTCTCCACCGGGTTCCACAAGCAGCACGACTCTTCCTACTACCAAAAGTTGCTTGGGGGCGGGAACGGCTCCGAGAACAATTCGCCCAACCTCGATGCCGGCCAGGGCAGGTCGTCGGGTGCGGGCGCGAGGAACAGCGTCATGGTCAATGCCATCAATCTGCAGATGACTTCCAAGGGGGATATCGCTACGTGGAAGGCCAACAGGAGAAAGTTGGCCTATTCAACCGTAGGGACTCCCGATTATGTGAGTCGGCGGCGATTCTCGTATACTCTCCCCATCGTTCTCAGTCGCTCATTGCGTTCGCTCTTGATGTCTTTAGATCTCCCCCGAGATCTTTTTGCAGAAAGGTTACGGAAAGGAGTGTGATTGGTGGTCCCTGGGAGCGATCATGTACGAGTGTCTCGTCGGTAAGTCGTGATTGGTAAAAATATCCATGGTCGTCAAAGTCAGCCTGGCTGATCATGATATCGTCCTACAGGCTACCCGCCGTTCTGCTCGGAGAGTCCTCATCAGACCTACCAGAAGATCATCAAGTGGGAAGATTACCTGCAGATCCCTAATGACGTTCACCTCAGCCGTGAGGCAGAGGGTATGATTCGGGGGTAAGTCGTGCCCGGTGCGTCAATCGGAAGGAAATCGTGGGCTAATATCGCCACCGGACAGACTTTTGAGCCACGCGGACACTCGTCTGAACATCGACCAGATCAAGGCTCACCCCTTCTTTTACGGTGTCGACTGGAACACCATCCGGAACATCGACGCCCCCTTCGTACCTCATCTCAGGTCGATGACCGATACGTCCTACTTCCCTACCGAAGACTTGGACCAGGTGCCCGACCTCCCGGCTCCCAGAGAGCCCGGGAACGGTGCTGCCAAAGACCTGGCCTTTTTGGGTTATACGTGAGTGTCAAAGAAGCTTTTGCCCTTCACAGCCTAATACTGAGTCGAGTCCTCCTTGATCAGCTTCCGCCGATACGAGATGCTTTGAGCGAGTGTGTGGCTCACGAAACCGGATTCCGCATGATGCGACGACGTCTTGACGAATGATGATAGCCTTTTTTCCCAATGTATCCCCGATCCACGCTTTTCCTCTCTATCGAAACGAATTTCATTTTGCCTTCTAAAGGACGTGGTGCGAGTCGCTCGTAGGCTGATCGACTGAGATTATGGCTCTCGTCTGATGTTATCGCGACTCGGTCTCGCTGGGTTCTGTGTTCACTGTTTCGGATCGTACTACTTGAGACCATGGGGTATGAGCTCGATCGTGTATTGCTAGGCCGCGCGTTCCGTTCGAGTCCGTTTGAGCGTGCAGACGTACCTGTACCTTCTCATTCTAGGATACCCAATTGCATGGCTGGTTGAACAGACGTCAAAGGTGTGGTTGCTGCCATTGTATTTGCCAGGTACTCTGATAACCAAACCGCCAGCATCGTCCTTGATGATCATACAGTTGCCCCAGGGAAGAAGGACCGGACAACAAAGTTTGTCATCGTGATCATGGTCGACGTCACTGGGTCTGGCAGTCAATTCCGACACTTCTGCTTCAGTGATGTTCAATCCTGGAAGCAGAGACGCAAGCGCTGGGAAGAGTTGAAATTGCGAGGCGCCAAATCAACCAGAGTTCACGAAACTGAGAAGAAGTGACCAGAATGAAGTTGGACACAAACTAATTTGAACAGAGACCACGACCATGAAGATAGAAAGGAATTTACGAGGATGGAAGAGTCAGTCAGAAGGATCGAATGAATAGTGGGCAATTTGGCCTGCTGCGAAGCCCACGTGTTTGTAATGCGCCGAGGCAGCGGACGGGGCAGGTAGGTGGAAGCTTGTCTCTCAAGCACGGGTTGGTTAGGGGAGGCCAGCAAACTATCTGAGCTCAGTGCACACAGCCCCATGAGTGAGAGCCAAGTCTGTAGGCAGAGACAGGGTTTGGTCCTGCTGGTGAGAGTGAGCTTCCCGCTTGACACATGTCCGGGTCAAAGATGCGTCTTTGGAACGGACTGAAAGTTCCCGTCGAATACATTTATATCTGTACAACCTAGTGTGATTGTCACTCTTATACTCTATACAACGGTTCTAATCGATACAATTATAGCCGAGCGACATGTACATGATCTTGATACCCTCATGGCGAGTGATCGCTGCGCCCGTCCGAGTCGAGCCAGGCCAGAGCTTCGAACATGTCCATGGTCTCGAGATCCGGTTTCGGTGATTGTAAACCTGGAGATTCTAGCATCTCTTTTGCGTCTATCGGTTCCCGAACATCCAGCGTTTGCTGGCATTGTACGTCGAGCTTCCTTTGCTTGCCCCTCTTCATGCTCTGAATCTTGCGTGCTGGCCAGCACAAAGCGGATTTCCAAGCGAGCAAAACATCCTCCTGCGATAGGTTTGGTATGCTTGTGAGACACTGACCGCCTTTATGTATCTTTACAGACATCGCGACCGAGACTTACCTGAGATCCAAAGCAGATAAGGACAGCTGGCGCGAGAGATGCGTTGACTAGATCAGGTAACGAGGAATTGGCCGCAGACTTATCCTGTTCGTTGAAACCAAGAAACCGATGGTTATGATTTGGTAGCCTGCAACAGGCGCGACTGAACTGACCACAAGGATGTAGATTGACACTCTGTCAAGTGGAGCGATTGTAGATTATTTTAGCGCTGAAATCGCTGTCTGCGTTCCATGTCGCCGACTCACGCTGCCAGAAGTCTGACGAACGAGCATAACAGCGATCAGCTTCCTGCATATGTGCGGTTCTCGAAGCGGATCGTACTCACAAAGTGTACATCCCGAACCACAATATCCGCAAGGTCAACGGCAGGTTGATCTTTTTCAACCTGTTCTGAGCGTTGATACGGTCGATGCCGTCTTCCGGCGTGATATCGCCCGGACCAGTGTCGTAGCTAGGGATGCTCATCGCATTCCGATATGACATTTCGCGAGTCTCTGCGGCGCTCCTTCGGATCTCTGTATAGTGTCTGAAAACGATCCAGGCCAGATGGACTGTAGCGACGTTGTCAAGGCAGGAAATTTGAGCGCTTGCGCGAATGACTTGGTTGGGGAGCTCGTTTGATCTCACTGACTTTCTAGGAGGATGATGATGGCTGCACCAGCAGCTGACGTATAATGATGGCTGTCGACTCTGCGAGACCATGATTCGATCGTCAATCTCAAGTCGGGCCGGCACGAATTAGATAGGTGAGCATGTCACTTACGCGATGTCATCCGTTGCATAGCAGTACAATACGGTAGGCTTGATGACGGATGGGTCCCGCAGACCAAGCTGTAACAGCAATCATGACAGATTGAGCAGCTACTCCTAAGAGGCTGCGCATCGAACGACTGACCACCAGTGTCATGGCTATGTAACCTATCCAAGAGAGCCATGGGGAGAGGAATAGCTATCACAGCGTCGCCGGAAAAGGTCAGCGTGGCAGGTCGATGTTAGACGGAAGCGCCAGGTAGACACTTACAGTCCAGCCGATCCAAGCGTTATCGAGAAAGGCGAGCTTCTGGGTGTCCAGGCTCGCGGCTGTGACCCATACCTTGAACAGACAAACATGCCCAACGTCAGACAGGATTCGACGTATAAAGACTCCCATCGATGGTATAGTCACCTTGATGACCAAGCCCAAAGCGCTAAAGGCCTGAGCTGTCGAATTCCCCGTCACCAGGGCGGCCTGGAATAGGCAAAGCTTGAAGCCTGGCGGATCTGGGTTCTCTACGTCGACGAATCCGTGCGTAAACCAGGTGATACAGTGGACGATGCCGGCGACCACGAGGACGACGAAAAAGTTGTAGAGCGATTTATCCCTCTGTATCGATTTGGTGAAATAGATGGTCAGGATGAGGATCGGCAAGCTGATTATCCCAGCGAGTTCGAGACCGAAGTAGGCCTTGACATCGGCGGACTTGTAGACCCAGGGTGCCGGCTCTCTGAGGTGATAAGGATCGTACGGATCCCGACGATCCAGCACCATCCTCGTCGGGATCGTGATCACCAATAAACCTTGATCGGAGAATTTGTCCTTCAAGTCGCGCCAGAGAGGAACGACCTTGTTTGTCCCAGAGATTTCCGGTGTCTTCGTCTATAGATGGCGCGTTGGAATCTTGCGTGTATGATCGACTACCGAGCAGAGTGAGGGTATCTGAATATCGGGTCGCTTGCATGCCATGATATCCTCCTCATGTATACGTGCTACGAGGTGCTCGACTTCCTATCGACCCGCTGCTTCAACCACCACCACCACCCGAAGAGCACGACATGCGCCCTTCCAAGGAGAAAGGGTTCAATCGTGCCGGCGAGTGCGCGACTGGGCGACTGGAAATGGATTGCAGAGAGAAGGATAGACCCGTTGCAAGGGGGGTGGGGGATGGAAGAGGATCCGGAATTCCATCCGTCCCGGTCTACGTTTCCCACAGCATGGCACTGGATCCGGATCGCGGAGGAATAGAGCTCCTGAGCCGGTCTGATGACCCACCCACCCACACACAGAGGGAAAGAAGGGAGGGAGGATCAGGGACGGGATCGAAAGAAGCCACTTCCTCCCCCACCGCCGCGCCGCCGCCAAATCGTGGCGTTCGCCGCAGGTCCCAAGTGGATCACCGCGGTTGGTCACCCGGCTTTTCCTCTGGGACGGCTGATGAAAAGGCTTCCGTGAGGAAAAAGCCCCGCGCCCCCCGACCGCCCCACGTTATGCTTGGATCGACACGGGACTTTTCCCTGTTTCAGGCCGCGATGCTCTCGAAACGATCCACCCTCGCAATTTCTCCGATCACCTGTGCCCAGCCCTGTCAGATAAAGACCCGACAAGGCGATAGGTCACGTTCGACGTGGACAAGCTGCAACTAGCGGGATTGGTGCGATTTCCAGAGCCGTATGGTGCACCTGAGCTGCTTGTCGGTCCGACTCGAATGTTTGGGTTTGACGACAACGACGGAAGTCGGATTTTTTTCCGGGGTCAGCAAGAAACGACCCCAATTCGAAAGCGGGACGGTCTAGCGATTCGGGTTCTAGTTGCAGTCCGGTGCATCCCCTTACAGATGCGCGTCTCGGACCGTCGTTCCTATCATACAATCAAGCTCGAAGCCTTTGCTCAAAGCGCGAAATGTTTCGCTGTGAGGATGGCGCTAGGTGACGACTGTACCGTTACCCTAAATAATCGAGTTCAGGAACGTATCCGATGGCGATTTTTTAGTGACTCTCAAACGCTGGATTATCACGGTGCAGTCCGCGACAAGGTTTCGAGCGATGTTTTTATCAAGCATTGCTTGGGTCGCCAAGCGCAGAGGCGCTCAACATCTGCCGGGATCGAGGCTATCCGGAAATCCTTCGTCATGCTTACAGTATCAGTACGTAGCTTGTTGAGACCTCGAGTGAAGCTAGTAGCCTTGGTACCAGTGACCGCGTCAAGCTTCCGACTTTCGTTCTTGACGCTGGTAGGCTTCAAGTTTTACTCGGCCGCGCCCAACATCGTCAGGGAGAATAACACGCATCCATATCCCTCCGGCTTGCGCGTGGGAGAATGAACTGAGTTTTCCAGTGTAGAGGAACGGGGATCGAGAACTGTCAAACATCTACTAGTACATGTGTGCTTGTGCGATCAAAGTTCGGAGAAGGTATGGCAGCTAGCTATCAAATCCACTGAGGGATCGTGCTGGAACGACCGATCTGGGGGCGATCAGCTGGAAAATGTCTCTTCAATGTTGCCATGCTCAGAACGATATCGTCTTGCTCGCTTTACAGAGCCCGATACGATGAGGTTCACGCCTAGATGGAACACGTTCGTTAGTGATTTGTTAGGGCGCGTGTTCCATCAAGGCGCTGTTAGGTTGCCAGCAACCTGTGTGTTCTCCGGGACTTGCGTAGGGTAGTAGGTAGATAAATGAGTGTGATAACAGATGAATTACATATTACAATAGTGATCGTAGTAGTTAGGTATTACCTATAGTATCATATAAGTACCTGCTCCGCCGGAGCAGCTGGCGGAACACCCGTTCGGATGTACGTGATAGTCGTACCGCGGATGGCTATAACAGGATCCCCCCGTTAGGACGAGATTCCAGATCGTCTCGTGTCGTGTTTCACCGTACGTATGGTTCACCTCGTTCCGATAGGTAACCACCTGGCGTCGACTAGTGTTCTTTTGTTCGCTACGTTTCGAGCGTCGCTCGCCAGCACCTTTGTGTGCCCGTACCGTCAATCCGTTTCATCTTAAAACGATTGCGTAGGCATCCTTCTTTCGCTTGTTCCGAGTAGTGTTTCAGCGTAGCTCGCCAGCCCTAATGCTTCCGTACGGTCGATCCGCCCTGTTCCTTCGAGTAATCGCCTGGCTAGCCCTTGTTCATGTTCCCTAACTCGCCATTGTGTACCGCTTCGAGGTAACTCTCCATGACGTAGCGTTGTTCCAAGTATTGTTGCGATTGTTCTCTAACCGAGTGTATGTTTCTCACGCGTCGAGGGTCTCCGGGGCGACGCGTATTCTTTTGTTCCGAAAGAGTAAACAAAGACGTCATCAAGGGGTCCTTTGAATATCTTCTTCGTCGATAACCAAGTTTGTCGATGTTGCTAAGTAACACCCATCCTCCTATTGTCGGGAGGCCTGTCGACCATGTTCTCTATTGTTCTCCTGTTCGTGGTGACTACTCGAATGAGGGGGTATATAGCAGCTGAGTAGAGAGTGGTGCTTCGATTCCCCCCTTGCGTGTTTGCTAACTCCAATTCGAACTCGTTTCTTCACTCGTCCGTAACTTTTACCTTCTCCGTACACTCTTACTCTCTCTATCGCTCAACATGTCCGCCCAAGGTTCTCCCTCGAAGAAGGCCGAGCCCTTTGAGCAGCAACAGCTCAAGGGGTGGCGATACCTCAAGAAGATGCCCGTCGCGACTAGTGAGTTGTGTTGTTTTTCGTTATGTCGGAGTCGATCCTATGTCTTGATATCTCCGTACGTTTGTGATAGAGTCGACCCTCCTTCAGGCCGAAAAGGTCAAGCCCAAGATCGTCGACGTGGACCAGGAGGAGCTGGACAACGCCTTTAGGCGTAACCAAGTTACTGCGGTCAACGCGTTGGTCGTGAGTCATTCCGCTTCGTAGCTCCGCCGGAGTTCCTTTTTGACACGTCCGTATCTCTCTCCTCCAGGCTCAGTACCAGGGGGGTTGGAAGTTCGCCTGCCAGCCCTGCTTCGAATTGGCGACTACCGGGGACCACCGCGCCCGAGTCGACGGCGAATGGGTCGACTGCATCCGTGTCAGCCAAACTTGGTTGTGCAGGCACGTCCTCGCCACTCCGGGAGAGACCTCCCGCGCCACCTCCTGCTACCTTTGCAGGACTATCGCAGCTCGGTCCTGCACCCCCATGAACCCCAACGTCGTCACGGCTTTCCGACACGACCTCGGAGTTCGACACCGGGTCCGCGCCGGACTGCGGTACATCCAGGACCCTGCGGTCTCGCGAAGGAGTGTGGGCATGGTTGCCCAAGAGTTGGAGCGATTGTCGGATAGGATGGCGAGTACTTTCCTTCTTCTTCTCTTTTTCCTCTTCCGATAACCTTCTCCGTACTCTTCTCCGAGGGAGCTAATATTTCGTTCGTGTCCTTGTCTTCTTCATATTGCAGCTTTTCCCTCACGTCCCCGCTCCCGCCGTCTACCATGTGGAGCACCAGCTCACCGCCCGACTGGCCGCCCAGCACGCCCCGAACGCCGTTCCCGCCGGATCGGTCGCTACCGACGTCAACGTCGACGTCCAAATCGCCGGCTCCGACGTCGTTACTCCCGGATCGCCCGCGCCGACCGTCATCGAGGGGGAGGACATGGAGGACCTCGAGCTCGAGGACGACCGTTCGGACGACGAAGACACCGAGATGACTTCGTCCTCGGGTTCTTCTTCTTCGGGATCGGGTTCGGGTTCGGATGAGGAGTAATGGCTAGTGGCTTTTTCTTTTTGTAACGTCGATCCTCATAGCCGAGTACGTAGTACTCGGGATATCAAATTTTTATGCCTTGCGGAATTCCTCTTTTCTTGTTCCGCCGGAGTTGTCTTTACCTATTGTCGTTTCTCTCTCTCGCTGACAATATCTTGGAGTATTTGCAAAACGTTATTGCTTGTAGTCGTGTTGTACGTGTGGGTGCAAGGTTTTGCTCGGTAGTAGCAGTGAATGGTGAATAAAAAATAAAACATCAAGGGACCTGCCCTTGGTAAATACATGATCGTCGCGCACAAAAACCCTTACGTAGACCAAACTCGATACCCTGCTCCCTCGTTGGCGGCACTGTCCTTGTCGAACTGCTCGTCTGTCGGAGCAGTGTGGGCGGAGTAGGCAGCCGCAACACGAAGATCTCGTTGCTTCTTCATCCGGTCCACGTACCACTGCGGTTTGGGTACCAACGCAGGGTTGGTGCACTCCCGAATAACGTGTCCCTTCTGGAAACAGTTATAACAAGTGACGTCCCTGTACTTGGCTGCATCTACCTCCATGGGAACGGCTCCCGAAGAAGGTGCCACGGGGGCTTGTACGGGGGCGGCGACTGGCACTACCGCAGGGGCAGTGTATCGAGGGGTGTAATTGTTGTTTCGCGACGTGGTGTTGCGATGTTGTGTTTGGGTGTGCCCAACCTTCTCCTCATACTTTGCGCATTCCGTTTGGAACTCGTAGAGGGAGCACGTCTCCTGATTGGGGATAGGGACGATGGCATCCCTCCACGCTTGGTTCAAGTGCGCTCGGAAGAGGAACCTCTTGCAGAAGTCGGTCAATTCCGGGATGAGGTTGGCCAACGCGTTGAATTTGGTAATGTAGTCGGAGATCGACAGGTTCCCTTGTCGAAAGTCCGCGAACTCTCTCTCCGTTGCGGCTCTCCTTACCGCAACTCCGAAACGAGCTAGCAACCCGGCTTCGAACTGCGCCCATGTGGTCCAGGCAGTTCCGAAAAGCCAGGGGCGAGCCCATTCCCTCGCAGCGTCCCGCAAGTAACTCCCCGCAAACACGATCTTCAACTTGTCATCGTGATATGCGAGGGGTTCCGCCATGAAGCGTAGGTTACAAGCATCCAAGAATGCTTGTACCTCCTCCTTCTTCGACCCGTCGAAAGGCTCGGGATCGCTCACTCGGATAGCCTTGGTGTAAGGCTGTACGGGGACAGAGGGGCGAGAAAACGCCGGAGGAGAAGGCGGGGGGACTGCGTTGACGTTAACCAATCCATCCACCTTTGCCATCAACCTTTCCAAGGTTGAGTTCATCCTCCCGACGTCATTCGAGAGGGAGATGGTGCTGACAGCTGGTCGGTCGGCACTCAAGAAGGAGGAGAACACCTCGTCTCCTTCGCCGGTATTACGGACCCATAGGAATCCGCCGGCACTGTCTCGATCTTGAGCACCACCCGTGCCCCGCACCGGTTCCTTGTAGCCGGCTACCGTGATAGGGTTACCAGCTACGTCGTACACTACCCTGTCCGGAACCTCTGCCCGTTCGGTGGCTTCGGTTTCCATAGTTGCAAGTCGGGGAAAAGGAGATGATCTGTTATTCTGTTAGGTTGCCAGCAACCTGTGTGTTCTCCGGGACTTGCGTAGGGTAGTAGGTAGATAAATGAGTGTGATAACAGATGAATTACATATTACAATAGTGATCGTAGTAGTTAGGTATTACCTATAGTATCATATAAGTACCTGCTCCGCCGGAGCAGCTGGCGGAACACCCGTTCGGATGTACGTGATAGTCGTACCGCGGATGGCTATAACAGGCGCGACCTTACCTGTAAACAGATCCAGACTAATACCTTCCGCTAGACTTTGAGCCCCTTGAGAATCAGTCATACAGTAGATCCGGGCGTGGTGGCAGTATACTGTAGGGCTTGCTTTTCTGTCGTCTTGGACCCTTGACCATACAGTACTCTGCCGGCTTCTCGCTTATCAATTTGCCACCGTCTACAGTAGACCGTCCTATACGTAGTCTCTGGGACGATGGAGGCCTGTTGCTGACATTGGGCGAGCAGCTCAAAGGTCTCATGTGATTCGTGTTCAGCTGGAGATACCTGGAGGTTTCCAGCACTGGAAGGTAGTTGTACGAGTAGGTATTGCTTGATTGAAGGGGGAATATTATATGTGCTCTTGGTGGCTGTGATCTCAGAGTAGTCTAGTTGGAGCAAGGTCAATCTTTGGATGTATATTAGTATGGATCCGAGAGAATTTCGATGCGAGTGTACTAAGACCTGCAATAATGCGTAAATCTCGTTCGGTAGAGTACGGAAAGTCCAGTAAAGTAAACACGTTGTGTACTATGTTATAGGGGCACTGGGGTCATCTGTCTGATCATGTACTAATGTACAAAAGTACCACAGCATTACTTTCGGAATAGAATAGGATGAGGGTCATTCGAGATTCAAGGGCTTCGACCTTGTCGATACTATATACCATACCATACTGTACTGTACTGTACTGTATAGGTATCATATAGTAATAACTAGAAAGTAAAAAACAAGAATGGCGTTTTTTGGGAGGTCTGCCGTCTTGCCTTGTATACTACACTTGATTGAGATTGAGATCAAAAGGAGCTCGGATCGCCAAAAAAGGCATGATATGAATAAACGTAAATAGACTGCAAGGAGACGACGATGATGATTCTCCGTCCGGCTCTACTGTATATTGAATTATAAGAGCTCGCCCCGGCCCGGGTTGCAGAGCAACAGTACTTCTGTATAATGTCTTTGAATGAAGCTCACTTGATCTTGCAGTGGGCGGAAGACATTATCCACTGACTCGTGACGTATATCGTACAATGTACAATATACAATGTACGATGTACAATGTACAACATACTCGTGCAAGAATGTACAGGTCATCAGCATTATCCTCGTCCTTGAGCTTGCATTATCTTTCTCGGCCCCAAAATTAGCCTTACAGTACTGATACTTTACAGTGGTACAGTGGATACCTTCGATGCCTGTCCCCGCAGTTCTTACTGTATGGGATCTTCCGCTCAAGCGTTGTCCGTTCGAGAAGAAAGTAATAGGAATACAATACTATGATGATGATACAAGGGTCACAGTGTTTGCAACGGGGAGTTTCTTTTTGGGACGGTCAGAGGAGGTCAAAGATCGTTCTCATTTTGTACCTTGTGCTTCTTTAATAGGAGCGCTCTCTTCCGATCGGCCCTATCGCTACAATGCAGTGTAGCACAGTACAGTTCACCGGGATACCTTCTTCGGGCGTGATTTGGCTGTAATGTATCTCGTTTACGTGACGGGAAAATGAAACGACTACTGTACGATGTGTCTCACACACAACATGCACAGTGCAAGACAAGATGGATTGTCAAAGTACTCTATTATCGGATCGAAGCGAATGGGATCCTTCTTGTTGATCGCATCGTGGGTCTCGCTGGTCGCTGGTCGTTGGAGATATCTACGCAAGGTCGATTCTCAGGATCAATACAACAACGTTGAAACGTCGAGCTTCTCGTGGTGTGATGCATGTTGTTATTTTGCATCCGCGTCATCATCATCATCATTGCCTCACGCACGTGCAACTCGAGTAGCACCTGCTGCACTTCAGCTGCAAGGCTGATCCTTTCGACCTGATCGACCCTCGCATCACACACACACACATACATCTAATCAACGTCTTATCCTTACCTAGCTACACAACTCCTTCTTTCGCCTGGTCAGCAGCAATCTCTACTCGTAACCCGCCACGATGAAATTCGGACAACGTATCAGGGTGAGTGATCCATGATCTTTCATCCGGTCCTTGAGCCAGGACCTGTTGGAAACCTTCTTGGCTTTTCGCTGATCATCGATCCTCATCGTGACTCCTGGCTGATCTCGCTTAAAACCCTCTTCCGCCTACGTGCCTTCCTTCTTACTCCTCTCCTCCTTGGCCTCCTTGAACCTCTTCTCACCGGATGCCTCAAACGCAAACTGCAACTACAACTCCAACTTGGCAACGACCTACAATACAATATCCTATATCATAATCTAGTCCACCCTCTACGCAGAATGGTCCGACCAATACCTCGATTACAACGGCCTCAAACGAGACCTCAAAGATAACGCGGGGAACGGACCTCAGGGGATGAGGAGGTGGACAGAGGGGGACGAGGCGGCTTTCGTGAAAAGGTTGGAGAAGGAGCTTTTGAAGTGTGAGAGGTTTCAGGTGGGCAAGGTGAGTACGGTGTGGGATGCGATGCGATGGGGTGGGGTCGTCTCGAGGTCGGTTGAATTGAGAGATCGAGATCGAGGTTGAGAGCGGGACTGTGGTAGAGCTGAGCTGATTCGGTCGTCGTTTTTGTACTTTTCTCTGCTTTCAACAATACCTCTCTTCCTCTTCTATCAAAACCCGTCCTCCGTCTTTATCCCTGTCGCCCACCTTACATTTGAACTGAACAGGCCGACGAACTATCTACGAAGATCACCTCCCTCGAACATCAAGTCACTCAGCTCGTCCAGTCTTACGATCAGAGTCAGATCCAGTTGGACCCCCAGTCCCAGGCCCAATCACAATCCCAATCCCAATCACAGGTCGTCGGGACCCAAAATTCGCAATCTCAGATTGGGAAGATGAACACAAAAAAGACAAAGACGGACGTTGATAACGCCCGGGACGTGGAATCCGGACAAAGACGGCAAGTGAAAGATAACGGACTCGCCCGGAGCCTGGATGCTGGGTCGGACGACGAGGACGAAGATTTTGCCGCCGAAGCCGATCAAGACGAAGATGATGAGGAGGAGGATGAGGAAGATGAGAGGGCACGAGACGATGACGACGCCATGAGCGAAGCTTCTTACGACGAAAAGTTCAAGGACTTGGAGGAAGAGGTGGCTACGCTCGTAGCGGATGTGCATGATCTAGCGCTTTATACGAAGTTGAATTTTACGGGGTTTGTCAAGATCGTCAAGGTGAGCCGTGTTGCGTGTCGGGTTGTGTTGGATCGGGTTGCGTGTGTGGTCTTTCTGTGGGCCGGTAGAGGGTTGGGAGGATGTGGATGCTGATTCGCGGTTCGAAACTTTGTTCTCCTTTCGCTTTTTCTTTTCTCGATTTCATAGAAACACGATGTGAGTGCAGAAGACATCGTATTCGAGACTCAACATTCGTGCAAGCCAGGATTTAAGCTGATTTTTCTTGGTCTTTGTTCCGCCGTCGTTTTTCGCTCCGACCCGGATTAGAAAGTCACCGGGTTCAACCTCAAGTCGTATTTCAGCGCCGAATACCTGGACAAGCATCCTTTCTACAAGGTCAGTCGACGACTCCCTGTCTGCGCGTCAGGTTCCGTTTGAGAAGACACGCCTTGTAAGCGGGAAATCAATTATATTGATGTGGATTTTTTCCCGGACGCGCTCGGCAGTACAACTACGACGGCCTGATCGTCAAGCTCTCTCGGTTGTTCGATCTGGTCAGGACGCGTGGACACCCGATCGAAGGTGATTCGGCGGCGGGTGGGACGCAGAACGCGTTTGTTAGGAGTACGACCAAGTATTGGGTGAGTCGCGAGTGTCTCCGGCGAGATTAGGGTTGGGATGGAAATCGGTGGAATCGAAGGTAAAGAGGAGCAAAGAATGCTGATTAGAAATGGTTCGTTTGATGGGACAGGTTCACGAGGACAATATCGTGCATCTCAAGTTGGCCATTCTCAAGCAGCTTCCCGTACTAGGTTGGTCCCGCTTCCAGCTGTCGTGTGCCGAACTTCGAATGCTGACATGCGCGCCGCACGCAGTCTTCAACCCTAGCAAAGAGTTTGAAGTCAAGGACTCTGCCATCACGTCCATCTACTTTGACAACGAGGGGCTCGAGCTCTACTTGGGTCGTTTGGAAAAGACCGAGGGGGCCGAAGCTATTCGATTGCGATGGTACGGAGACGTCAGCAACAAGACCGTAAGTTCGACGACGTCAAGGAGATCATCCCCGGGCGGCATTCGCTTATCGCTCCTTGTATCCGCAGATCTTTGTCGAGCGAAAGACCCACCGAGAAGACTGGACCGGAGAGAAATCCGTCAAGGCTAGATTCGCCATCGCCGAACACAAGGCCAACGACTTTATCGCCGGTCGATTGACCATGGACGACGAATTTGACGAACTGGTCAAGCGTGGGAAAAAGACGGTCAAGGAGGTCGATAGCATGAAGCAGTTGGCCAACGAGGTGCAGTACGCCATCTTGACCCGAGGTCTCAAGCCTGGTGAGTCGCGTGGTCTTCGTTGGACTTCCGTCGACACGAGGGAGTGATCGCTTACCTGTGAGCTCTCTCGCCAGTCATGCGATCGTTCTACAACCGGACGGCTTTCCAACTTCCTGGAGATGCCCGAGTGCGAATCTCGCTCGACACCGAGTTGACCATGGTCAGGGAAGACGACTTTGACGGCAAGCCCCGTGCCGGGAAGAACTGGCGACGGACCGACATGGGGATCGATTTCCCGTTCGACGAGGTGGATGCCAAGGACAAGGAGGTATTTCCCTATGCCGTCCTGGAGGTCAAGTTGCAGACGCAGTTGGGTCAGGAGCCGCCTACCTGGGTGACCGATCTCGTCCATAGCAACTTGGTCACCCCCGTTCCCAAGTTCTCCAAGGTGAGTGTCAAGATAGGCTAGATCGAGATCGACCGAAGGCTGACGAGATGAGCGTTTGTCGACCAGTTCATCCATGGATGTGCCACCTTGCTGCCCGAGCGAGTCGAGCTGATTCCCTTCTGGGTAAGTCGGGTCCACTTTTGCGCCTCTAGCACATATGCTTGAACACTTTCACTGCTGTAGCAACCTCAAATGGACCGAGACATTCGCCGACCTGCCGACCCCGAGACCGCTAAAAAGGTGGCCATCGAACGACCCCATAGCGCCAACGTCAGCTCGACGTCGGGTACCAACTCGGTCCCCAGCCCGACTCAGCGATATGAAGAGCCCAACAGCGAAGGCGAGGACGATGAATATCTTGTGCACCCGAGTCACAACGAGGTCAAGCGCCTGAACTTGCCTCCCGAGCTCATCAGGCAGGCACAAGAGGCTCGTGAGGAGCGAGAAAACAATGTGAGCCGCGGGTAAAGCTCAGGGATCGATCTCGCGTTTTGACTAACTAAGACATCCTGTCGATACTCAGCTAAAAGAGTTGGCCGCCACTGGCAAAGCCCCTCAACCCGTACGGAGAGAATCGACCGCCAGTCAGCGAGATTATGGCTTGCGTCTCGATATCGACCCTCTGCAGCCCAGTCGGTCTTACGACAAGAAGTACTCGCTTCTCGACCCTCGAAGCCTGCAGAAGCTTTTCAAGGCCAAGCAGTCGGACCAGAACGACCGACAGCCTCCTCTTGCGGAAGAGGGCGAGAGCGACGACGAGGCTCGTCCCTTGCCTGAAGGAAACGGGGTCGAGTATACGCGTGTCCATGCGCCGGCGGACAAGCGGATAGCGATTCCCGTCAGGATAGAACCCAAGGTGCGTGCAGTGTCAGCTGGTGAGGTTTGGGCAAGGTCAGGACGCTGACATTTGTCAAATGTGTTTCACGTCTACAGGTCATCTTTGCAAATGAGCGAACCTTCCTCAAGGTCAGTACTTGGTGCATCTCTGTCACATGTGCGAAAGCAAAGCTGACTTTCGGAAATTGACGCTCATAGTGGTTACACTTTGGTATCCTGATCGGAGGTATCGCCACCACCTTGCTCAACTTTATCGAGCCAACCGACCGGATCGGCCTCATCTCGGCGGGCATGTTCACCCTGACCGCCTTGCTCTCCCTTGCTTACGCCGCAGGGATGTACACCTGGCGGGTCTTCAAACTGCGACGACGTGATGCGGGCAACTACCACGACCCTTATGGTCCCACGTTCCTCTGCGCGGTGTTGGTCGCTTCCGTCCTGGTCAACTTGATCCTGCGTCTCAAGCAGCTGTGATTTCGACCCTTGTTCCCGTTCCTCAAATACACCCCTTGTATTTCTATCCGTACACGTTCATTTATAGAGACACACAGAAGGACGCATGGAATGTAGGTTCGTTATTCCGATCATATATCTTATCATATACATCGCGTGTCATTTGAATCCGATCTGGGCAGCTAATTGTACTTCCAGACTTGTAACGTCTACAAAAGAAGGCGATGTTCAACGAAAGGTGATTGAGCGAGCAGTCCTTTCTAGGTTATCTGCAAAGTCTACTTCTGCCCCAACAAGAAGAGTGATCGTGCGCATTGTTAACTGAACGCTCATACAAGACATTGGACTTTCGAGCAAGTTGAGCAATGGGAGTAACAATGGCGTAGATCCCTTGCGAATTCCTCAAAGACCCACATTTCAAAAAGGTCACCAAAGAGCTTTCCGTGGTAATAGTAGACTTGATCGCTGCTAATGCTTCTGTAATTGCCAGCGAAATGGTGGGTCATCGAGTGAAACAACGAGGGGACGGTGGCGATGCAGGATGCAGGACAGTATCACGGATTTCTCGTGTATTTCAGTCTGACAATCCTAGAGCAGACTATTCGTAAAGTACATTTTCGTCTACCGTAACTCATAGTGTGTGTCCACCGTGACTAGCTCATGTCTTAAAGGCAAGTCCTTAGCTGTCTTGTACTGCCCCAGAAAGTTCTCGCAGGCATGTTTGATCAAGTCTACCGGCTCCTTGGAAGCATCAACCTTGTCCTTGTATTCATCGCGAATCTCTCCAACGCTTCTGACCAACGCAGCAAAATTCAATGTATGGACTGGAGCAATGGGCAGGCCCAGTTTGTTTTTGGGGAAAACGCCAGGGATCTCAAAAGTGTACCGGAACTCATCAGATCTCTCGATGGCGCGATAGCCGTAGTGCTCTTTATCGGCTTTGTGATCGACAGCGTCCTTCGTGGCACTCTGGTCGCTTCCCTCCGATCGATCACTAGAATCTTCAGTAGAAGACGCCACTCCGCCCTCATATGAAAGGCTACCCGTATTGGCCTTGGTTGGAGTCGAGACGAAGCCGTTATTGCTAGCAAGGGAAGGGTCGTTGTCGGGCATCGCGAAGTTATGCGAGGTCGAGATAGAGTGCTGTAGGCAAAATTGCTTGTTCAGGAAGAAGATGCGATATACAAGCTGTTTGTATGAAGAAAAGGTAGATTCCCCTTTCTCTTGGCCATATGACATATCTCTATATACTGAATGTCAAATGATGATTGCGCCTTGTGACGATGCATTCTCAGGGCTCAGATCGAAACACGATAAAGGAAGCACAGTCTCCTCAGAATATTTGCCCCAAACGAGATTCACTGACTTGGGACCAGGTCGTTTATTAGGCCACCAAAAGGATCGATTGCGCTGCAAACATGATTCTTCCTTGAACATGTTTACTTCTCGTGTCATTCCGCCATGAGACAGAACGTCTTTGTTATCCCTCGCTCCTCCCTGCAGTTGACTGCCAAGTCTGAACTAACCCTGCATGGGTATGGCAGGTAGATACGATATGCATGCCTTTGGCGAGACATTTGTTGGTTTCCTTCAAGATTGATTGGGAGTTCCCAACAATTCTCTACAGGTGGTTCATGCACAGGTAATAAGACACGAGTCGCCGGACAATTCAGTCTCATGAGATCGATCGGTAGCCATATCGATCTTTCAGTATGGTATATCCATCTTTGCCGATAGGAGCGCCTAGATACATACTGCTTGAGCCCCATGTAGAGCTTGAACGTTTTGTGCTTTCCATGACAAAACCTTCTTCATACCTGTCGATCTGGTCTTCGGGCCTCCCGCGTCTCAAGCGACAGGTTGCAAGAGAACAATAATACTCCGGGGCTTTGTCGGATATTCGGGCCGATCGTGGTGGATCCCCTTTGATCATCGTGGATCGAGGATCTTCACTACGTTCCCTTGACAAAAGATCAAAGGTGTCGTATGCAATCGTATCACGTGCGGCGCGGAGAGACGGTGGCGAGCGCGAGTCAAAGGTGAATCATCGGATGGTCGGATGACTCGGTGACGACGTTCGGGAGGCGGGGGAATCGATATAAAGGAGACACACACAGCTAATAAGCACCGGGCGAATCTGTTAGAGTCATCGATACAGTGGACCCTATAAGAGACTTATCGAGGACCGATCATCATCCGATCTAGCGAGAGTTGACCATAATACCCTTCCATTCAACCCACGTGAAACGAAAGGATGGGCGGTCGCGCGTTTCACAACCGAGGCTTACAAGCCCCGCGCCTCGCTCCGAAACTCTACACTTCGCTGGTCACCCTCTACCAACCTGTCCTGGAAGAGCTCTACGCACGGGTGGTCTGTCTGCCTTCGGTCTGGGAGAAACCGGATCATGGGGACATTGATTTCCTCGTCGTCGAGAGAGACGACTCGTCGATCGACCCGGTTGAATTAGCCGATCGGCTGGGGGCCAAGGCGTTCATCGTTAACGCACCGTCGACGAGCTACGCCGTACCTCATCCGGACTTTACCTCCAGCTCAAAAGTCATCGTGCAGATCGATATCAGAACCTGTCCGAAAGAGACGTTCGACTGGCAATCGTTCACGGGGTCATATGCCGATCTAGGGCCGGTCTTGGCTTTCCTCTTACGGCCCGTCGCGCTCAAGATCACCGATAAGGGATTTTTCCTGCGCGTCCCTCCAAGTCAAGCGTACTCGAAAGGGAAAGAAGATATGCTTCTCCTGAGCAACGATCCCGAGGCGGTCATGCGCTTCCTCGGGCTGGACGAAGAACGCTTCAAAGCGGGCTTCGCGACCGAGTTCCAGGTCTTTGATTTCCTCCTCAGCGGACGCCTTCCGAGACCACAAAAGCTGTCCGGGGGTGAGTTGAGGAAGAAGGATAGGGTGTTGGTCAAGAAGCGTCCGATGTTCAGGAGGTTTGTTGAGGATTACTTGTCGAGGCAAGGTGGCGAGCACGGGACCGAAGGCGATGGCAATGGCGATGGCAAGGGCGAGGGCGAAGGCGAGGGCGAAGAAAACGAAGCGGGGAAGTACAAGTGGGAGACGAAAGAGGAGGTGAAGGAGGCTGCTTTAAGACATTTTCACCGTCAAGTAAAATACGAGGCGATGTCGTAAAGAAGGGTGTTTCCGGCTAGCAAGGTACAACACCGTATTGAGTAGTGCGGTAACGAGATAGATAGTAGTGTTCTATAAGCGTATGTAAATGTACTTCCGGATGTCTTGCCCGATTCTTGTCGATATTACAGGTTGTAACGTGTTCTCACGAGGGGAATCTGCCGGTAGCACACTTGCTTGTCTTATGACGTGCTTCCTCGCCTTCAGATGAGCTAGTCGCTCGGATCGCCTCGCGCTCGAGTTCCGATTCTACCTATCTCGCTGCTCATACTTACCGTGGCGTCACCTGACCAATCCACGCGGGCGATCTCTTGGCTAGCTTTCTGAACAGTACAAGAATTTCAGCCCAGACAAGTTCCCATTGAGCGTTGCGCCTAACGTGTGAACATGATCGATGAGGATGGAGCAGATGAGCGCGTGGGATCGTCCGGCTCTCGGATGGTGGCACATCGTTTCGAGGTTGATGAAAAGATGAATCGCGCTTCGCCAACCGAAATGGAAACCGAAGAGAGCATTTCGAGCTTGAACTTTGTTTGCGATAAAGAGAGGTGCCCGCGTCAAGATCTAGATGATTTGTGAGATCACCTGATTCCTATGATTCTTGTTGCTTCTCCTCCAAGGTCCTTTGACTGCATTTACGTTCCAAAGGACGGGTTGCGCCTCCTCCTGACAGCAATTAGGAGAACATTTATTCCTCTTAAGCCTCCGTAGAAACAAGATCTGGTTGACGCTGGCTGTCTTTTCGATGTGAATGCACGTAATACAACAAAGTCGCTGGTGAAACACGAGCAATGCGCGGGTTCTCTTTCTTTGGAGGCGCGAGGCGCTGCAACATCTCGGCTAGTACTTCCTTTGATCGAATAGTGGTAATGTGATCAAATTAGACATCATTTGATAAGCGAGAAGGTTTGTACACCAAAAGGCCAGGATATATAAAGCGGGTATGCGATGCTATGTGTGACCGTACAATGATGTTGTGAAATCTGAAAACAAGGCGAAACAACACCTGTAGCCGCCAAGACACAGATTGATCACACCAAGAACGAACAGGCGTTGCTTTCCAAAGATGGCACAGCACGGTCATGACCCTTTGTTGCCAGGGTGTGGCGACACTCCGACCACTGAAGACTGTGACAAATGGTTCACTGAAACGTGGGGCGGCCAGGCGTCACAACGGTCTTGGTCTCCCCAGGTGTCAGCACGCTGGAACAGTGCTGATGAAGAACTATCCGTCGGCACAGCGGCTGGCTTGACTACAGAGAAGTCGGTCATCTCTCGCGCACAGCATGATGCGACGGATGCCGAATGTGCGCCGTCTGCACACACACCAATGCGATCCAGAGGTCTCGAGCATCGGGATCGTGATCCTTTGCAGCAGGAGAGGGATGCTCTTTTCCCGGTGTCATCGACCTCATCAATCCTCGATCCAAACACCTCATTAGTATTTCAGCTCCTTGCGGAGACGCTTTACAGCAGTCATACCCCTGCCTCATCTCATAACACGCTCTTCCCTCGAGACGACTCCTCAGTCGATCCACCGACACATGAGACAGAATCCGATCCACCGACCGACCAAGATCTGTCAATGAGCCCGATACTACCCGGATCTCTGCATTGCGCCAACAATTTTCACCTGTACCGCAATACAGGGGTGAAACATCTTTGGTACGTCGTGTTTACCCCACGATCGGACAGGGACAAAGATCACAACGGGTTTCAGATCGAGTTTTTCCCGCCAAGGGGAAGGATGAATACATCAAGTGTATACGCTCCGGTGAGGAATAGGGTATCAAGAATCAAACATCAGTGGAATTTCCTCGTCTCGGAGATGAGCCTGAATAAGGCCGGGGATCCTCCTGCATTTTTCCTCCTGGCAGATGACAATCCCATCATTTCGTTACTGACAGAAAGGGCCTTGAAGGAGATCTCAAAGCAACTTAAGGTGATCATGATGCCATTTCGCCGCCAATGTCGATGCGAAAAGGGACGCATTGCATGGATTTCAGAGAACCGTCAGCGTTGGATCACTGCAATCGATGAATTGAACAGCCGTATGGCAGTGCTGGGTTTAGCACTGCAAGTCAGAGACATGTTGAACTACATGGCAGGCACAAGATTAGCATCCTATGCACGGCTGGATGAAACCGAAACTGCAGAATCACTCGCAAACAAGAGGGACATATTGTGGTATCAGGCAGGAACATATAGGCTTGTGAATCACCTGTAATGCAATGAGGGGAGTAGAGGTGAACCTATAGGTATCCAAGAGCCCTTTCATTGATCACATTGAAATAGAGCGTCTCTCACAGAGGTTCTATTGTGGAATGTCGCTTGTGTACAGCGTCTTGTATCAGATTTTCAGATATATCCCTGATTGTAGCGCCTGGATGATAACAATTTGATGATAGAATGTGTCATACAACATGCTGAGATCAATATTGTTGTGGATCCCAGCTCTACTACTCTGATCAGGATCCAGTCAGCAAGCAAGGTTATGTCATGACAATATTGACGATTAATGAGCGATCTCGTACAAAACAATAAAACAAACAAATCGACTAGAATGACAAAAGGGGAAAAGGTTTCATCCGGATGACACTGCGCTTGATCACAACCTTGCTGTAAAGAAAACCACCACCTCCTTTCCATTCATCCCCATCAACAAGGAGAAGGGCAAAGTACTGTGGCATGCCACAGTGCTGATGACCTTGTCTATGCTTTGAGGATCATACCAATGTCCAAGGGCAAAGGCTCGGTCCAGGATGAAAAAGTAGACTTGAAATGCCCATATCAGACATGCTGATAGTAGTACCGAAGCAAACATGAGCACAAATCAGTTGAATGACATCAAGGCCAGCACCTTGAGACTGAGATCAACTTACGAAATAGCAAATCGTCTCTGTTCTTCTCCTGCTTGATCACAAAGTACCAGAGGGTACCAAAGATGTTGACGATGGCGTCTGTTAGGTTGCCAGCAACCTGCAAATGCTCTGGGACTTGCGTAGGGCAGTAGGTAGATAAATGAGTGTGATAGCAGATGAACTACATAGTACAAGAGTGACTTCAGTAGTTAAGCATTACCTATTGTATCCTATAAGTACCCATAACCCTACCCTTCCTTCTTTTCTGATCTCTCGCTGCTACTTTGGAAAGAACGTCGCTGCCATCCGGTAAGTACAGGGCTCTCTCTGTACAATACAAATCCAATCAAGGTCGAAATTTTGATACTTCGGCATTCGACCGGTTCTGCGCAAATTCTTCACACACCTCCCACATGGAAAAACAGACCGGATTGACTATGGAAGAACAGGAAACGTTGACTATTGAGGCTAGTCATCTCTTATTGGACAAGGGGTACTACTACACGCACGACACATGCGAGACAACGACGATGCTATGGAGGAGGACGACGACGACAATGATATGGAGGACTAGTACGATATGGAGGACGACAACAATAGACTATTATGGCATGCAGGACGAGGACGATACAGAGGAGGAGGACTATATGGAGGAGGACGTTGACGGCGATGACTAGTACGACAAGTACGACATCGAGGACGGCGGCCACATGGATAAGCGGAATGTCTGGGGTGTTCAACGATTAAGAATGACCTACGATTAGAATATGCAACTTGCTCTCTTTTTTCTCCTCGACGACCTTGATGATGGTGTTAGTCTGGGCGTCCCAGCTTCTTGCAATGCGTTTCGCTTGTCTCAAAGTGAATGGGCGTCTGATGTTGTTGAGAGCCTTGATGATCCCGATCGTCCATCCGAGTTGCGCCGCCTCCCTATCCCTGCAAGAAATCAGTATAAGAAGAGAAATGAGCATAGGAAGAGGAGGAATCGTGTTGATCATGTGGTGCCTTGAACATGTGGTCTCACCTGATACTAACCCCGGAATCGACCTGACCAAGCAGCATCGTAGCGATCTTCGTCTCAGGCTCAAGGTTCTCGTAATCTTTCTTTTGCCTTCGCCTGCGCCTGGATCTTTTTGAGATTCTTGGTGATGTTCTTCATTGCAGTCTTGACTACATCTGGAAGGCTTCTTCCAAGCCAGATGGGAAGACTTGATACGATAATAACCTGAGAGTACGCAGATAGATGCGATAGACGTGATAGATGTGATTGATCAGTTCTTGATCGACTCCAGGTTCTAAGTATTCAGTTTCCTTGACCCGCCTGGATTATGCTGGTTGATCAGCTCTTGAAGCCTGATGATCTCTTGGTGTAACAACCTTGCATTGATGATCTGAGGGATGGTTGGGGATCGGCCAGAAGCTAATCAAAAGCTGAATCATCCTACTCAGTACAGTAGTGCATCTGCATTGTCACCTGGTGAGATTTCCTACCTGGATCCTTGGGATCTGGAGCCTGACATATCTATCTCACAAAGACAGATATGACAGGTGACAAGTCATTTTCTGAATCCCCTAAGTAGTGATGAAACCTCTGCATTATGCCTACCAAATCATCATCAGGCTTCAATGCCTCATGAAGTACATCCCCCTCGACCACGTCTCCCGACTGTTTTGGTCTGTTCAGATCTCCTCCTTGAGTCTCCTGAATCTCTCGTATTCGACTATGCTGTTGAGTCCTGATCGAGGTTGAGGAGCAGGAGAGGCTATTGAACCGTCTACTTGCTACTTGACACGACCCAGGGTGATGCCAAGGAGGGCGGGCGACGCGTATATTCCGGGGGATTCATCATCATCAACCACAAGCTCTCGAGCATATCGAGCATATCCACAACCCAGCTCTAACATATGTATTTAGTAGAGTCACAGCCATAGTACACACTCAATTACATCATAATCATCACCCCCGACGCATCCTTGTCCGGTTCTGATGACATGTGGTCCAGCAAAAAGACCGCCGCCGCTCCCACGGCGATAGCAGGAGGACCATCGTCGGCATCGTCTACGGGAGGGAGGAATACGTTTTCCATCCTCCAGCCTACCCTAGTCAACAACACCTCTCAAGGCAACTTCAATTCCAATTCCAACTCTAATTTTAATGTTAAGGGGAAGAACTCGAATACGAATCGGGAGCTTTGGATAGGACGTCTACCGGCGAGCTTGCATCGAAAGGTCTTATCCTACCTCCCTGTACCGGATGTTCCTCGGTATGCGGCGGCTTGTAAACAGCTGTCGGGGTTGGTTAGGAATGCCGAAGAGACGTGGAAGGTCAAATGCGAGGTGCTTGGCGTATCACTGGGGCTCGACTCGATTTCGACGGCAGAAACGAGTACGAGTACGGGTACGGGTACGAGTGTGAGTGGCCGAGAGAGACAGGGTGGGGATGAAGATGAAGATGGTATGACCGGATTTGGACTTGGGATCTCAACTACGAATACGAACGGGAGCGGGAACGGGGAAGGGAATCGGCACCGAGCACAAGGGTCCATATCGAATTTGAAGTCTATGACGAACCCCGCTGCGGCTGGCAAACCTGGAGCGTTCGCTTTCGAGGACAACGACGACGAGGAGGATGATTTTGGGGATTTCAGCGGGAGCGGGACGATACCCAATTCCGGACAAACTAAAACTACTGGTCTTGCTCGACGATATAGCAATAGCAAGAGCTTGAACGTCAATTCACAAGGTATCGATATCGAGGTACCAAGCACTTTCAAAACCAATATTCCAGGTGTCGCTACTACCGGTGGTGCTGGTCATAGTAAAATGAAGAATAGCGGGACGCCTAATCTGATGGACTTTTCCGATGGGTTCGATGATCTCGATTTTGACTTTGGGTCGGTCCCGATGCCTTCGAATTCTGCTAAATCGCCAGAGAAGAGTAGAGGGAGAGGGACGGCCGGACACTTGCAGAAGAGCGGGTTTTTCGCATTGCCAGCTGTAGCGGTGAATATGTTGGATCCACGGACGAAGACGAGGACGCAAACGCAGGGTATGGAGACTGAGACCAGTTCTAGTCCGTGGTATGAAACGTATAAGCGGGTGCATAGTCAGTTGATGCCGTATGTGAGGATCTTGAGGACGACTTCTTCGACTTCCACTTCGTCGAGCCAAGAAGGAGGAGGTGGAAATTCGACGAAGACGAACCTCACACCCACTCAAACGCTATCCCTCCTCTTCCCTCAAACCTCATCCCACTCCCCAGACTCGCCAGTTCCCGGCCCATTACCGCTCGTCGACCAAGCGACCGTCCTAGCGCGCCTAGTACTCCTCCTTACACCCCTTATCGAGCCTTGTGCGGATTGGGCATGGTTGAGGAGGGTACTGGTGGGTGGGGGAGGGGTGGTCGATCGGTGGGATGGGGGGTGTTTGAGTGGGTTTGAGGGGTTGGAGCGGAGAGTGAGGTCTAGTGGGGGTGGGACGGGGGGTCCAGGAGGAGGTTCCGGTGCAGGTGCAGGTGTGGCTGCGGGTTCTGCGGTGGATGAGAAATTGGTACAAGAGATGAGACGCGTAGCGGGCGCAAGTTGGAAAGTCTACACATCGATGGCCAGGTCTAAAGCGTTATCTTCGCCTTCGAACTCGAGATCGCGATTCAGGTCTAACGGGAGCGGGAGTGGGAAGGGCACAGGGACGGGGACGGGTACAGGGATCTCGTTTACAGCAGGGCTCGGAGGGTGGGGTGGGATAGGAGGGACGGACGCGGATGAGGCCGGGTGGGAGTTGGGAAGGGTCTGGGTGGAGAAACGGGAGGTGTTTTACGAATCTGGGTCGGGTGGGAAGTGGGATAGCGGGGAGAATATCGTGTGAGTTCACACCAAGTCTCTGCGTGGGGATTCGATGGGACACTTCGTCTTGCCTCGCTTCGAGCTAAAACGTCGATCTTGCAATGTGATGTTTTAGTAAATTGCCGGCCGCAAAGGGAGAACCGGCGACACATACCCTGGACTTCACCCCGATGTCGGCCGTCTTTATGGAACGCATGTTGACGAGGATTCGGGAAGACTGTGGGGAGGCCCTGCGGATCTTCGGGACCGGAACGGGCGGAGTCGCGGATGGGGGAGCGGGAGCGAGCGTGGTCAAGCGGTTTGTGGATCGTCTTGTTGGCGAGGTGGTGCGTCGCGCCGAGTCACAAATCGTTTGACCCCGGAGTCCAGCTCATCTTTCGGGGTTCTTGTTGCGTTAGATATCGGAATACGTTTCGTCGCTCTTGTCCTTAACACGGCTGCTCTCTCAAGATCTCTTCCTTACAGCGACTGCGGCCACGTTTGTGCAAGTATGGCGCGTCGTCGATGTTGCCAAAGAAGTCGTCAGGCAAGCCATGTCGGGTGGAAAGGAAGGCGACCAAGTGGAGAAACAGGCTGTCGAGGCGGTCGGGAAAGAGGCGGAAAGAGCGGTGTACGTGATCAAAGGAGACGACGAATCCACAACGCGGTGGCTGACATTGTTCTGGACTCGCAGTTACGCAGCGTTCGAGCAACATATGGACGAGTACCTCGAAGACGAAGTGGAGTGGATAAAGAATGTGCTGGACAAGATGTGCAAGGCGTGGGACACCAAGGAAAGTTACTCTCGACCGGATCACATCTGCTCGTCAACGGTATCCTCACCTGATGTTTCTTGCGAATCAGATGGGCAACGCTACTACAACGCAACCGACGCAAGCGGCGACGTTCTTGTCTTCAGCCAACCCTGATCAGGTGAAACGAAACGTCCTCGCCGGATTTAGGGACGCCTTACTCCTTCCGGTCACCATCGTACCGCTCACCGTTACGTACGGGATGAACGCCATCGTTACCGGCGGAACCCAGGCTGTGAACGGTCTAGCGATGCTAAATCCTCAGCGATGGACCGGGCAAAGTGGTAGTGACGGGCGAGGAGCCACGAACGGTGCGCCAGCGGTCCCTGTCGATCCGGTTGAGGGCGCCGAGATCGACAAGGAGAAGGAGAAGGCGGAAGACCTCGAGGAGGTCGCCGTACAGCAAGATGAACCGAAAGATGGAGGCGAACAGATGCAGCTGCTTCTCTCCCTCGACACGGTCCTCGAGTTTGTTCACGCCGACCGAGAGTGCTTGAAGCGCATAGAAACGTTCCAGGGGTATCCGAGCAAATACGGCAGGAAGGTCCGTGAAGCCATCGAAGAGGTATTCATTCACTTGCTGCGTGCAGTGGCGGCGCGCCATATCGTGCCTGCCTGTAACAAGTGGGTCAATGTTCTCTTCTAAATGCCTCCAGGTGGAGTGGCTGAATGGAACCGTTGCGCAGGGCGATCCAGCAAATGACAAACTACAAGCCCGAAGACTCGGCCGAAGGTACAAGCAATCCGCCTTTGCTTCAGTATCTTGAACTGGTCAACGTTGTCGACACCGTGACGTCGATCCTGCAGGTCTACTTTGACAAGGATCTGGTAAGCAGTCCGGGTCATATTCACACGGGAATCTAGCTGATTCCCGACGATGACGGTACAGGCGAAATACATCGACCGAACGGATTTCCTCAACGCAGCCATGCAGGAGAAAAAGCGATTCGAGGGTGCGCTAGACGACGCGGTCGCAGCTGGTATGAATGCGGGTGTAGAGGTGCTCATGAATCAGGTCAGTCCACGTGACCTTTTCTGTAAGCTCTAGCTCATGCTGATTATCCGTTCGGGGTAGGTCGAGCATATCATTCAGACACGCACACAACCGGGCGAATACTGTCCCTCGCCGGACCAGAACCCGGAGCTCGGTCCGACAAAAGCCTGCGTCGACGCAATCACCTGCTTGGAGGTGCATTGCAAACTGCTGAAGGGTAGCACATCGAAAGAGGTCCTGGAGGTCTTTTACCAGGAAGTCGGTTTGCGATTACAGAAGTGGGTTACTCACCAGAGAAAGCTTTCGTCGCTGCTCTGCTGATCAGTTGCCTCGGCCTGACAGCATCTTGCAAAAACACATCAAGCGCCAGATCATCTCGCTCGATGGCGGTTTCCAGATGATCGCCGACCTCAACGCTTACTACGCATTCGTTGCCTCGCTCAAACAACCTCGAATGGCCGAGGAGTTTTCGAACCTAAAGATGCTCGGCCAGGTCTATATCGTCGCCGACGCGAAAGACTTGGCGCAGATCATCCGAGATGTGACGCGATATGGAGGCACGTACCGACCGGAAGATCTCTACGAATTCATCCAACGCAGAGCGGATTGGAAAAAGATTGAAAAGACTGTCGATAATGTGCGTCGACTGCAGCGACTCGTCGTGATGTGTTTCTCGTAAACTTTTGCTGACCCGATGTTTTGCACGCAGTCCATGTATTCCCTCTCGGTCAAGGAAGATTGTATAATCATGTGAAGAACAAGGGGCTGTAAGGTTTACTGTATCTAGCATCATCTCATGTCGTGACCATCGTGTCCAAGAACGAACGATCGACTATATTACCTGAATGGCGTCAAACCTTACCCTCGAGCACGTCGTAGATTGCCTTTTCCAGGGTCCGCTTGGCGTGCAGGGTGGGCGTGGTGAATGGAAGGAGCATCTGGGTCGTGTACACCACCTGACGATACAAGGGAAGGTCAGCGGCGATGCCCTGGCGAGATTTTGATGACCTGCTACTCACTGTGATACCAGCTCTCGGGTCGATCCTACACGAACAATTCAGACATCAGCCAAAGACGTGCATCAGACATATGACCCGAAGCGATCTGCACTCACCAATACTCGGTTCCCGCCGCGCCCGACCAGCCGACGCTACCGGACCTCCTCCCCACCCCACCCCGTCGTCGACCTTCGCCCCGACCATCCTTTGCGTCGGGCCGGGTGATAAACATCCCCATACCCGTGCTCCAGTCGTATTCCCCCGGCTGCAAGACGTGTTCAGGAGCAGGTGGGTCGTACATCGGTCGAGAGTTTAAGGAGGCGGCGATGTCTTCCCTTGCCTTTTCGGTCGGTAAGGTGGGGGTGAAGAGGGAGATGACGGATGAGGGGGAGAGGATGGCGTCCGAGGGATATTCGGATGAAGTTTGAGTGGCTATTTGGTAGCATTTGAGAAGGTGGGTGAGGAGCTTGGAATAGTCCGTCGTCGTCGAGTAGATCCCCCCGCCCCCGGCTGGGTATTCGATCTCTTCACGGCTGCCAAAAACAACAATCAATACAGATTTCGGGCTCGATTCAGTCAAAACATCCTCGATCGTAAAGTGTAAAGTGACCATAATAATATAGGCAACACCTGATAACTCACCTCCGCGGCAATTTCAACAAATCACACTGACCCACCAACTCTTCATACACCCCCTTTTCTTCGTCGTACCACCTCAGGGGCATCAACCTCCCTTCAAACCTCTTCTCTTTATCGCCGAAGGGATAATAAGTCGTATTCACCATCCCTAGGGGTTTGAGTACGTTTTCTTGCAAGTACTCTTCCATAGCGAATTTCTGTCCTTCACCGGAGAGGGTTTGGGGGAGAAGGTTGACGGGCAGGAGACCGTGCGCTTGAAGGATATCAGGGAGGATCAAGGCGAGCCATTCGGCGGAATTACCGTATTGCCATCGAGTCCCGGGTTGTTCGGTAAGGGGCGTGTTGATGAGGTTTTCCTGTAAGGTGAAATAATAGCACGCAAGGGTCAAGGTTCGGATTTTCAGTTCAATTCTAGGCTCGTATACAGTATGTGGGGTGAAACGGGAGGTCACGCAGCTCATAATCCATGACCCTTAAGCGGAAAGAGAAAGAAGAAGAGGTACAGTACTCACAACCCGACAACTATTCACCCACCCCCTCCCCTCCTTCGTCCAATCCTTCCAAGCCCGCACTTTAGGGCTCATCTCTTGTCCGAACCCGCTGGTTTGGTTTAGCATCATCCCTAGTGTTACGAGGATTTTGGTTTCTTCGAATACGGGCTGGGGTTGAATACCTTCGGGGTCGTTGGAGTTGGAGGTGTTTGGGACGGGAGAAGAAGAGGAAGAAGAGAAACCGGTAAGGACCCGAGAAGTGGCCCGGGCAAAGGCGGGGGAGTAAGGGGCGAGTGGGGTGGTTAGGGAGAGGATGCCGCGGTCGATCAGTTGCAGGTAGCCTGTTGAACGTTCGGAGTTGAGAGCGGGATGGAAAAAAAAAGAGGATGCGTTGTGGTTAGTGATATGGTTTTATTGAGAAGGTACCGGGATTCAAGGTTTGGTGATTGGGATGGGATGCCGTGCGACAGATACGAGAAGACGATAGAAGACGATCGAATACCGGAGAAGAAGAAAAAACAAGAGAGCGTGAACCGGGACCGGGCGACTCACAGACGCTAGTGATCAACTTCGTAGTACTCGCAAACCACAAAACATCATCAAATGCCGCCTTCCGATCCCCCTCGGTTTGTTGGAGCGGATCAAACCACCCGGCCCGACCGTCAAAGATGGGCCCAGAGGCGTTGGAGATGGTCAAGCATTGCGCGGCGTGGGATTGACCGAGGGTGGTGAGGAGGTCTTGGAGGTAGGTCTTTTGGGGTTCGGAGAGGGTCGGCAGGGGGGCGTTTGGGGCGGGCATTGTTTTCGTTGTTGTAATTGTGTGGTCAGAAAGTAGATAGGTCAAGGTTGGGTCGGAGGAACGGTAGATGAATTGCGAATGGGACTTGTTATCAACATGGCCATCTGTTAAATAGGGGTAAGCCCAACGTGTAGAACGTCGTGGAACATCGAACGCTCTCTCTCCTCCTTCGGTCATCGGTCATCGGCGTTCAACTTCAATTCCCTCTCGGCTTCGGCCCGGCAGGCTAGCGAGAAAAGTCCGAAACGCCGAGATTGCTTGTCACGTGATATAGTCGATGGAAGGGGGTGGGTGCGGGAAGGAGGCCGCGTGTTTCATGTTGCGCCGCACGGCGTCTTTGGTTGAAGGGCAACCGCTGTTTCGATCGTTACGGGGAGTGATACCTGAAACTCGGCCCTGGCCTTGTCCTAGCCCACGGCCTCCTCGTTCCCTTCCCCTTCCTCCAACCCTGCGCGTTCCTTGTTTTGAAATTCGGTTGGGGCGGGGGCGAAAAGCGAAAGGAGGATGATCGGATGATAGGATTATTCACGAGGCTGGTTGTGTCATTGTTATAGATGTCACGTGACGCACAGTGCTGGATTGGTGCTGCAGCAAAAGTCAAGAGTCAAGACGACGGCTGTGAGATGAGACAATGTCAAGTAGTGTTGGCAGGCCGTTCAAAACGTGAACACCTTGGCCCTGAACGCCGTTTTTTACCACGCAATCCCCAGAACGTGAACGTGAACGTGAACGCCGTTTTGCTGAACGCCGTTCACCCCTTTCCAGAGCCGTTTAGCCCAGCGTCGAACGTTTTGAACGGCCAGAACATTTGAACGCTTGAACGTTCAAACGTTCAATGAGCTCGTGAACACTTTGCATAATTTCGAGCCGTTACAGAGTACAAAACGTTCATTATAAATCACCTCGATCATTATAAACACATCTATTAAACGTCAATGTCCATGTCGATACCGTCGCTGTTCTTGTTCTCGAGGTCGATCACCTCCGTCTCGTCTTCGATCTCGATCACTTCGGCAGGAGGCTTGGCCGTTTTGACCGGCTTCGGGAACGTTTGCCCGACCGAACGTTCACGGGCCTTCGCGTTCTGCTTCTGAACGGCCTCGACCCACCTCTTCTCCGACAGCAAGTCGTGCTTCTTCCAGTCCCCCACCAACATCTGCGAACGGGAGGTGTTGGGGTCTAGTCGAGTACGACGAGTCGACATCATGAGGCCGGCCTTGGAGAACGCCCGTTCGACCTCGACCGACGTGGCTGCAAAGGAAGACGTTTAGACGTTTAGATTTGTAGACGTTCAAACGTTCCGAGACGTTCAAACGGCTTACCTGGCGTTCCAAGAACATCCAGCGCCATCTGCCTCAACCCATCCATCGGCGGCTGATGGACCCACCACAACAACGACGACCCGTGGAACGGCGCACTGGCGATGTCGACCTTGGGAGCGTTGATGTAGGTGTCGAACGCGTCGGCCTCCACAACATCCGCCTGCGAGTCCTTAGCCAACAAGGCGTCGAGCTCTTCGTCGTCCTGAACGTCCAGAACGTTCGAACGTTAACAGCTCGTTCACCGTTCAACGCCTGAACGGGAAGACTCACCTCCATCCCAGCACCGACCTGCCCCGATTCTTCGAGGCCTTCGACGTGGTAGAACGTCTCCCACATCTCCCGACCCAGCCTCTTCGCCTCCTCGATCCACGCAGACTCCCACTTCATTCGGACCATGTAGGCGACACGGTAAACGGGGTGAAGGACTGAACGTTTTGAAACAGTTGACGTGTTAGAACGTTGAAACGTTTGAACGGCCTAGAACGTTCCGAACTCACGGAGGGCGATCCGATACAGAACGCTTTCGTCCGTCTTGCTGTAGTACTTATCGAGCAGTTCTTGACCTCGCTTGATGCCGTACGATACAGCCAGGGACTTCGCGTTCGAACGGGCTTGATCGAACTTGGACGTGAGGGCGTCCATGACCGGGATGACGCCGGCGATCGAGGTGTTGTCGATCTTGATGGCGGTCGACTTCGAGAACCTCTTGGTGGCGGCGTTCATCAGCTGTGTAACATTAAGTAAACAGACCGGAGTGATCAGTTATTGTCCGTTAAGAGTGTTCGGACGTTCAGACGTTTGAACGTCAAACGTGTCATCAAACGTTTGAACGTCTAAACGGTTGATGGGTACTGACCGCCAACACCGGCTCCAGCTCCCTCAGCACCCTGAACTCGTTGTCCTGCAAGACGTCTTCATCCTTGAACAGTCTCGAGTCGAGTTCTGCAAAGAACCTCTTGCTGTAGCATATCAAGATTCAAGAACGTTCAATCAGTTTGAACGTTCCGGAACGTTCAAACGGCATGGACTCACACGACGATCTTGTTCTCGATGCGCGCCTTGACGCACTCGAACGTCGAGCTCCACCGGGTCACTATGTCGACGGGGATGGTGTGGGCCCCGGCCCTGATCTTGTTCTCGCGGACGAGAGCGTTGACACACTCTCCCCAGGCTTGTCGGTAAGACGAACGGTATCTCAACCGCTTCGCCAATGTTCGGACCTGTAAAAGAAGAACACGTTCATACGTTCAAACGTCAGAACGTGCCCGTGACGTTTGAACGTTCGAACTATAAGGTTTGCCAGCAAACCTGAATAGTAACACACGGGACTAGAAGATACGGGTAGGGTAATGAATGTAATAACGGATGTCTAACTACTACAAGGTGCTAGTTAGACATCTTCGAACACATCTCCTAATAGGTCTCCGAGAGGGTCTCCGAGAGGGTCTCCGAACGGACCTCCGTACGAGGTGAAAACCTACATCCCGCGCGTGTACGACATGCGTACCGCGGATGCCTATAATAGGATCCCCCCCTTAGGGCGAGATTCCAGATTGCCCAAAGTAGTCGAGTAGTCCGAGGCTAGATTAGACGTTTCATCTTGAAGCCCTTTGTCCCCTCAAAACGTCCAGTGTCTGTACCCTCGCGACTCTCCTCACGTCTCCGCTCTATTGTCCCCGAAGAGATCGTCTAGAACCTTCGATTTGTACGCCCAGGTACACTGGTTCTTTCTGAAACACTGCTCGGCACCCGTGGGTGCTGCAATGAAGAACCTATTGTCTATCGGTGTCGTCGACCCGTCTGAAACGTCCAGCCGACGACGATGACGCGTCGCGCATCGATTTCCTATTGTCTCCCCCGCGGACATCGCAACATGGTCCTGTCCGCGGTATTGTTCGTTGATGTAAACAAAGGTGATGTCGTATGTATCGACGTCCTTTCCAACCGATATCGCTGTATTCTCTTTGTCGTGTTCGACGTAACGACTTCTTGCTTTGTCCTAGTAGTTGCTACCTAGGTTTCTTTTGTCTTGTTCTCGAAATGTGAAAGGTATAAGACCCCCGAGGGGGTTTGTCGACTTGATGTTTTTCGACGTACGTATCCTTTCACCTCTAGCAAACCTATAGCTTACTACCTTTCGTATTTTTTACCCGTTCACATCTATTGTCAACTATGCCTTCTACTCCCCCTCCTCCTGCTCCTCCCCCTCCCGAAACCCCGACCAAGCGCAAGACTCGGTCTTCGAAGGACGACGATTCCGGGTCTCCGTCGAAGAAGGCAGGGAGAAAGCCCGCGACCGGCATCGAGCACGATGCAAAGTGGGGATACATCCGTGTCGACAATTGGACCGGGCCCGAGATCGCTGAGGTGTACGCGATCCAAAAGAAGAAGGACAAGTTGAAAGGCTGGCTCCCGCAGCAGTTCGAGGCGGCTTGGAAGGGAGGGAAGGTGGACGAGTTCAACGGGATGTTGGTGAGTTGTGTTTTCGATCCTCCTTCGCATCCCCGCCACGGTCTCCTTCGCAACCTCCGTCGGGGTCTCCGGTTGAATCTCCTTCTTGCTCTCGCAGGCTCGTTACGCCGGTAACTGGCAGTGGTGCTGCCAACACTGTTACGACGACATCCCTCACAAGGATGTTACCCCCGACGACTATACCACCTGGGATCCTTACGAGTCCGTCTTCTTCGACCACGTTCGCTTCCAAGGGATGGCGCTTTGTCGCCACGTCGTTCCCCGTCCCGGTCAGAGTGGGAACCTCCAGAAGTCGTGCTGGTATTGTTCCGGCGGGAAAGGTGGGTGTACCCCCATCTCCCACAAGATCCAGGTCCTCTTCGACAGGGCCCAGCCCGTCGAGCACCGGATCTCCGCGGGATTGGAGGTGCAGAAGACCCACAAGATGGGCGCCAGGACCCGGGACAATCTTTACCGGGAGACGAGTAGGCTCTTCGAGCAAATCGTCAGTACCTTTCTCTTCAAACGGTCTCCTACTAACTCTCTCTCTGATACATTGCTGTGTGTTCGTTTTGTGTATATAGGTCGTTCCTTCCTTGAACCGCCACAGCGGTTTCTCCGTCGAGGCCGAGCGTGGTGCGCTCCGGAAGAAGATCGCCGCCGTTGTCATCGCCGGTGCGCAGGCGGAGAACTTCAGTCCCTTCGAGGCCGCCCGCAAGGAGATGAACGAGTGGAAGGGGGGTGTCTACGAGCCCTACCCCGAGCCCGAGGAGCTGGAGGACGACGGGATGGATCTCGACTCGGACGACGAGGTCACCATCGTAAGTAATCTCCTTCGTGTTCTCTTTCGCACGCTGACTCGGGTTTCGTAGGCCAACAAGAAGAAAGTGGCCGAGGAAGAGGCCGAAAAGAAGAGGCTCGACGCGGAGCAGAGGCGTCTCGACGCCGTCGCCGCCCAAGAGGCCCTCGAGGCCGCGAGGAAGAGGATCTTGGAGCTCGAGGCCGCCGCCAACCCCCCTCCTCCCGCTCGCCCCGCTCCTCCCGTTCGCCCCGTCAACGATCCTCCTCCCGTTCGACCTCTTCCGACCGGATCTGGTGGGAACGGCGGCGGAAACGGCGGCGGGAACGGCGGCGGGAACGGCGGTGGGAACGGCGGTGGAAACTGATTCGGTTTTGACTTGTAATATCTCGTTTTGGTCGCCGTTCTGGGGTCGGCTCCCTTTTTTTTTTATTTTATGCTATTTTCTCTTGCAATTCGCTTCTCCAGCAAAGTCTCCGAACGAGTCTCCGGATGTGTCCCCGAGCGAGTCTCCGAACGAGTCGTGGTACTTCATTGTTTTCGTAAGACAAACTTGTTTGTCGTTGGCTCGTTCAGTTCGTAAAAAAGGAATGGTGATAAACATCTTCGTCGGACCTGCCGACGAAGGTACAACAATGAGTAATGACAATCACGAAAACCCTAAGCACCCGGAGTCCATAGCAACGGCTCGTCCCCGTTCTGCTTAGCGAACTCCTCGTCCCAATACGCCTGGTGGTTCTGGGCGGGAGGTTGCATGTACGTCGCAGCCACCTGCATTCGACCAGCCTGTTGCCGAGCCTGCCACCAAGCAGGTGGAGACCTCTTGGCGTTGCTGCACTGGGCACTCCTGTGGCCGGGCTGCCAGCAGTTGTAGCAGGGTTTCCCGCCGGGCATCCTCGCAGCGTCCACCTCCATGGGCGTAGCACCCGACGTGGCGGCCACCGCAGGAGGGACAACAGTGGTGTTAACCACAACAGGGTTTCGGGGAGCGACGTGGTTACCTGCGTAACGATTCCCGCTCGTGTGGGCACGGTTACCCGAAGACGTGTGCCTACGGGCTTCCGCTTGGTCTTCATACCGACGACATTCCATCTGGAACTCCGCCAGCGTCATATGCTCCTGGTTGGGCATAGGGATAATAGCGTCCTGAAAGGCCTGGTTCAGGTTGGCGCGGAAGAACGACCGTTTGCCGTACTCGTTGAGGTTTGGGAGGAGGGCGGCGAGGTCGTTGAACTCGGTGATGTACGTACTCAAGCTCTTGTTGCCCTGCTTCAGAGAGTAGTACTCCTTCTCCGTAGCAAGGATGTTCCTTCCCCCTCCGTACATCTCCACAAGCAACGCCTCGAACTCCCGCCAGGTGACCTGAGTTCGCCCCGACGAGTACTCCCTTGCCCATGCCTGGGCCTGCCCATCCATGTACGACTCCGCGTACATAATCTTGTAAAGGTCGGTGTACAACCCCGGCTTGACTTGGAACTCCCGGTTGCATTGGTCCAGGAATCCCCTAACCTTCTCCTTCTTGCTGCCATCGAACCTGTCCGGCGTACCGAACTTGAACAGCTTCGCTCTCGCTTCCTCCGTGGCCGTCGCCGATCGAGTGTCCCTCGACATCGCCAACTCCATCATCTGGCTATGCATGTTCGCCATCATGGAGAGCAGGGCGGAAACGTCCGGACTGGTAGGAGGCGCAGCGGCCGGAGCAGGGTTAGCTGCTGGGGGTGTTGACTGCATTTGTGGGGGAGTCTGCCCCATGTTGTTGGCCGGTGCGGCCTGCGTGGAAGCGGTAGGTACCCCCGTGGCACCTACCTCCGGTTGCTGGTGGGCAAAGACGCACTGGTCGTTCACCAGCGTCTCCCCAGTTGGGTTCCTCCACATGAACCTTCCTTGTCCATCCATCATCTGCATGCTTCCGTCTTCGCTCAAGACCGGGATCGCATCCGCAGGGATGGGGTGGACAGCCCTATCCGGTCCGTAACACTGCGTGAACGTATTCATCGTATACGGGGTCTCCTAGTCGGGGTGTTTGGGTGATCCGTTATTCTATAAGGTTTGCCAGCAAACCTGAATAGTAACACACGGGACTAGAAGATACGGGTAGGGTAATGAATGTAATAACGGATGTCTAACTACTACAAGGTGCTAGTTAGACATCTTCGAACACATCTCCTAATAGGTCTCCGAGAGGGTCTCCGAGAGGGTCTCCGAACGGACCTCCGTACGAGGTGAAAACCTACATCCCGCGCGTGTACGACATGCGTACCGCGGATGCCTATAATACGAACTCACCTTCCACAAGGCCTCCTTCATCACGACTTGACTCGCCCTTGTCATAGCCGCACCCGTATCCCCCCCTGAGCCACCAGCCACTGCCGTAGGTGCCCCTGCTGAACGGGTCTGCACCGTTTGCTGGCTTGCCGGCGTTTGCTGGGTCTCCGGCACCCGCGGTAGAACGAGGTCGTCGAGGATCGGCTGATCGACTACGAAGTCTTCGTCCTCGGGCTCCTCGACGTACTCGATGTTGGCGTCGTCCCCAGGTAGGAAGACGTGGGCGACTTCGTCGTCGTCGCTCGACCATCTGAGACCGGTCGCACCTTCGATAATGGTCTGAGAAGTTCAAACGTCAAGGGGTGTTAGCTCACGTTTGACGTTCAAACGGGCGAAACGTTCGAACGGCTCACCCCAACGACCAAGTTCAGCACATGGGCGAAACATCTCACCCGGCCCCCCACGTTCAACCGTTTGAAGCCTATCTGCCCCAACGTCTGCATCATGCTGTCGTTGTTCGACGCATTGTCGCAGATGATCGACAGAACACGGTCTTCGATCTCCCAATCGCAAAGAGTCTTCGCGAGGAGTTTGGCGAGGTAGGCCCTGGTATGTTTCCCGTTTGCCCTATCGAAACGTTTAGACGTTCAAACGTTTGAACGGATCAGTATTGTGTACCAGTTGAAACGTGTGAAACGGACTAACGGGATGAAGTCGATCAAACACGACCTCGGCACGACCACGTTGCCATCGTACGTAGCAGTCCAATGGGCGTAAACCCCAATGAACTTGCCCCCTCGACGATCGGTCCAACCGTCGGTAGCGATGTGAAAGACGCCTTCGTAACACTGGAAGGCGGTCTTGATCCTCGCAGCGTTCACCGTGCAAACGCTGTCGACGTCTTGCGCTACTAAACGGCGCGAGGGAAGGACCTTGGCCATGGCCGGGAAGGATCGGGTGAACATGTCCTTAAACTAAACGTGTGCAAGCCGTTCGAACGTTCAGTACGCGTGAAATGTTTGAACGGGAAAAAAAAAGAACTCACCCCATCTTGTTCGACCACGCTGAACGGATGGTTGTTCCAGGCGATCCAAACGGCAATGGCGTGTCGAGTCGCCGTGGCTCGAACCTCCGGACCCAGCTCAGTCGCCGACGTGAGGGTGGCCTGGTGCAGACCGTTCTTGTTGTTGGCCGGGTTGCTGGCACATTTCCCGGGGTGGGTGTTCAGGCCGGTACCGGAACCGGCGTCCTTCGCGACCTTCAAACGTTTGAACGTGTTGCAATGGCTAAAACGAGTTCAGACGTTCAGACATGTGAAGAACGTTCAACGTTCAAACTGTTAGAACGTTTACTCACCGGCAGGTCCAACACCACCAAAACACGGCCTCATCCTTACCGTCCTCCTCCACCTCCTTCCTCGTAGCCGGTTGTGGGCGGTGGTACTCCCTATTATAAAGGCTGGCGGCACCGTGATCGTACCACCGTTGACACCACAGCTCGAGATGCTGTTCATGCTTCTCGAGCGAATCCATTTGGTCGAGGAACGGGGGAACCTTTACGGAAGGGGTGGAGGCTGAGCAGAGGTTCAGAACGGTTAGCAAAGAGAACGACACCTGAACGTTTGAACGCTGAACGGTTCAACTTACGTTCACTCTCACTCGCCTTCTTCTTAACTTTTTTATTTTTTTGTAAGACCGTAGCCTTACCCTTACCCCCCTTACTCTTCTTAGATGGGGTGCCTACTCGTTCATGAGGATGTTGTTTAGCTTGGCCCGTTACACGATTGAGAACGTTTGAACGTTGAAACGTACTCGCGAGAAACATGTCCTCCTCGAGCTCGTCTGCCTGCTCCTCCTCGTCGTCGTCGTCCTCTATATAATCGGCCGCTGCCGCTTTCCTCTTCCTCGTCGAACTCGAGGGCGTTCCGTCGACACTGTTCCGTGTCGGTCCCTCACGTGGCGAGGACCCAGGGGGGGCCGTTTGACCGCTTGAAGACGCGACCGCGTTTCCAGTCATCGAACGTTCTGTACCGGCGGGAATTCGGATCTTGAGGCGAACGGGCGTAACGGCCACAGGGAGAACGTCGTTTATGCGTTCATGGTGCTTTTGATGTCTATGTTTGATGAACAGGTGATTACTAGAACGTCTAAAGAAGGTGTAGTAGGTTACTTACTCGTTTACCGTTTGTTGGAGTCGATTAGGCTTCTCGGCGCGGAAGCAAAGTCTCGACGTGGACGTTTCTCACGTGTTCTTATTAGCAGTTGACGTTTTTCTGCAACCGTTCTGAACGTTGGATCAACGTACGTCTCTGTGAACGTACGTGATGATGTTATACGTATCTGACGGGTGTTGGTCACTCTTGTAGCAGTGTGCTGGAGTCTGGTCGACGTTCTGCCCGTTCGTTCACGTTTGAACGGGGAAATTGTGAGCGAGAAATCGTGAACGGGAAATCTGAACGACGGAAGCAAAACGCCGTTCACGTTTGAACGGCGGAAGCAAAACGGGCCGTTTTTCGGCCGTTCGTTTTCGCGCGTTCAGGCGTTCAGCGTTCACGACCCGCCAACACTAATGTCAAGGATCAACGTCAAGGTTTCGAAGGAAAGTTTGAGGGAAGGATAGAAGACCAATCATGATGACCGCTACATTAAGAGGTCTCAGTCCCGGGAGCTAAAAGTATCAGAGACAACGTGTAAGGCCCGGGAGCGACCCCCGACGGGGGTCCCCCTGGACAGGCTGACGGGATGCAGGAATGAGGCAAGGTACGGGTAGACATCTAAATGTAATAACAGATGTAGAGCTATTACAGAGGTACTAGTTCTACATCCAAATAACAACACCGAAAAGTACCCCCGGCGGGAGTCGCATAGGGGAGTCGCGTACGGCGCGTCCGACGCGTCACGTGACCGCTACAACACAATGTCGAGCTTTGAGAGGGAACTACAGTAGCCAGTCGCCGTCACATTATGTACATTATCATGCAAAATCAAGAGGGTACAGTATGGAGGTTCAAACACCCGACACCCGATCCAACAGGGGGTTACTGTACTGTAGGAGGTCCATTTGCCGACCGGTCTAAAAAGATCCAGGTGATTACACCGCAAGTACAATAGCGGCATACCATGCCATATAAGGGAACTACTGGACTGGGGTTTAAAACAACTATAACTGTCCAGGCAAGGCAACTATAAGTAAGAGCCAACTTACCTAATCTTGTCCTCTAGATCTCCCTCTTAATTAGGCCTCAGTGGAGGTGGAGGTGGTGGTGGTGATGGTGGGGGACCAAGTTGTCTTGAATCAAACTGGCTCGTTTGACAGTGTAGTGTACTAGTACTCGTAGTGTAGTGTAAGGAGACTTTGATTGTGAAGCTTGAGTCTGAGTCTGTTGCAGTGTGCCGCGTGAAAGGAAGGAAGGAAGGGAGGAAGAAAGGAAGGAAGGAACGAGGGTTTTAACAAGGATGAGATCTTATTCCAGATGGTCGAGCACGCCAAGATCTTGTCCTTGTCGATGCAACAAAAACCCAAGATGGAGCAGGGTCACGGTGCCTTGATCGCTATCGTTGCACCTGGTGGGGACTTGATCGGCGAGAGTCTTTCTTCCGATAAAGAATTCACCTCCGTCTCGATCCTGGGCTCCGATCTGGTCCAGGCAGAGGTTCAATTTCCAGGAAGGTCAGTCAGGGACGAGGTTTGATAGGCGGACGAATTGAAGGATCGGATGAGGGGACGGGTCATACTGTATTCCAATGAGACGATACTATAAGGAAGAGAACGCCATACAAACGATATTGTAGGAAGAGCAGAAATAGATACAAATACACGTGCATGTACAACTACCAGCTTGTCATCTAAAAAGGTCAATCCTCTCAGGTGCTGTCGAGCCACGTCAACATCTGAACTGGAACCCTGAGCCCCTCTTTAACTCAGAGGTCCAGCCATTGCAATGCAAGAGGACCATTTTGAAAATTCCAGGCTGGGTATGTACATGTATCAGGTCCAACCTGGACATGCAAATAGCGTCGGGATGTTGGTGCTCTCGGTAACCGGTGAGGTGGGGTTATCTTGCTGATGAGGACGTCCAGAAGGGGGATTAAAATGACGACAGGTTTATTGTGGTTCTGTTGGGCGTGGTACAATATGGTCTGAGACTCGGTAAAGCTGAAGTCGATGTCGAGTCGGCTCGACTTGGAAGGCCCGGGCTGGCCAGGGCGTACTGTATCGATGTCGGTGCGTGACGCCGGTCTCGAATCTAGGAGGGCAGGACGAGCTCGAGGGTTGAGAAGCGGGACCATCGCGGTCGTCGCCACGTTTGTTGTGGGGTTTGGCCCACTCTCAAGCCCAACGATAATCCCGTTCCGGCCAATCAGGATACCAGGGAATACGGTCCCAACAGGAGGAGGTACGCCGGTGCCTAGTCAGTGTTGGAGAGGATCGAGGCTATCTACTCTATGGGAAGAGGGCGTCTAGGTTCGCAAGGAAGGAAAAGATTGAATAGGGGCATTGTCGCCGTCGCCTTCTCCACTTTGCGCTCAAGCTTCAATCATCGGATTCGTACTGTTGTTCCGCCGTCAATATGGCTCGTATTCTTCCAGGCTATTTTACTTACACCGCTTTACCAAAGTCGGACACGCCATGGCGAACGATGTCCGGTGGAGATATGATGATATCCCTCGGCCCGTACGCCAGCTTGTAGGAGGTGTTTGTGGGCGCTGACCGTCAGGTATCCATCTTGCACATCTCCAAGGGGTCACATGATCACCACACCTTTTTTGTCATCTCCCGAATTGCAATCCGGGCCCACCTGCATGGTCGACACCAAACAGGTTGTGTGAGATGAACTTCCAGGCATGGGGATGAGAGGACCTACCTGCAGATTCAGGTAGAACTTTGTCCTTGTTCTTCCAGTAGTACTTTAGAGCGTCCCCTCTAGCTCTCGCTGCCTCTTTGGCACGCAACCTGGAGGTACTCGTATGCGCCTTGTGCGCATATCTGCGGCGAGACCTCTCCCTTTCCGCAATGATTCTGTCGGGCCGCTGCCTAAGGTAGGTGCGCAAGAGCATCTTGTTAGCAAAACGATCGCGTTCCGTATGTTGATACCTGAACCTACCTGTATTGTTGGCCGTCGGCCCTTGCGTATGCTCGTGCGTGGGCGCTCCTGCTTTGATAAGCTCTCGCGTATTGAGCCTTTTGAGCGAGGTAGGCAGGGCGAAGTTTGGGATCGTATCGACGAATGCGAGCACGATCGCCGTACGGTCGCCATCGTTGTTCTAGACGTTGCTGGATTGACCGACGATCATATGCTAATCCGGGTTTGGTCTTTTGGTCTACACGACTTATGACAAGTCGGACGTAGTCTCGACCCGTTCGAGGGGTATCGAGCAGGACTCTCGTAGTTTCCCGTTCCATTGTCCCGACCGGATCCGTACGACCTTTATACACCCGCCCACACCTCAATGCACAAGCCTGCCAGCCGCAAGGCTGACTCGCCTCTTGAGACCGAAATGCTCGGCCTTGAACATGGTCTCCCGCTCGATTATCCTGCCCATATCTACACGGCAACTAAAAACACAGACGGCTCGTACCTCTCACCACGACTGGATTGGGTGTTATTGCCGGCGCAGATATCATCGCAAATTAAAGCAAGCGCGCCTGCGCCTAGCTGTATCTCGCCTGATGTTCAGATGGTGGCAAGCGACCAGGCGTGATTAAAGCCCACGGGTGTTGCGTTACGGATGCTTTGGACGTTGCTTGGGGTCGGGACGGAATACTTGTTTACGATTTGGCTGGTCTCATGTTGCGTCTGACTGCAGACCTACTTTTGAGCGGCGGAGTGGAACGGATCATCGTCTTTGAGTAACGTATGCTACAAAGCGGCTTGTTTGTTGTGGTTGTGAATTATGATTGTGATTGTGGATTGCAAACAAAATAACAAAGGTGGGTGTAAAAAACGGATGTGCTTTATTGACCCATGCGGCCCATTGTTCTGAGAACAATGGATGCGTGAGAGATAACGGATTTTGACAATGTTGCCCCTAATTCAGTCAAGAAAGGAGAAGGGGGGAGTTACAAAGGACAACATCTTTCAAGGGCCGGAAGACGCCTTATACAGGGGGCGCCTGGCAACAGCACAGCACGGCACAGGTAAACCTTTGTCAGAGATAATGCGGGGTCAAGTATAAAAGGGGACCACCTGGCGGAGAAGGTATATATACCGAGGGGGGCAGAACAAGACACCAAGCCAGAATGCCAATCCGTCTCTCCACATCAACCAATCCAACAGAAACCCTTCTCATACGAACCTCATCACCTTCTCATCGAAAGATTGTCATCATGATCACCTCGGCAGATATCAAGCATGCTGCCATCCGGTTCTTCTCAGAAAACCTAGATTGTTCGGCTCTCGATCCAGCTGAAGTATGGGAGTTTCTGGACAATGAAAAACGCAGAGATCCCAAGATGCTCGACAATCGGGCTCTTGGTTTGAAGACGGCTCTGGAAACAATCAAGAAACAACTGGGCCCCAGCAACATCGAGACCGTGGGAGCGGACGAGTTCCGGTATCATGTTGTCCAGGTTTGGCTCGCTAGAGCTTTCTGCTACTTCGCGAGCCAAGTGGCTACAAAACTGGAGAACAGTCAGACTCTGACGCAACCCTACTGTGAGATATTCGATTCTGCCAAAGATTTGGTTTGGGGTCGCAACTCGGCACTCCTCGACTTCTGTTTGGATGTGCATTATATCGCCAAACAACCACTTTTCCAAGAGCAGGGCTGGGTATGTCCAGAAGAGGACCTTGAAGATCTTGCAAAGGCCCTGAAGACGCTCAGATCGTATACTTGGGAGAAGTTTGAAAAGACGTTTGAAATCCCACATGATTCTGGTTCGACGTACTCTTTCGATGTGGATGGTGTTTCCGGAATGTCCAACTGGGACATCGAGACGGCGATTGGACTTCTCTCAGCGGAGTGGTCAAAAAGACAATCCACGTCCGAAAGAGGCAACCCATCGGAGACCTCCATGAGTATGCAGGGGACCGAAGCTGATGGTACGAAGTTTTACGATGACACAACCACCGAATTAAACACGTCATCAGAATCTGGCAAGAAGTAGCTAGTCGTTCATGCATTGCTATGCCAAGTCATTTCTCTGTACAGTAGATTGTGTGTCCTTGTATAGCTATGTCAATCGATTGCACATATTTGGCCTTTGGAGGGCAAAACGTGGCCACCGATATCTGATTGTCAGGCAATAGATTGCGACCCCCTCGAATGTGCTGAGGCCGATGTAAAAACCACCCGAGTGATATCATGTGTTACTGGAAAGCTAACCATGCATCGCACGGCCGGATTCTACCGCTTCAGCGTTACGGTTCTGTCTCACTTCTGCGAACCTCGATGAAAAATTCAAAGGAGGACGCAATGCAGAACGTTCTTGTGCGATTTGCAATCAGGTGATCATGTCCTAGAAGGCCTCCCAACAGCACAGCGAGTCTAGGCTTGAGGACGAGGTGAGGGATCTACATCAAACGTTTGCGATCTGAGATTCTCCGAGAATGCAAGACATCGCGTTGAGACACAAGCACAGAACAGCATATATATATCTAGATTCTCCACGCGATACTTTAGAATCATTCTGCTAAGGTATCAACGGAATCGGTCTCACCGCAATCACTGTTACAAACATGTCATTCGAATTGTCGTGTTCAGACCAAGACGACAACGTGTCCCGCAGCACCGTCTTCGATGGGGATACTAGCACCGTACTCTCTCAGGCCTTGTCCATCCAGAGCCAGATGACAGCCGACGAAGCCGCGGATCAACAGTATTCCAGCCTCTCTCTCGGCAAGAAGAGATACCGCACGGAAGAGCTCCCTCGAGCTGGGGTGATGAAGCCCAAGACACCGGGTGAGACGCAGCCCCTGGACGGTGGTAGGAAAGGAGGCAGTCAAGGAGGTGGTGGGAAAAGAGGTGGTCAAGGAGGCGGAGGTCAAGGAGGTGGCAGTCAAGGTGGTAATCAAGGAGGCGGTAAGGGAGGAGGCGGATCACAACAGGGCGGCTCGAAGGGAGGGAATGTCAAGAAGCACCTGTGAAATCTTGATCGGTCGACTCCACTTGATGTTGATTTCCCGGTCTGTCATTGTAAGTGAATGGATGATTCGCGCGTGTGTGTAGGACGAACCTTTGATTCTGTACACTACCCTTGTGAACGATCTATTGTTGTACACGCTCGGCTAGCTTCGATAGCTGGAACTTGTTTATATGCTTTTTTCGTCCTTTCGACGGAATGATGCCTGTGTATAAGCGACATTCTGCGGTTCGACTTATGCTCTCCTCCCGCCGCTTAATAAAGGTGAATCGCGTCATTTTATGATCGCGTGGTGGAAAGCATCAGAAGATCTCGTTCCCGATCATTCAGGCCGAGGGCAATTTGCCCGCTTGTTACCTAATTCTTCGAGCGCGACAGTGAGGCGTTCTGATTGCGCATTCATATGATAGCAAGATGATCGCTCTATGAAGTGTATAGCTGCATGAATCTGATCGCAGACGGTCTTCAGATGTAAGAGGTTACATCCTCTAATGACACAGATTCTTGCGGCTGCCATGTGCCCTTCGGTGCTTCGGCTCCTGTACTCGTACATCATGGCTTCACGCCCGTTCTGCCTCATGCCGATTGGACGGATTTGAGCAAGGTATTCCAAGGCTCAAGGGCGCCAACGGTATTGACGTTAGCTGGCAAGCACGATTGACCTACCCCGATTCTCGTTCTTCCGTCTCATGTTTCATCGATGTCTATGACTTTGCTTCCGCAGTTTACGCGCCTCACATTCGAAACAAGGCGAAGCCGCGGGGCTATGCTATCCTTCTCGTCTCTTTCGAACTGTTCGAGAAGGAGGGTTGGGTGGAAGTTCCTGGTGCCATCTTTATCGAACAGGTCTCCTTTGTGTACCTTGGTGCAAGCTTCTTGGTTTTCTGCCCCAGTCAGCAGGAGGATGCGCATTTGCGAGTGAATGTTGCGGTCGACGTCAGAGGGGCTTGCGATCGCAGTGATTCAGACCTCGAAGATCACAAGAAGACTCGAAAGGATGTACACACAATAGCGTGGAAGAAGTTGCCTATGGGTTGTGGTCGGCATCGCTCCGTAAGAAAGAACCAAGCGTCGGCATTGTGCTTCTGCGCGCACGACAGTGAAGCTTATCTGGAACTTGGAGTTTCGACGCGAGCGCTTCTGCCTATTCAGACAGAACTTCGTTGTATGACTTCAAACCGCTTATCTCCTGCTGGCTCACGTTCCTGCTTCGTGTAGTGGAATAGATGCCCTTCCTCAGAGGGCTACTCTGGGAAGGCTGGGAAGCGTAAGATGCTGTAGTCTTGTAGTCTTATGCGATCATATAAAACATCACCCTAGCTCGTACAACGTGAATACGCTTATGTACCATGCTCTCTATCGTCAACTTCCATAAATACACCACACGTTACACATCTCATCCAGCCTCATGCTCTCACAAACCTACTCCTGTCGAGAAGACGATGATGACAGCAGGAGTCGTGGCGATACTTACACTACCATCGCGACCTCCTCGGCTCCGTCTGCAAGTTTTAATGCCGCGAGTTCTTTGCCCAGGGAATACCTGTCGACTCGTGGACAGCAGAGCTATAACGCCAATGATTCGAATGATATCGCCCCAGCCAGAGGCAGTCAGTACAAAGGTACTGGTCGTCAAGCACCTGCCACCAAACCGAAAGATCCCCCTCAAGGTACTCAGGTAGATCAGCCAAGAGACGGTGGTGACAAGCCTACCGAGGGGAATGTTGGGGGTCAGGCGAAATGATCTGATACTTTCCCAGATGTCATCAAGCAAGGAAGACATAGCATGAATGGCAGGCCGAGGGCATGAAGCGGTACTGGACCATCAGTGTAGAGGGGGGATATATGATATCTCATTTTGTATCTTTATGGTCATTTCATTGACCTTGTGATATTTCCTTACTACATGCATCCAGATGAGACGTCTACACACATCTGATAAGTCTTGGACATGTCAGCTGATCAGCTGATCGCGTCTGAACATTCTCGACAATCACGATATGCGCTCCTTTCAGTATTTAATGGAGAATCATGAAGAAGCACGGTTCCGCCTGGGACGACAGGCGAAGACAATTCTATTTAGGATTGGCCAGTCGTGCTACGTTATAGCCGTCTAGTAGGGATATGCTCAACTAATCAATCCTTTCCCGAATCATCCTTGCCATATCGCATCACACTTGAAGGTACAATAAAGATGCGTTCCCGAGCAGAAGACAATTCCATCGATCCGTCGAAAGAAGCTAGCCTGATCAGCTACGTGGATACTCGCGACGACAACATGTCGTGGTCCTATACTCCTTCGACTGTGGAAGTCAGTGATGGCCAAGAGATACAGGAGGAGACGAAGTTAACCAGGTCGCAACACTCATCTGTTTCACTACACCTAGACACCAAGCAGCGAGAAGAATCGACTGGGAAGAAGTCCAAGGCAGACAAGGAAAAAGCTTCTCTACCCGACCCCCAATGATCACGCCTGCTTTTGTATCGAGACCCCGAGGTTTTCCTTTGTGTTGTCAAGCAGTCATAACACGAAAGTTCATATTGATCTGTAACTGTACTAGTACGCTCAAAGCCTTGTCAAGGGCGTCATGGATCTCGAGTAGGCCCATACAGTATCAAGTGGTCAGTCCTATCCTGGTGAGCAGAATGATACATTGCATACATCTTGTTCGAAACGACAGGAATGATTCCAGCAAATCCTACTTTCAAGAGACTTCGTGAATTAGGAGATATGTCGGAAGATGCCTGCTCTGAGCTAGAAACCCACCACATTTGCAAATACGTCCCCGTGGTCTGAGTGTCATGAACAGCGGGAGCCTCACAAATGCTATCTGCTTAGTACAGAGCATTGAGGCAACTGAACAAGCTTTCTTTTTGATCAAAACGCCAGGTTTAGTCCAGCAATCATCGAGACCCGAGACCAGAGTATTATACTGGATCTGGCTTGATGTGATAGCCCTTTTTGCCACGGGACCAATACGCTTCACTCAGGCCGGCTGAGAATATTTTCGCTCAAGAGTGGTGGCTACCGGGTCAAAAATAATATTCTCACATCGGCACAGCTACAGGCTACGTATCCTTGATCTCAGCAGCCGACAGACTCTCGAGCGCGGCTTGGATGAAGCTGGTCATCGCCAGTACCTTCTCGTCCTCCAGCCTTCCCGCGATAATCTGTAGGCCAACCGGAATATCGTTCTTGCGCTTGAGACCATGGTTGAACACTAGAATCCCATCGATTTGGCTCATCAGTCTAGAATTCCACTGGTATCTTGCCATTCTAATGGACTCACCATACTGCTTGAGCTGCTGACATAGATTCTCGTCGCTACCGGACGGTTCCCAACCAGGCAGCTCATCTTGCCCTTCAACGAGGGGCACTGGAAACGCCGCGGAGCTGAGATCAAGAATTGAGGCAAGTACTGTGTATGAGTATGGGAAGTCATTACCGAACTTCCAGGCTGGTTCGGTCAGGATGGGCTGGATCAATGCGTCGAAAGGTCGTCCCGTTGCGGTGATCTCGGAAGACTTTTGCCACTGCCGGAAGTAACGGATCTGGTACTGTTGACGCCGATACTGCATTGGCCTATTGTAGGAGGCAGCATAAAATGAACATTAGTCCTTCATGCACCTGCCGAACCATTAACGCGTACCAGGAAGATGTCCTGGGTAATGCTGCATCGGGGCACACCACCTCGCGGATCGATTCGATCCATGGTTCATTTCCTCTTGCGAGTTCCTCTGCGACTGTATACGGTGATGTCAGCAGCGATAAGCTCAATAGGGGTAGTGCCGACCAACCTCCTGCTCCTCGGTCCCCAGCGATATGAACAAGCTCATCGAATAGCGTTTCCAGCTCGCGAGGCTCGGGATAAGTCCACTCGACGACTTCGTGACCGAGATTCTCTAATGCCCGTCGAACGCGATTCATGGCGCGAGCAACAGGAGGGGAAGGTGAAAGGACAGAGTCGCCCATGGACCAGGCAAAGCTCATCTTACTCGGCAAGACAGCTGGCTTGTATGCAATCGGTAAGCAAACGGGATCGTGTTTCCAAGGTGAAGCGTCGATGATCGTGCGGAAGACGAGATCTAGATCGCGGGCGGAACGCGCCAGTGGTCCAATGGTCGAGCGTATCGCCTCCAGTCCGGGCAGAGTAGTCTCGACATCCTGTAGAGGTCGTGAGTGCTTGTCAATCTACGACACACTGTTAAGTACGAGTGCGCAAGCAGTACACACCAAATCGGGCGTCCTTCCATGTGAAGGCCTCAATCCGTATAGACCGCAGCAAAAAGCTGGAGTGCGGATACTGCCGCCGATGCTATTCGCACGACAATTAAAGGCTCAGTATTAGTCTTGTTCTCAAGAGCAGACTTCCGCAAAACATTCACTCGGACCCTAATCCTACGGCACTCCCACCGAAAGCGACTATGGCGCCTTCTCCTCCAGACGAACCACCTATAGCCCAAGTGTTTTCCGCCTTAAGCGCGCGCGATGCAATCTCTCTTGCATCTCAGGCGACCTCACTTGGTGTCAGAGAACGATTGTGCGGGTTTTTTGTGGTCCCAAATAGGTTGCTTTTTGTCTCCCATATCATCATCGATACCGGAACCGTTGTCTTGGCAACGATGATGGCTCCGGCGTTCTCGAGAATCGTAACGATCGGGGAGGTGTATTCGGCCACGCGCCCAGCCCGTCCAACGTATGCCAGCGAGGTGACGATGCCTTCAATGTTGAATTGATCCTTTGCAGCGAAACATCATCTTAATGGTGACAGTCTCATATGGCATAAAGTGGCGACCTCACCTTGAATGACATCGGCAAGCCGTGCAGCGGTCCAATGGGCTTGCCATGCTTTTCCATATAGTCGTCCAGAACCTTGGCGCGAGTCATGGCTCTTTCGAAAAGCGGTTCGGAGATGCTATCACGAATGCATATGGTAAGCGACAGAAGATCTCGTAAGGATGATCACCACCCGAGTTTACCAGTTCAGCAGTTGATCAGCTATACAAGCTCGTCTGCAATACGCCTTGGTCACCTCCATCGCCGTGTATCCTTCGTCCCGTCGTGCAATCCGCTCGACCAAAGCTGTTCCGTCCGCCTTGAAGTACTCTAGTTCAAGGCTGGTCCACATATCCAAATCGGACATACTTTTGACGGCATTGTGATCCTCGGGCAAGGCGTCGAGGTATTCCTGCGAAAGTAACCATTCGGCGGGATAGGTCGAATATCGCTGGCGGCGCTTGTCGTCCGCAACGTCTTGCCAAGCGGGCGCCATTGTGTCTTGTCAGATTGATACAGATGTATGGAATGATTGGAAACTTGAATCACCAAGGAGCTGCTGGGACAATCCTCATAATGAAGTGTGCGGATATGTAGTCGCTTTTGTGCTCGCTAAAGGTATAAAGGCAGCTACTGCGGTCGACAAAGGCTCGAGAAGCAGAACAAAGGGATGTAGTTCTAACAAAGATAATGCCATACCAGGTCACGAGATGGTAAGGGACAAAGGCAGATTCGGCTGCAACGCGATATCCATGCTGGAATCGATTGTAGCCGACACGCCATAGTTGTCTGATTCGCCAGCTGACGAAAGTTCATCTTGCGCTTGGTGCTAAAGGCCTGGCTTTGATCAAGAAGCTAGAATAGCGTCAGTCACGACTGATGTGATGCATCTTCCTTTGTAGCCAGATGATGACTATCCGACCGGAAGGTGGCTTCTCCAGACTCCAGATGACAGATCAAGCCACCATATGTATGGGCCCGAAAGAAAGACTTCCATACGGAGATGTTCAGATCTGACATGACAAACAAGACCATTCGCTCCATACTTTTAAAAGTTCACGTACAGATCTTACCAACTTTCAGACCAACATGGACAAAGAGGATGCCCACTCCAGTATTGACAATCGCACGCTCTCTGTCGGTGGTTCGGCCGAGGCGGCAGAATCAACACTTTATGACACGGGAAGCGATCAGACAGATGGTGGATCGAGCTTGCACTCTATCCAGACAAAGTCAGGGGGGATCCTAGGAGTAAGTAGCATGAACCGTTTCGATGCTTCGTACAGTTTCATATGCTGACATCGATTTACGTTCTTTGGATGATCTGGCAAATGTCAGATGAAGTCAGGGCAACCTCCTCTGGAATGGGGATCGATGAGTGAATTCCTTGATCTCAGCTCCGTCCCGGCGGAGATGAAACCCCTTTCCCAACCTGACGGTAGACAAAAAATGGGTGTCAAGCCTGTTAATGCGGCGTGGAATGGATTTCCACCCATATACCGTCCCGAGCCTTCCCAGACCTAGATTCGGATCGGTCGTCCAGTCAGCGGTTCAGCGATCGGAATAGCATGACATGCCTGTTGTACTCGTGAAATATCTGGGCTGTCACCCGAGTCGTGAATGTTCATTTACTGAAGCATGTATTCTAAGCATATACACTCCAGCCTTTGAAACCGAGGCTTAGCTGTGCAAATCCTTTGCGGTTCGGTCTTTGACCTCTTCTCGTACCCTTAAATCTTGTGCGTTCATATCGTGTGGGGCCCGGATGCGCGGCACCGACGACTGACCTGTATATCTCCCGCTTGATTCGAGATGCCCTACATGTGGCTAATATCACAGATACTATTAGCACCCTGCGTTTTGAGAAATCCCTGCGAGGGCGGCTTAAGCTCTGCGTCTTAGGATAGAGACAAAGCCGATTAAAAGCGCTACAGCGAGATATGAACGGCAGCCCTCGGTTCGTCACACTTGCGCGATGTCACGATGGAGACAGCACACCATAGCTGTGCAGGGGTCAGCTGATGAAACCACGCGACTCCTTTGTAGTTTCATGGCGTGCTCCGAACCAAGAACCTGGTACATCATGGTTTCCAATCACTATATATACCGGTCCATCAGGCCTTGATTTGGGTAGAGAAAATGGTGTCCAGGGGAATTTCAGTATCACATCCTCTCCCATACCTCTTCCCAATTGTCACAGACCCCCAGATCTTGCCACTACAGATCTAGAATAATGCCTAGTATCGGATCTTCGTTGAGGCACACTCCGCTCTCTTCTCAAGCCGATCTCCCTTCGGGAACTGGAAGTTTAGGAGCCGAAGATTCGTCCCTACTTGAGCGCTCGTCTCGCTCGGATATCCTCGATGAATTGACTCGTATCCTCGATGAGTTTGATGACGGTTCATCTCTCTCGGATGAACTCGATGGATTGACTCGTACCCTCAATGCATTGAATCGTCTTGGAGGGGATCATACCGATGGGCGCAGTGAATTTTTGGCCCAGCCCAGTGGACCTCCGCGCGGTTTCGGTGGCATGGCCGGTCTGTGGAGAAGGGACGATCCCAACCACCCAACTTCCGGAGGGTACAGCCGCACCGCCAAGCAGTCCATCTTTTCGTCGCCCAAGGAGCCTGAACCGGCAGTGGTCGAAGAGCAGCCTACCGCAAAGAATGGCCAGCAGAGCTAGACGTGGAATTGGCTCCGCTTCATTCGAGTAGTGTCCACATTCTCATTATGTAGCATTGTTGATGGATCTGATAGAAAGCCATGATCATGTATTGATGATGAATTGCGACATTGAATGGGCATCAGACCACAGCCTGAGAACAGAATTTGAAGTTTCAGCAACCAGAAATGTACAGCAGCATATGATCGAGCTTAGTATTCGAGTGGCCAGATTACCTGACTATTGCAGGCAGTAGGAGAGCGCAAGATCGCTTGATGATACTATATCACTCCTTTGTAATCGATGCGTTATGGTTTTTTGAAGAAGCTGGCTTGACATCAGCCAACAATACTATAAGTATCGATCCATCGAGGTCATAGTCGCGGCAAACTTATAGATGATTAGAAACCCTTTTCCATGTCATGGACTCAACTTACAGCACCATCTCATATGGACAACATGCCTGACAACAGCGCCCACAGTTTGCCTGAAACCAAGTCCGCAGCCTCAGATGATATCACGTCGTCCGCCGGCTCTTCTACCGGAACCGCGGCCACGTTCAAAGGGACTCACAGCTTGTACGAACGTCATCTTCACGGTTCCTTCTTTGGCTACGATGATTACCCTGGCACAGAGTAGAGGCTGGGTATGCGAGATCCCGGCTGGGAACAAGAGATGAGAGAGTGGGAAGATAGCTTGAAACAGCACAATCATGCTAAGTGGCAGGAACAAGGACAAGCGCCACAGGATCATCAAGAGATAGGCAGTCCGAAGACCTCGAATTTGGAGGACCAGGAGAAGATCGCGAAGCCTAACGTTGACAAGACTGTTGGGAAAGCGTTGCCGCAAGACACCTGAGAGCGCGAACGCTCTCCCTTCCAATCAGGTAGCTTGCTTCCGTGCCGTTCTGTACCGATTCTTCAAGAAGCTTGTAAATGACCTGTCAAACCGATTAATGTTTCTCTTCACTCGGAAATACGGTACTGACGCCAATCTCTGCTTTGATTCTCTTCCTTGCGCTTCAGATCCAGTAGTGTTTCAGCCATCAACCCAATGAAGCCATCGTCGCCGCTTTGTCACGTGACGTAACCCACCTAAGCGATGGACCCGATTTTCGCAGATGTCACAAGTTGAACGGACAACGATGCTGAAGAAGGCGTCAGGTGCTATAGTAAACGCGTGTTCCAGGTCTTGTTATGGGGATGGTTTATCCGTTCCTCCGCCTTCTCCCTCAGACATCGCCAGCTTCCTTGTCTTGGCGATCCGAGGCAGTCTGGGAAACGTGACTATAAAAACACCTCAGACTGACTCTACTAGATCTTGGATCCGACACTTACACATGATAACAAACCCATCATGGGTCTGATGGGGTCGTTCCTTAGTCCATCTGTTATGATAGGCTACCACCGCACGAATGGCATGTGCTTCCCGGTCGGCTCTTGCATCCCCACGGGATGGCTTGGCATCTTGGCTTGAGGTGGTTGTCGCTGGAGCTACAAGGTATGATATTTGAAATTTGAGAGGGAGACTAAAGGACGAGAGACATTTTTGAAGCAGAAGAGATGCTTCTTCTGTTCTTCGTGCTACATGACGAGCTCAGGACGTCTCGGGCTGAGAATTGAACCTTTGTTCGATTGAGTCGGGTCACCGCGTGTTTTTGAGACGCACGCTTACGCCCGAACGACGACTCGCCCAGATCGATACATGCTACAACTATACAATCATCATTATCATCCGTCTTCATCGCATCGCCATCCTTCTCTTCTAGCTTCTAGATATTCTCGTACTTCCTTCCACCTCGTTGATCCTAAACCCAGATCAAAAGTCTCGCTAGCCATCATGAACCCTGACGCCCCCCTCGCCCTCGGTGCCTACGTCGACGTCTTACAGGCCGAAATTACGACTCTCAGGGCAAGAAACCGAGAGCTAGAGCTGGAGGTCCTCGAGCTCAAAGCTCCTTTTCGTAACTGACTCACCCCAAATACGGTTGAGGCAATCCTTTATCTGGCTGAGCTTGTTATTTGTCATGAGCCAGAAAACAGGGTTGACCTTTGTCCAGCTGAGTTAAATCCCATCGATGACAATGGAGGCGGAATGGCTCCTTTGTGATCGGGGGAGGGGCGGGTCTGTCGAGTCAAGACTCAGCAACGTTACACTAGGCTCTGCGTCGAACCGGCAGGTAGTATAAATGATCGAAAGTAAAGCCAGAAAGTAAGGATACTGACAATACCAGGATATTGCAGATATAATCGGACAACAACCGTCAACGAATTTCCCGACAGATTCTCAGCTCACACGATCACATCAAGATGTCAAACGATGAGGACACTTCCAGCATGCGAAGCCAGACTGTCGCTTCACTTTCCACAGACGAACAATCGACAGCTCGTCCTGGGTCCGTTGCCGACAGCGTTGCGAGCGATGCCAGCGCGAGGACTGTCGTGGCCAGCCAAGCTAGTGGCAAGCAACCGCGTCACGAGATGTTAGGCGACACGGATGCTCAAGGGTTTACTGAGGTAAGCATACCATTCTAAAAATTACGAGGTATCCCATAACTCTATTATCATGTTGATTACGATAACAATCTGCTCAACATAGCTCAAACCCACAAGGACGACTCAGTTGTCTCCGGTTCAATCGAGCCCGAGCGAATGGTTCGAGCAGAACCCCGGCAAGTTGGAGCGGGATCGATGAAGTGATGTGCCAAGATCTATTATTCGAAAGCTGTGCAGTTGTACATATTTCGTTACCTGTATATCTGAAAGCACAGGAACTATGACATCTTTGTCTTCCGTCCACCCGCTTCAAAGACCGTTTTGACGACTGCTTCCTCCCCATTCGTCGAACATCAGCTCACCCCTCTATGGTGGCATCTGTGCGAACTCTGTGTACGGTAGAACACATTAAGCGGATGGTCTTTTCGATTCTCGTTGTGACCCTTGAATGTATGGTCCAGATGTCGGCTTTGTTGCCGCGTCGTCTTACCGTGGATAGTCCGGTGAAGATTTTAACATTTCTGCAGTATTCCTCTGGTTTTGACTTTCTTGCTAGATCTTTTGCGCTTGCCATCATCCCAGAAGTAAGACGAATAGGGCCTGTCCGTTTGCCAAAGCATGCCAGAAGATTCTTTTGAGAATTGATGTGTTGGATCCCAAAATGAAGCGCAGGCAAGCCACGACCGCGCTTACGCCTGGCTAGTGGGCTGACAGGGAAAGAGCCTGAAACGCGCCTTCCTTTCATGATCTATAATGTGATCCATCACACAAGCGTGGAGAAGCATAGAGTTCAATCTCAGCGCAGGATGAGTTGGCTATATATCACAGCATCGAGAATCACTAGTGGCGATGATCCTGTCAAAGCGAATTGGCTTCAGCCATCCTTCCCTTCCCACCCTCAGACAGCTCTACTCGAAATGTCCTCAGCTGACGACACTACACGAAGTTCATTTGAATGTGAGCAAAATGATCACACTCTGCGATCCGATCCATCACAAGCGACGCAGGAACCAGACACATCCATCGGATCTCGGGATGATGCTTCAACGGCCAGCGCCTCCACGGTAAGCTGACTTTCCAGGGATTCCAACTACAGCACACTCATCTTTGTGTCATATTTTACATATATCTTCCTCCTCGTAACTCCTGCCACGCACTATGATTCCATCCCTCGTGTCCATAGACTAAGCCTAAAACAGTCGGTTTCAGACTCGATCCCGAATTTGAGGCTGAAAGACAGGAACGAGCAAAAAGAAGGGAAGCCAAGAAGCGAGCTGAAGAGAACAAAGAAGCTAAAGCTAGGGAAGAGGAAAGTGAACGGATCGCCGAACGGCAAGAACAGATGGATAGAGAGGTTAGACAGCGGGTACAAGCCAGGGTTGATCGACTCCAGGAGACTAATCATGGCTATGGCCGAGGTTACGGTGGGAGAGGATTCGGACGGGGGCTTTAAGGTAGTGTCATCAACAAGCGGGTGAATGATCGCGACGGATCATTGTTCTTGTCCTTGTCACGAAGACTCGTATCACGAGCGTCATCGTAGATGTGATTATGTGGTAGAGGTAGCTAGTTGCAAGATCTATGTCTGTTCTAGACACAATGCGTTCGTCGAACCTTGACCGTCGTCACAACCTTTTCTGCTTCGAATTCTCTTCACACAGGTATTTGATTTACGAGCCCTGTTTACCTACTCTACTCTTTGAGTCGCTCAGCGACTCTGATGTCCAATAATGTTCAGCTTCTGAATGTTGAGTGCCCTGACTATAGATTCTACTAGAATCGAGTTGATCAAGAGACTTCAGATTCCTCCCGGATACCCCATCAAAGTGAGATGCTTTCCTGCACCGAATCCGATCCAAATCTTGCCCCACGCCACGAGAAGTCGCCGCCGATCATCCAAATCATCAGGCCTGTATTGAGGCTATGCTAGCGAGCCGGTAGCTCCTTTGTGCTCGATTTTTCGGCATAATCCATCGGCCGAAAAGCATCCAAATGATGAGTCAACTGATCGTCTGATCGTTCGATGATCATCTGATGATCGAACTCAGGGGTCGCTTGATCATCGCCATCGTTGATCGGTGTGGACAAAGGAGACAGAGGACGATCCGCGATCGAGCGATCAGCGGTAGATCTGGAGCTTCTTTTTCCTCTTGGAAACAAGCTGAATATGGTCAGGGAAATCGGTTGAGATCCGTCCGTTGTCGATCGATGGTGGAATAACAGAGTAGTTCGGACGGTCGTGGTGACGTTCGAATCGCTGGTGTTCAATGCGCCGGTGATAGTCCGCACGTCTCAACGATCATTCTCGATAGTCAACTTGCAAGTCATGCAATTCATCCACTTTCTATCTACAGCGACTGATAACAACCGTCGACGAGTAACATATAGCTCGAACCACGTGGACTCCTACCTGTCGCCACGCGCCACAGTCGAAACGCACTCGACCAATATGTTCGAAGACCTCCCCGACATCGGTACTGAAGAAGCTTTCGCGAACTTCATCCGCCAAAACCTGATCACACCGCCATCAAACGAGATCGAAGGTCCCTATGGAATCACACCTTACGTCTATGCCGATTGGACAGCCTCAGGACAGAGCTTGAAATGTATCGAAGAGTATATCAGGGATGAGGTTCTTCCGTGGTATGGGAATACGCATACGGAAGCGTCGTTTTCGGGGCAACAGATGGGCGCGTTTCGTAAGCATCTTCGGATGTTCTGTTCCGTTATCCTGCGATGTACGAGGTGGTCTGATCAGCATTCAATGATGGCTACCGTATGGTGCTAGGCGAACAAGCGAGGACTATGGTCAAAACCGCCTGTAACGCCAACGAATCGGACGTCTGTATTTTCACGGGTTCCGGAGCCACAGCGGCGATCCAGAAGCTGGTTGATATCCTCGAAGTCAGCTTTTGATCACATTCCCTTCTTCTCGAATACTGACATACCAACTGAACATATCGTTCTTGTAATTCGCAGATACGCCTTGCACCCGGACAGGAGAATAAGGTTAGGCGGGACGCGCTTCCCGATAGCGAGCGACCTGTTGTCTTGATCGGGCCGTGGGAACATCATTCCAACATCCTCGGTAAGTACTCTATAACCCATCCCCGCTGAATTCGTATCGATATAGAATAATACAGGCATACCACAACGCTATTAAGGCTGACGATCAATCTCGTCGACGGTGTAATGTAGTCTGGAGGGAGACAATAGCGAGGATCATCGAAGTCCCTGCTTGTCCCATCACAGGCGCATTCTCTTACGACAACTTCATACCCATCCTCGAAACCTTAAACTCCCAGGCCCGCCATCCGCTGCTCATAGGAACATTCTCAGCAGCATCCAACGTCACGGGCATAACACTCGACATGCGGAAAGTAGCAAGGATCATGCATACATATGGAGGTCTGGTTGTTTTTGACTGTGCGGCCTGGGCGAGTCATACGCCGATCGATATGAACCCCGAAGACAGTGGCCGTGGGGAAGTTCATGGGGATCTTGGGGAGGCGCCGGATGCGGTGGTCTTGTCGCCGCACAAGCTGCCTGGAGGACCTGGGTATGTATTCTTTCGTCAAGATGGTTCGTAAAATGAGTGGGATTCGCTGATGGGAATGATGTACGTGGGCTTGTCTTGGTTTCGGTATACTCGCAGCTGTCCCGGCGTCCTCCTAGCCAAGAAGCGGATCTTCAAGAACGCCACTCCGAGTTGCGTTGGTGGAGGAGTCGTCGAGCATGTTTCTCGAGATGGTGCAATTTGGGTCGAGGTGAATTTCTGTTTCGAAAGTGGTCTGTATAAGGTTGATACTGAAAGTCAGAACGGACAGGATACTGAAACGAGGGAAGAGGCGGGAACTCCGGATATCGTTGGGGCTATTCGGTGCGGGCTGGTCTTCGCGCTGGTAAGCAAAAGGTACATCTACTGTCAAGCCTCAAACTTAGTGTCGTACCGGCTCGAATTTTTGAAAGAAATCACTCCCAAACGCCGGTTTCGATTTATACGAAAGAAGGCAAACAGCGAAACACCTAAGCAAAGTCTGGGCGCGATGGTCTGCCATGCCAAACATTGTCCTGCTAGGCGCGCCTCCTGATCAGGTACACCGGGTCCCGATAGTCTCTTTCCAGATCAAAGGTCTTCATATGACCTTTGTCAATACCCTCATGAACGACCTTTTCGGTATACAGGCGAGTTTATCATTCTGTATCATGATCAGGCTGATGGATGCGCTTGCTGACCTTCAGGATCTTGGTGATGGTGCGAGTAGGCGCGCGACGGGTGTTTCTGCGCTCATACCTACATGGCCGATCTACTCGAGATATCCGAAGACGCAGCACGACTGAAGTCTCTTTTCAAAGTGTATAGGGAGGGTGCGGTCAGGGTCAGCTTCCCCTGGCTTCAGTCGGAGGAGATGGTGGAGTATATCATTCAGGCGGTCGCTTGGATCTCGGAAAGGGGATGGTGAGTAAAGCTTGAAGTATGTAATCCTGGATCTATCCTGACTTTTGGTCGGTAGGCGGTTTCTACCGGATTATCAGGTCGATTGCCGGACGGGAAAGTGGACCCATAGAAAACGCCTTCGCGACATCAAAAAGCTTTCAGTGTGCGATCTCTTTGTGCGTCGCGCTAGTCCGCTGAAACGCCAATGCGCATCGGACCCTCATTGGACGGAGGTGGTTCAACGATTGGAGACTCATCTTTCGAGGCAGGCGGGCACACCCATGTCGGATTTGCTTTTAGAGGAACGAGCGAGAGAGAAAAGTCACAGAGCTGAAGAGTTCCGGTCCTTTGCCACTCCCTTCGAAGCCACTCAGCTAAGAGCCTCAGGCATTGATCGCGCCCTCTCACACGATCGTATGGAGGATGCGACAGCTTGGGTGAGAATGACTGGCCTGTCAGAGCCAAGTATCAAACTCACTTTGGGTCTTACAGAGTGGATTCTTGTCCACCTTGCCGAAGAAACGACATCCAGTACCAGATGCAGGGCTAGATACCTTTGCCAATCCGGATGTGACACGCAAATCGGATGCTTGGTCCGATTCCGATACGACGAGTAAGCCCGTGAAGAAACCAAACGCGCCGGTGCCCACGCCCGACCATCCTCGTCGTCGTTGGTACAGCAGATTCCTTCCCAAGCGAAGATCGTCGAAAGCGAAAATCGACACGCCTCCGTAGGCTGTACTGAGTAGTACTGGACGACTTCCTGCCGCCTTTCCTTCTCAAAATGACGAGCTTTACAGGAACGTCAGGTGCTGCTATACAAGACCAGGGCGCGTAGTAGAATGATATCGTACATCTCGTCAGTGTAACAAGTGTTATGGCCCTGAGCGAGCAGGACAAACCTGTACTGCCTCCGTCACATGTCGTGCACGGGCGCAGACGCATGTGGCTGATGCGTGTGGCTGCTTGCTACGAATTCGCCTCGAAATCCTGTAAGCCGGCGGTCTTTTTGCAGCAGCTTGAAGTGTCATCACATATTAGCCATCGCCGGTTCAACATCGCATACACATTCAAGTGGTGCTGTATGCCCTTTAGCACGGAACATGATATCGGTAAATCTGCCTATACTGCATCCGCATTAGGGTAGCGTGACGGGTAGATTCATTTCGGTGCGATCTCGTGTTCGTGCTTTGACAACTGATGCACCATACGGACAGGACATGCAGAAAGGAAGATAGAATAGTCGTCCCAGCAGGTGGACTAAGAGCGTGACAATAAATGTACGTATGCGCCCTCGCCACCATCGGCGGAGGTGGATGGCGATCAGGAATCAAAAATGAATACAACTTGTAATAAAATTCGGCCGAGTCGGCAACATGTCACCTGTGGCCTGTGCTAATCGAAACAAGTCCCCTTTGACTTTCCTTTCACCCACATGCCAAATTACTCGGCCGAGACAGCAATGGCGAGCGAGGTCATCGTCCTTGTAGCTTTGAGCTTCGTCGGTGCGCTGTCGACCGTAATCTCGGGGCTGGTTGCTCCGGAAAGTGCTCGCACGCAGCTCGTAGCTTGAGGATACTGTAGGTGTAGGAATTAGGCGATAATGACGGCCACCATGGATCACGAGCAGTGGAGAGGGCGATCGACTGAGAGACCTTTGGTACCCTCTTTTCATAATCTCGCGGTCAGCTGGCAATCGAGATTCATCCCGTTCTACATTTATCTGCCAAGGTGCTTAGCTTAGGCCACATTCACCGGCGAGCTGACCCGATCGCGAGTCGTCCGTGATCACGAGGACTGGAATCGCCAGCTCGCAGCTGGAACGAGGGGTAAGAAGATGATCCTTTCATGCTTGTTCCGTGTAGAATCATCGATTGGAGAGGGTAGGCAGTGCTTGATGGCTATATATATGACGCCCGGTAGGAGTCTTTTCGAGGTGCTCACGAACGTCTGGGATATCTCGCAGATACAACAGATCATCACAGTACACTCTTACATTACAGCTTACCAGTCACTACACAACATGCCATTATGGACACACACTACAGCAGAAAAAAAGGCATGGCTTGAAGCAAACCCACTCTGGCTCGACGATCGATCGCTGACAATGAGCGGTCACCAATCTTCTACGGTCGATCCGCAACCAGCTTCTACGTTCGGCCAGGAACCAGCTTCTACGGTCGACGAGGAACCAGGTTCTACGGTCGACGAGAAACCAGATGGTACCAAGTTTACGGTCGACGTACAGCGAGATGGGGATGGCTCAACGTCCCACGCCGCCGAAAGTTCTGCCGATCGTGCAGTAAGTGGCGGGCTGATACTATCGATTAGCTCTCCTTCCTGACCCCCCGAATCACTTCGGATCTGTTCATTAGCCCAGCATGTCCGGCGATCCCTCCCCGGGTCATGGCGATGCACAAGACAAAGCGGCGGATGCAAAGGAGGGCAAACTCAGGAGGGCTAAGCGAAAAGTACAAGAGTCAGGAGTTGGCAAGTTCCTCAAAAGAGCGATGAAGGAAGTCGAGTACGTTGACATGTGATCTATAAACGCGAGAAGTGGCTACCAGGCAGGGAGGTATGGAAAGATAGAGGGGGAGGCGATGGGAAAAGGGTGTCAACGGAGATCACAAGGCTACCAATGTTGTGTATGATTTCAGCGAAGCATCTTCTTACCTGTTACTTGATCCAAGACAATGATCCGAGGCGATAGTATAAAATCAGGTCACTCCGGGTAAGTAACGATACTGAACATACAGACATATCGGGCTGGTCAGCTTGAAAGATATTGTGCAGATTTTTCAAATCTTTCTATGAGGTCATCATCACGTCGTTATGGTCAAACAAGACAACGAGGTGCCGATCACACAATGTCGCATCAAGTAGGAAGTCCAAAACGTCTTCCTTGACCTCTTGCGAGCAATCTCTCGAGATGTCACTGCTCCGGCTTCAATAGTTGAACTCCAAGATAGGTGGATTTCGCGAAGAAAAACTGATAACTACCCGGATGCCCCTACCTCTAACCCTATCGTGATTGCTCCTCTCTTGCTAACTAGTATTTATATGCACATCTCTGAGGAGCATCTTGTTTCGCCCATGTTTGATCTCGCCATCTAGAAGCTACAGCGCAACAGGGTTCGCCTGTTTGGTTGTGCCGTTGCTCCAACCCTTACCACATTCGATTTCGTAGTCAAACTCTTACCTCTCTGTATCTTCTTGGGGGTTCGGCAGCGTTCTCGAAACCCCTTGCTACACTGAGAACTACAGTGATTTGAATGAAAATAGTAATGCTTCTCGCACACTCACAGGTGAGAACTCAAGCAGCTAGCCACTTTGTTCCTTAGTGTTCCCGTTGACCCAATGGCGCAAGGCAACCGAAGCGAGCAGGGCGAGAAGCGAGGACGTCCTTTCCTTTGTCAGGCAGAGGTTCTCGGTCATGTGCGATCTGGTGTGATAGCGGCGTAGCAAGAGGTATATCTAAGCACAATCGCATCCACCTCTCCGATCATGTGCGAGACCACAATACTGTCTTCTACAAGGCTATCTGCATACCCAGGCAACATGTCTCGCGCATACAGTCTCACTGAAGGCTCTATCAGGAATCAGAGTTTCTGTACGGGGTCGTTGAGTAGTACTAGCGATCTACAACCCGCAAGGATTTCCGAGCGAGGGACTACCAGCTCTCAGGAATCTGTAAGCCCATCCTTAGCTTGCTCACAGACGGGTACAGCAATTAATGACCGTAATGGGATATGAATCATGACTAGTCGCTAAAGCAGGATGATAATCATGCCACTGTCTTGCCTGAGCTCGCCACCAATAACGGTAGCGAGTGTGATGCAAATCCCGGTGACCCCGGCAAGCAAAGCCGTCCCAAGATCATAGCCAGGACAGATACGGCCGAATCTCTATATTTACCCCGGGACAAGACGCACGTTGCGCAAGAAAAGTCAAAGTTGAACTTTTTGGGCCTCGGAGCAATCGTGCGCAGATCCCGATCTCGTTCTCGTTCTCGTCCGGGTTCTCACTCATCGAGAAACCCTTAGCTCTTGTATTTGTGTCGCGATATAGCGTTTGCGACATTCATTTAGTCCTTACCTCGGCTCGCTCCTGTATGTCTGATTAATATCGATAGTTTTTCTTTCTGAGCGATGTAGTCAGACCATATCTCCGGTCATGTCGTGCGAAGTTCAAGGCGGGACGTCTCAATACAGGACCCTCATACTCGAGTACTATAGGTGTAACTAAATATCCAACGCAGTATGTTGGATGGATCTCGAGCAGGGGTATGTTTCACTACTGCTTGTCGCATGTGACACAATCATCTGATTCTACGTTTTCAAGTCCAGTCCCTTCCAGCGATTGTGGGAAAATTCGGACTTCATAACCTGTAGACACCCTCGAGCTTCAATCCAGCATCATCGATCTATGCATTGTTCAGGGCATCAAGGTGCTGGCGAGGATTCTCTCCGACGCCTCTCTGTATGATCAAATGCACCGAAGAATTTTCCGCCAGCTGACGCCATGATGATGCCATATGAAAGGAGATCACGGAGGGCTTACTGGGGATACCTCTTGCCTGCTCTCACCCGCCTTGGCCTCGGCGGCAATGCTGTAACAACGCTTGATTATGCCGGCCGAAAGGCCTTTCAAATGCTTAGGTGGGAGGTAGCATCTGGTGACACCTTCGGAAAGTGACGTCGATACGTACTATCACGGTGCAGCCCTCTGGTGAGTGAGAACGGTGTAGCTCTGGCGGGATGAATTCCTTTGTCCATATTCATGAAGTCGGAGAAGGTGTCGACAGCAGGCGGTTCTCGGCGCTGATGTATATATATCGGTATGGCATTCGGGATGTTCAGTATGATCTGGATGATTGACAAGCTTTTCTTCCGACCAGCATAACGTCCTTCAAGATGTCTTCCGGTGGCACCAACCCCTTCAACAATCGAGGTCAGCTTACTAAAACGGCTGAATTGAAAGCGCTCCGTGCTCGCGGTCCAGGTGGGCCAGGGTTAAACAACAACAGCAGCCATTCAGGGTACAATCCTCAAGCTTCCTCAATCGTGAGCTATAATCAGACCAGATCTTTCCACTCGCTCCAGGTCTGTTTGACCCTTTTTGCCCAGATATCTCAGGCCGAAACGTCGAACACAGACAAGAATGTCACCAACCACCAGAGGTACCCGTCGCACGCTTTCCCTTGGGACCCAGTCGACAAGGGTGAGCCATCGGCCTCCTTCGACACCTCGACGACCTCTCCGTCTCAGCTCCACTCGACTGAGGAGCCAAGCGAATCGACGAAGACGGGAAAAGTACACGTCTTGCTCACAAGAGTGAAGAGTCAGGCGACGAGCTTGTTCTCTCAAAATAAATCCCTCGAGAACTCTGACATCTCGCAGGATTCATCAAGGAAGGACTAGGAATAGATTTTTCAGCCGTTTGTTCTGCACCGGACATGGTATTTCTTTGTGGAAGTGAACGACTTAGATAGTTTGGACTGATGTACGCTATAGATGAGACTGTCAACTTCTCAAAAGCTCAGTGTTTTGATCACTCACTAATATTCGTTCCTTATCGCGATCTGTTCTCGGCGACTGGTCTCCGCACCGAAGGATGCATAGATGGTTGTCCAAATATCAACGCTGGGTAAGACTGCATGTGGAATCTACTGGGCTATAAACTCGCAAACAACATCAAGAGATCATCCGGCTGGGTCCTTGCTGACATGCAAAGCGTGCTCTTGCCTTTCCCTGTCACTGAAACCCCAAACGACTTCCTTAACGCGCGCGCTTGACTCGAAACGCATGGAACGAGGGATGCAAACTGGACTGAGACGATCCCCTGGAGAGTCCGACGAGACCTCCTTTCATAGTGGACGGGGTCGATCTTCGACTTGTATCGATCGGTGATGTGATTGAGTTGCTATATAGAACGATTGTATATGTTCGACCTGCTGATCGTTCCCGAACGCGACCCCCAGTGTCGTTACGATAAAATGCTTGACCTCCAAAACAGTATATCGAATATGTCAGCACCATCATCTCCGGTGATAAACGGGGCACTACTCTCACAGGCCTTGAGTTTTGGCCCGGATAGCTGGATGTCTCACGAATGGGTTAGTCGATCGAAGCGAGTGACAGACGAAGCAGACATTTGTCTGAATCGTTGAATGCAAGCAGGCTCCCGCAAGCCAAGCGCCAGAGTTATCTGCCGTGGGCTCGGATATTCAGAGCACCTCGGATCGCATTCCTTCCTCTATACACTCCCAGGATTACCATGGCAGTGTGAGGAGTGGGTCCCGGGCGCGGGTGAGCATTGAGCAATCATCGATTGAATGATACAGGTTCTTGACATGCACGTTCGATGCAGGACTCTTTCGATTCTGTGTCAGGCGATCCAGTGAATCACCAGCAGTCCTACGGCGACAATTGGCCACTCAGAGGACCAACATATGTACACGGTGTAGTGCGTTTGGGTTCGACCGGCAAAGGAAAGGTTGGTATAGACTCATGAGAGGTTCGTTCACAGGGCTCTAATGTCGTTATGCCGGAAAACACTCCCCTGCGAAGTATGTGGTGATGCGGCAACGTTACCGCTGCCTGATAAAGCTAAGTCGGTTGGTATGTCGATCTTACAGGACGAAAGTCATTCGCAGCTTCGATATGTTCTAGCGTAGAACCGGGATTCGTCAGTCCCATTACGCAGGATCTCCGTCCGGAAGCTTCTATTGGAAACAACGCGGGAAGCCTCACTTCGCATACGATATCGCCACTCGAACCCATCGCTAATTCGGCTGGGAAAGTCAGGGCAGACGAACAGCAAGGTTATGCTAGAACAGGTGACGGAGGATTTGCGTCTCAATTATTGCAAGAGATGGATGTCTGGAACACGGGCCCGCCGATGCTCTCAGTAAGTGACAGGCTAGATTTCGTCAGTCATGTTTCCCGTCTTCCTGCAGTTCAAATTGTCCGGTTGCTCTGTCGTAGCTGGACTCTCGGATATCGGCTCCAGGCGGGGGTTCAAGTTTCAGCTCTCATCTCCCGATGTTTGGCTATAACCGGGACGACGGAGGAGCGTGGGATCCGAAGGCTTATAGATCTCATAGCTTGGAAGGATCGCAAGCAGAAATGAACCACTTGGTGAGCAGCAAGAAGATCTTGCCGTTCGGGTTTCGGCTTTGGTTTCGATTGACCGTTCCAAATCGACAGCCTGCGAGTATCCGGACGGAGCAGAGAAGCACCTTTACAGGTGATCATAGTGCTACGATCGACGAGAACTCCCAAGTGAGTTTCTCGATCCATCAATCAAAAACGGGTATATCGTTGAGCTTCTGACATGCGGTCTTTAAATTAGCCCCGTCTACACGAACAGAGTGATATCGGATTACGTAGAAACGCTGCAAGGAACAGGAGACGTCGTATGCCTGATAACGCATCCGCAGACCTAGGAGTCAGTATGCACGGTCATGACACCTATTGACAAGCACGCTCATCCCTCCTTTTCAGCTTGATCAGAGTCTCAGTAAGGGGACTTCGTATGAGGAAAGTGTAGGTGAGTAATCCCACGGCGTTGTACGTTCGTGGCCGCCTCGAATTTCACTGAGATTTTGTATTTGTGACTTTTGCCGCCTATAGCAAGTGTGGGCAGAGATAACCTTTCTAGGCCCTCTTCCGGGTCGCGAGATATCAGCCAAGCGTCTACCAATGGTTATGGTCAAGATAATGCCTTTGGGGATTATAGGGTAAGCTTACAGTTGAGATATGGCGTGCGGTTAACAGTTTTCTGATGTTGACATGAGATTTTAGGGGCAAGCCCAGCCAACGAATCCGAGGCGCTTCGCTGAGGATGTTCCGCGCATTGCACAAGTCAGCTCTAGGCCTGATCATACAGGTGATGAGTATCCGAAACCGCTACAACGCGCCCTGTCACCTCAAAGCAAGAAGAGCAGGCAACCATGGACACGGAGATGGTTCAGGAGAAAACCGGCGAAAGACACTTCGGAGCAGAAACAGATGCACGATTTTTGTCATGGTTTGAAGAAAGATCCGGGCAACTGTGGGTACTGTATGGCCGAAGATGACACAGCGGACTACGCATGATAGACTTAGGCGTGTAACAGTGATAGAGTAGAAGGGTCTGAAGCAGACATTGGGACGCTTCTTTAATTATTGTAGAACCGGTCCGATGAGCGTTGTGACTGATATGACTATACTTCTGGCTTCCTGGCCTCTGAGTGCACTGACGATGTATGCCCAGACAGAAATCGGATAGCGGACAGACATTGCACGGAATCGAGATCCCTCGCCACTGTTTCAGACCTCGCTACACGAAGCGCGAATTTGCCTACGCGAAAACGCTAAAAATCGAACGCGTTTCTGGCAGGTCGTGTGCGGAACACTCTCCGCTCTCGCTTGCGGTCTAGCGAGCCGCCAAGCCGCTCGGCCCTCATTAATTAGCGAATTTCTCGGGAAATCCAATTTTCCCTCTGATTAGATAAAAAGCCCCGATGTCCCGATTAGCTGAATGCAAGCGATCAAGCGATCAGATCGTGATCATCGATCCTTGACCCCTATCCTCCTGGTAGATCATGGTCGATAGTATCAGTGGTGGTAGTGGTACCGCTATACCGTTACAAAGCGTATCAGACGACAAGACCAAGGAAGACAAGTATGAACCGGGAAACGACGACGCCGCGGTCTCTCCTCGACCTGAATCGACGAACGCGTTGCCGCAACTTGAGAATGAACGACGTGAACCAGAGTCGGAGTTGGACAAGAAGGTCGAGAGGAAATGGATGGCGGCGATCTATGGGTTGATGTTCCTGGCAGGTGAGCTTCGTTTTATCACCTTTCTGTCATCTCGATCGTGGTAACGGACATCATGCTTACAAGACTGACCCGACCATCGTCTTAATTCCGTAAAACTTAGGATGGAGCGACGCAACCACCGGCCCTCTCCTCCTTCGTATACAATCACACTATTCGGTATCCTACCCTATCGTATCGCTGTTGTTCATATGCGCCTTCGTAGGATTTTTTACCGCGGCGGTGATCAATATCTGGTTGACGGATAAGATCGGGTATGGGAAGGCCTTGGTTTTAGCTTCGGGTTGTCAGGTGAGTTTTGAGGGTTCGAGACTTGTAGCGTCCGAGGTCTCCAGGTTGCGAGCACATCTTAATCACTCTCTTCGGACATCACTTACATCTCCTTCTCCTTCCACCTCGACTTTCGCATTCTAGGTAGCCGCATTCGCCATCCAAGCCTCCAAGCCCCCCTTCCCCCTCTTCCTAATCTCCTACACCCCCAACGGGATAGGCATGGGCCTTCAAGACGCTTTGGGGAACACCTTTATCACCAGACTCCCTGGCGCTTCAAACAAGATGGCGTTAGCACACGCTATGTATGGATTAGGAGCGTTTGTCGTCCCGCTGGTAGCTACCCAGTTTGCGAGACGGACGCCACAGATGGAAGGGAGGTGGAATTACCATTATCTCGTTAGTTTGGGGGTGGCTTTGGCGAATACGCTAGGGCTGGTTTGGGTGTTTAAGGGGAAGAGGGAGGAGGTCTTATTCGAGGAACAGGGGTTTACGCCCGTAGGAGGCGAGATTGATGAGAAGATCGAGATCGATGCGGAGCATCTCGATTCTAATCACGCCGACGGGAACCTCAACCAGGAGGACGACAACGACCTCACCGCCGAAGACGTTTCTCCTTCTTCAAAAGCACTAGGCTCGCATACGAAATTCAAACGCATCCTCTCTTCCCCCTTTATCCACCTCGTCGCAGCCTTCTCTCTCCTCTACGTCGGCATCGAGGTGACGATAGGAGGTTGGGCGGTGACGTTCATCGTCGAAGCTCGAGGTGGGGGGGACGATTCCGGGTACGTCTCGTCAGGTTTCTTCGGGGGGTTGATGGTTGGGAGGATAGTGCAGATCGGGGTGGGGAGGTTTGTCAGTGAACATAGGATCGTTTATGTTTATACCGGGATCGCTTTGGCGTTGGAGATCGTGAGTTTTTTTGTGGCGTTGCTCTTCATGCCCTGCCTTTCTATCGACGTCGTATCGTCGGCAAGAGCCCTTGGTTGGTTGAGAGCCGTCTTTGTTGACGAGCCTCCGTTTGTGGTATTTTCTCGCAGGTTATCTGGCAGACGACGGGGATCATCGGGAACGCGGTCTGTTACGCATTCATCGGTCTTGTCTTGGGTCCCATGTGAGTTGAGCGACGAGATCTTCATCGGCATCTCTCGTTCTCATTCCGTACTCGTGTTCCTTTTTCCTTAGCTATCCGATCATGATGAACGTGACCGCAGCCGTCATCGACCCCGAACTAGCTGGCGGCGCGATAGGTTATATCGCCGCTCTAGGTCAGTGCGGATCAGCAGTCTTCCCCTGGATCACGGGGGCTCTGGCGGGTCGATACGGAGTTTGGGCTTTACAACGTGAGTCTTCCGGTTCGTCTCAGTTTCCTGGCTCGTCTGCAGTCGCGGCCGCCAGAAGGATTGAAAAAAAAAAAACGGTGTGTGGATGAGATGTTAATATGGTTCTTGTTGTAGCACTGCTGGTGGCGATGCTTGCGCTGGAAGGGATGCTATGGGCGGTGGTCCTGTTCATGAGCCGGCATAAGTGGAAGAGGATCCACAAGTTCTGAAAGAGCGATAGCGCGATAGATGGCCTTTGCTCTTTGCTCTCAGAGCTTGCATAAGTTTCAAGGTGTACTCTACTGTATATCGACAAAAGAGCGTTGCGTTGATTTCTGCTTTGGTCTTATGAAGGTATGAAGACGCATAGCTTAGCACAGGACATGAGATTGCAAGTATCGGGAAATTGAGTGCTCAGCGTGCCAGGTCCGACTGTCTATAGATTCTCATTGTCATAGTAGAGTAGTGTAATTGTATATTTTGTGTAAGTTTGTAACTTGTAAGCGTACTCGACCCAATCAGGATCTTATCATTCGATCGTTACAAATTACGAATATCACAACCACATCACAAGGCTACCATATACCATGTACCACATCTGTATATCTGTATATCTGAAGATCAGTCTCGATCGAAGAAAGCTATACAAGTAAGCTAAGAACACCTGTAGTACCGAGTAGTGTTGCCAAATGAGTATATTCGTATTCGTATTCATATTCGTTTGATGATGACATCTGATATTGGTATTTGTACTCGTAATCTACCCACGATTACGAGTATTGTATTCGTATTCAGTGAATATATACTCGAGTATATTCATACCAGGTTGGGTTCAAAAAAGCATTGAGTTGGCGCGCATGATGAACCGTGTTTCACAATGACATAAACGGAGCTCAACAAACTGCTTCAATATCCTTCATCAAACATAACCCTTGAGCATCCCAGATCTTGAGTGACGTCTGCTTAAGGACCATCTCTGGCTGCATTGCCTTCCGCCTGTGCCCCAATGTGTTACCGGATTGTGAAAACAATCGCTCGACACTGGTGGAAGATGCACGTATAGCTAGGAGGTCTCGAGCTACCCTTGTCAATGGTTGTAAGCGAGAATTGGAGAGAGATTGACGCCTCCAATAAGCTTCGATAGGCTCATTCCTTAGCATAGATTGACCAGGAACTCTGGTTGGTTTTGGCTTGGTGTCGTGGTTGACAGGCTGTTGAGCATTGAATTCGTTCCAAGCATCCTTGATTTCATCTCCGCTAGAAGTCCCAACATCCTGACTAGAGTGTGCCAATTCGAATGGATTGCTTTCGAGCAGGTCAAGCATGTCATCTTGCGTATCCATTTGGTAATCTTGTGACCCCTCAGGCGTGCCGCCAGATGCTTCGTAGCTGCCAGCTCGTCTCAAGATCCATGCGACCACCTCCTCCGTTCTGGTGCGAGGATTTGAAAGGTCATTGGCTTCCGCCAATTTGTTGAAGCCCCTCTCCCGCATGTATGGATTGAGGATAGTAGCTGCGCATATCCAGTCGTTCTGCAGCATGATGCGCAGATATTTCTGCAATTTTGTAATGGCCATACGGAATGAGCTCCTGCGGTCTGGTGCTGATGTCAATATGCCCGCTTGCAGAGTCTGGATGAGCACGCTCAAATCCACCAGGACCCGATGAATATTGACCTCGACTTTTGAGTATCGCTTGGTCAAGCCTTGAAAAGAGGCGAGCGGTAACTTGAGGGTTTCAAGGGCCTGAAAGACGTCCCGTCCAAGCATGGGACACCCATCCTCACCAAACATACGACTGTATGCTATAACGGTTTCCTTCAATAGTAGGATCCGGCAAATAGCCTCATATGTAGAGTTCCAACGAGTCCGGACATCGGCAAGAGGGAGCAAACCTCTTCGTAGATCGGTTGCTTTGCCTGCAGGATCTTGTGAAACTCTTCACGACGGCTTGGGCTTGCCAACACAAACTTGGCAAAGTTGTGCACCTTTCCGACTGGAGATTTGTTGTAGGCCTCTCGTCTAACTTTGTCCTCTTGTGTATTCTATTCGATCGATACTGAGTTAATATGCTTTTGCTGTGAATTAGACGTCGGATCAGAAATTACTGCGTACCATGTTTGATTGCGTCCTAGTAACTAGTTCTTCCTCCTCGCTGTGTTCCTCCTCATCAGAGGCCAGCTCAGTATAATCTCCTTCATCCGTTTCCATCTGGGCTGGACGATCAACCAATGCTCTGGTCGAGGACACCCCAACAACCCGTATGCTTGGCACAGATGCATCCACACTCTCAGGGTAATCATCGGTTGAAAGGGTACCTGTGAGATGGGGTTTCAGTCTCAGCAAAGTGGCATCTGTTTTCATGCACGATTGCTCACCCTCATTTTTCAAGAAGTCCTGTGCGGCTAGGTTCAGAATGTGACACATGCATCCGATGATGTGTAATCCATCCAGTGAGTACAGCTCCTCTGCTTCAAGGCGGCCAGCAAGGTGGATGGCTGCAGCTTTATTGGTGGACGCGTTGTCCCCAGTCCCTGGGCCAAGTCGGTTGGCAACACCAATAGTGCTGAACACAGACAGTAGACCGTTGGCTAGTCTCACCGCAGAGTGCTTGCCTTTGAGATGCATGAACCTGAGTAAGATCTCTTGCAGCTCGAAGTTTGCATTCATCCACGATGCATAGATCCCAATATAGCAGTTGCGACAGGAACTGTCTGTCCAGCTGTCGTGTGCATAATGGATGAAGGTGTCTTTGCTGGCAGCAAGCACCGTGTGATCCACCTTTGTCTTGACAAGTTCGTATGACCTTTTGATCATGTTGCTGATAGTTGTTCGGCCGGGAATAGACGCGCCTTCATGGCAGTACTGAATGAGGTCTTTGAATGACTGTGAGTCAACTAGCGAGAAGGGTAGAGACTCCACTGATATCATCCTCAATATTTTGGCCTTCAGGGTCTTGTCCGACCATGGTGTTTGCAAGAACCCTGAGCTTGGGCTGATCGTGAGCTGATTGCTCTGCGACTTGAGATATTTGTCACGATTTGATGGAACAAGCCCTGGATGCTTGTTCGCAACAGCAGTGGCTAGACCGGGGCAGACTGCCTGATGCTTGATCAGGTTCGTTGTGGTTTTAGCCACTAGTCCTTCCTTCCGCCGAGACGGAGGACATCCTTTGCAGAGGTATCGGCAGTTTCCCTCCAAGTCATAAACCTTGTCGTAATAGAGGTATACAACAGCAGATGTGCTTCCAGTGCTAGGCGTAGGAGTTCTGCTTTGAGTTGCAGGTACCGATCCCTTTTCGCTTGCCTTTTGGCTTCCCTTCGACAAGGCTACAGGATAGTCCGCAAATACGTCCTCATCTCCATGGCGGATGGCATGCTCTTCGTCACTGCTCAGATCAGCTTGACTCTGAATTTTCCGGTGAGCATACCTTGTCGTACAGGAAGAGGGATGAAAAACAGAACTCACTCTCTGCCTTTTCCTATAGCGTGCCGTTCTTCCCTTCCTCGTGTTGGCGGCTTGATTGCTAAACGGCAACACACTCCTAGTAGAGCCTTGGGTTGAGAATGTACTTTCAATGCCTTGACTAGCCAAGTCATCTCCCTGGTCGTCACTACTGATGACCTGGTAGCCTTGCTCCATGCCCTTGCTCGGTCGGATATGTTCTGTGGGGACTGTCCGCGCAAACGGTACAGCGTTCCGATCGATCCTTGGGCTGGGTGACCGGGTTGATCTTCTGATGGCAGATGGAGTGGATAGGCCAGGGACTGCCAAGGGAAGGTTTGAACTAGCAGCTGGATTGAGGGCATGACTGTAAAGCCCGTTAGTAGCATGCTCTCTTACAGGTGGGACGTGGAGAAACTCACATTCGTTCCAACTCCTGCATCAACGATGTAGCCCACCCGTCCAAAAGACCTGTCTCAGCTCCAGCATTTAGGAGTTTGGCCAGTTCAGTACGGAAGTCCTTGATGACCAGATTCAACTGGTCCCCTCGAATCCAGATACCCCAACCAGGAAAGGTTCTCAATCCGAAGCAATCATCCATGGCTTCGTTGATGACCCCAGCTGGCCCGAGAGCCTCCTCCTTGGTCCAATCGAATCGAAGGGAGTAGGTGGGTACAGGTCCAGTATAGTCTCCTGTAGGCTGCTTAGCTTGGATCCACTTCTCAAAGGGAACTAACCGGTCTGAAGGTATGCTAGCTGCCCAGGACACTATCCGGTCATGATCTGGGGAATGGTCTTCGTTGACCTGACTTGCAGACAGGTGTAATCTGATTGTCCCAGCAGTAGACATGACGATGATTTATATTCTCAGTTGTTGTTCTAAAAAAGGTGTGAAGTTGTGTCTGATCTTCAAGCCATATGTTAGTAATTACATGTTGTTGTGAGTTTGAATTCACAGGCCTACCAAGCCTATGTGGCCCACGTCTCAAGTCCTGTATCGGGGGGAAGTAGGACAAGCCTAGTGTTATAAGCTTGTGCAAAGAGACCTCAACAAGACTTCCCCTTTAGTATAGTGGATTATGGTGCATAATGTTGACGGTTAGGTCAGTCAGGTCAGGTCATGAGTTCGACTCAGGGCGCAGCCTGCTTTTCCAGAGTTTTGCCCTTTTCAATTCTATTTTACAGGATCCGCAACGGGCTTCTAAGTTTTTGCACCTAAGGTCCTAGCAACCACCGTGAACAGATGCCGGCTTAACAGCTACTTCTGGGTGGTTGAGCGCTGATTCTTTTTGTTATTCTTTTTGATTGAATGAGTGTCTGCCTATCTCCCACACCACCCTGCAACACTCTACATAACACTCTTTGATGATTATATACTCGATTATACTCGCACATGTAATCGTATTCGTACTCATAATCGTGGTCAAGAAAACCAAGGTATTCGTATTCGTACTCATATTCGCAAATGATTACGAGTACGATTATATACTCGTGATACTCGTAATTGTTGGCAGCACTAGTACCGAGTAGAAGAGGGAAACTTGACCATACTTTAGCCGTGTACCATGCCATGCAACATCGTGTCGCCGAGCCGAGTCCAGAGAGGTAACAGGTAACAGCTTTCTTCAAACCCGAATGAGAGAGAGAGTAGATTCTCCACGCATGCCACGCAGGGCACGCTGATATATGATATCGATCATTATTATTATTATTGTCGAGGAGACCCAGATTTTGATTTTGAGGCAAGTTTGTGACACTGCCTAACATTTGGACATATAGGTCGATTAGATGAGGTCGGATATAGCTCATATAGTCCGCATTCGGCAGAGCTGATATGGGAAGTGTATATGCGGCCCATATGACGTGTAAATGCGGTATATTGGTCTCATCTATATATGACCCCTCGTCGATCGGACAAAAGTCACGTGATCTCATATCGACCGTATCTAGTTTAATGACATTCCACGAACGCGACCAAACGCGTAAACACATACGCGTTATCCTAGAGTAAACATATCGCTATCGAGGACTTAGAGGGATTCGAGTGAGGTAGGAGAACTAGACTGGCCTCTGCCAGCTGCCAGGCTGCACCCTACCCTTACACTACAAGTCGTCAGGGCGAAGCATTACCTAGCACCTAGCCATAGTCTGACATCGTCGTCTGTCCTCGCAAACCTCCTTGCCCTTGGTTCACCCACCGTCAGGACCGGCCTTGCTATTCATCTTGACCCTCGATGACGGTCATGCCGAGTTGCCATGTCAGCTCCTGCACGGCGTCAGGTAAGTCGATAGACCCGTTGGTCCGGAGAGCGAAGTATCACTGACTAGTCGAGGTCCGACTGTATAGCGTCTCTGTCGGTGCACCCGATGTGCGAAAAACCCCCTGGGATACCTGTCCGTATCATACAGTACATTCACTCGACATAACCCCCCGGGCAAGCCCATTGCAGCTCCAGCTCGACCTCTTCGGGAATCATCCATTCCGAACTCGCCTCCTCCCCCTCCTGTCCGACCAGACTATCACGAGTTTCAAAAACTGTGGGACGATCCCTACCCAAGCGATCGGAGTCGTGCTGAATCTGCCTCGTACCAAGATCTGCGGGATGAAGAATCGCTTGAAGTGGCATCGAACTTCCCCTCCGAGCGTGCAGACGACAACCCTCATCGACAAGAATCACCCTGGCCATCACACAGTGACGAAGACCGCCCAACGAGTGATATAGGCGATGGTTGGTGGGACGACTCTGATAGTGATGCCGGCCAGGGAGGTGGCTATGGCTACGACGATGAGGACGATATCGATGACGACGAACAGCAGATCCATCCGGACCATATCCTGCGGGTTCGGGGCGAAATGCAGACACGCCATCACAACCTGGATCCCGGCCTACGGCACATCTATACATCCATCGCCTGGGGCAAAGCGACAGGCATGAGCATCGCGACAGCGAATATCCAACTTGAAGCGATGACCCGTGGTCTGGAACTCGAACGTAACGAGGTCATCGAAGGACATACCACGTCGGTCAAAACCGCCCTATCCAGAATCGGGGTCAATCCCGACGAATTCATCGATCGCTACATAATCTGCCCGAACCACAGTTGTTGGCGAATGGTAAGCTCGATCTCCACCCCAACATCCACCAGATCTACAACCCGTTAATCCGATTTGCCATATTCGTTCGCCTCCCTGATCAGACGAAACTCATTCACTTGGAAGAGCTCAAAAGCCCCGAATGCGAGTGCGGTACCCACATCTATCGTCAAATCAACAACACTCGGACGCCTTGTAAGGTCATGCCGTACGCCAAGCTATCCAACATTCTCCCCCTCCTCTTGCAAGACGACACTGTCTACAATCGATTGCAGCATTGGCGAGAAGACGTCACCCTCGATACGCCTCAAGAAGCTATGCCCCCGGTTCTTTCGGTCGATGATCCTCTCTTCGATATGGACACGCCCTTGCAAGGCTTATCGCATGGGTCGGCGTGGCGTGCCCATGTAGCAAATCATGAACGGGTGATTTACGAAGACTTCGGTGTATCCGACGTGCCTATAGAGGGAAGGGGACCCCACTGCCGGCATACCTCTCTCCCATTGGGTCTTTATCTTGTGATCAATTGCGACTGGTAAGTCCAATCCTCTCGGCCGCTGGATGTCGCTGCCGCCCGATCGCTGCTGATCACGAAGAGTGCCTCTCGCTACAACAGGTTCGCTGCTAAAGGCGTAATCGGCTCTTCAGTTGGCGCAGTATACGCATCGATTGCGAACCTACCGAGAGATATCGCTTTCAAACCCAAAAATACGGCCTTATTATGCATAATACCGGGACCCAAAGAGCCTGGCCCGGATTGCTTTGCGCGTATACTCGAGCCAGTGGTCGCCGACCTGCAACAGTGCGAAAGGGGAATCGAATTCATACGTGGATCCGGGGATAGGCTCACCCGACATCTGGTGACGACACGGGTGCTGCTTTTCGCTTCAGACCTTCTCGCCGCGAAGAAGCTCATTGGTGTGGTCTCGCATGCGTCCAAAATGCACCCATGCCACCAGTGCTCGACAACCCTGGCGGAGATCAACAAGCCGGCCGGTTACGACTGGCGTAACTTCCGCTACCGATCACCTGACGTCTTGTTGAAAGCGGCGTTCGAATATGAACGCGCTGGACGTGAGCGAAGGCAAGAGCTTGAGGACAGATACGGTGTGAGATTCAGTCCTCTCCTACGTCTTCTCGGAGTGGATCATGGACATTCCTCTCCTGTCGACGGGCTTCATAATAGCTTCTTGGGAATCGCCAAATCTCTCGTAAACATGCTTCTTCAACGGCGACTCTTTTCACCCTCGTCGCTCGAGGACTACATCGAGGATGAAGTGGATGAAGACGACAGGATAGCAGCCTTCGTAGCTGTGTTTGAAGAGGCTGTATACCCCGGTCATCTCGGTCGTCTGCCTGCCCGGGTGACCAAGCAATTCGCCACAGATCGCGAAAAAGCAGGCAGCGGACTCAAGGCTGATCAGTGGAAACGTATCATGCAGCTGCTACCGATAGCCCTGTTCATGGCTCTGAAAGGGGAGACCGACCAGATTCCCGACCGAGACTTAGACAACCCGTCCGAAATCGACGCAGAAGGAGAAGTCGACGTCCTCGCAAACCTGCCTACGCTCCACGGAGGTATAGCCCCCTCCCAGAGACCGCAGCCGGACAGGCCCAAGAAAAAGAAGGCAAAGCGGGGCAAGAGACGTTCCGACGAGTCGCGCGCAAGCAAGGAGGATCCCGACGCTGAGCATAAAGTGCGAAACCGAGCTGACTGGTACCGAATTGTCATCTCAGTAGGCAGTGCGCTGTCGATTCTGCATGCCCACTCCCTTTCCATGACAGAAACAGTTGTTGTTATAGCCGTCACGTGACGCGTCGCTACTCCCGCGGGAGACCCCCTCGGAGGTCCCTTCGGAGACACCTCTCGACATCCCCACAGGGGTCTACTTTTACATCTCCCATAGGTGCTTATTATAATAGGCTCATTGTATGTATATACTTCATCCGTTATTACACCATTACCCTTAGACCTAGCCCCGCGTAGACTGTTAGTCCTTCCCCCTAATAGTTGTCGCCGTCGACGATCTGTCACAAGCAGCCCAGGACATCATGGCTAGCGGGGGAAGACTTACGATAAACTGGCACATCGCGATGCACCACGTCGAGACCGTCAAGCGTTACGGTCCCCTTTCAGGCTACAGCACGTATGCTTTCGAGCGTAACAACGGAAAATTAGCTAGGGTCAAGAATAACGGCCAGGAAAAGGACCTCCCGATCACGTTGATGAGGTCATGGCTTCTTGAGCTCCGACTGTTTGCGCTGCTGAATACGCCGGCGCCGGACGCATCGGAATTGGTGCTCGAATTTCTCAGGAACCTATTGGCGGATAGGATTCGGGCCCGTGGTACCCTTATGCTTCACGAAAGCCGGGGAATAGCTGCAAATAGGACGATTCGGCTGCCGACGCCTTACCAAAAAGGCGTACTGGTCGATCTGGCACATTTCGAGGGATATCGACCATTATTAGACTTCGTTGATCGACACCATCCGGACCTGGGACTAGTGGATGATGCGTATTGGGAAGCGGAAGGTCCTCTTTTACCTCGTCGGAGCTCGGCTTATACGATATACACACACGCCATTTACAACGGGTTTAAGTTCTGCTCTACGCTATGGAGCCGCACTCGACGGGATCGTTTCGCCTTGGCGGTTTCAGACGACTCGGGTCGCAGAGATATGTGTAAAATCCATCTCATACTCAAGGTGGATCTCAAGGTGGACGGGAAAAGGCTGGAGAGAACGCTAGCGTTAGTACAGTTCTATCCCCTTGCAAATGGGGTATATCCATGGCAATCACGAGACATGGATCTGGGAATACGTATATACCGAGACAACCCCCTTCCCAAACGGTACATACCTCTCGACAATCTCCAGGCCTCTACAATCGTCTGTGGCATTACCACGTATCAGGACGGGGCTTGTCTGGCCTCCGTCTCTTGCGATCGGGTGAGTCGGAGCGAGAGCGTTCAAGGTAAACATTTTATTTAAAGTCAATCATGATAGGAGGGACCCGAGCCTGACTTCTGGCTGGAGCAAGACGAAGAAATTGACTTGCCCGACGACTTCGTATTGGACGACATGTGATGTTTCCCGGCCCGACAGTAAGTCCTCGCAGGCCGCTCAATTCACTGGCTAGGCCAGCGCGTAATTACAAAAGATACATTGAAGACATTCCGGGTAGTTCTCCCCTTTCGTTGATCGTGATATCGTGAATAGTGACGTAATTGTAAGTGTTCTCTTTCCCCTTCTCACTGTCCTCGCGCTGATGGTGTGACCCGCGTCCCCTTCGTTGCAGGTATGACCTAGATTCCGATACCCCAGTATGCTCATGCACTGTCGATCCCTCCCGGAGGGTCTAATGCCGTGGGACCTGGAAACCCGAACATGGACAAGTCGAGGCTGAGATACTTCGAGAAGTCGGGGTCGTCGAAATCCAAGTCTCCTGATCCCGCCGCACCCAATTCCGTCGCGGTGGTGAAGCCGGCAAGGATGTCCGCGGTTGCTGCAGGCACCCCGTGATCCAACATCATACCGTGATTGCCTGCGTGGGTGTTGTGTTGTGGCGGAGCATCCCGGCCCCTTGGAGTTCGATGAACCTGAGAGTCGGTGAGCCCTTCCTCGTCTTCTTCCTGCCTCAAACCGAGACCTTCGTTCAAATTGTAGTGGGCAGTACGAACTTTCTTCAAAGGCGACGGAGGGATGGGTCCTGTGGCTGAACGGATGATGGAATCACTCGTCCTGCTTGGGGGTCGTCCGTCTGCAATAACGTATCGGCCTCTTCGATCTCCAGGTTCAGGTCGGGATCCACCGGCCGGCAACTCCCCCGACTCATCGTCCGTCGGTGTCTTCGTTCGAGTCCTCCTACGTTTGGGAGCTGTCTCGGGTTGACGAGATCGCGAAGGACCAGCACGTTCGTGAGGTTCCGTGTATCCGATTGGGGTGGAGACAGGAGGGCTGAATACGCTGGAAGGCACAGTACTGATAGATCTAGAACGGCCTGCACCCGCAGCCGCACTCTTGTTCCCTCGTAAGCCGATGGCATTCTTATCGACAAACCATTTCGATCGCTGAATTTCTTCGACAGACGTCGGTTGGTCGGCAGGTACGAGCCAGGCCTCAATTCGATCGGCTGTAGTGGGATCCTCCATCATCTCGTCCAACCATTCTTGCCGGAACATCCACCTTTGGGGCCCAAACGCTAAATCTTTGATACAGGAGGGCCAGTAAGGTTCCGCTCGGATGGCGGGATGCTCGGTATCAGGCTTTTTGACGCTGGTCCCCGTCGATTTGGTGGTCCCAATCTTATGCTCGTAGCATGCAGTATAGGCATCGATGTACTGCGAGAAGGTCAGTCGGATATCCTTGCATCGTCGCTGCGACTTGGACTCACTGCTTGTGAATACACCGATTCCATGTCAGGCCAATACATATCCGTCTTCTCCCCATCTTTCACCGGTACCAATGCTATGCCGCAATAGGGTTGATCGAGGCAGTTGTACTCGTCGCCCGAGTACTTCGCAACAAGCTTGCGGCGGGTCGAGATCCACTTCGTCATCTACGCAGCCGGGGTTGTCGGGTCAAAAGTCAGTTGGTCAGCCGGGATTGTCAGCCGATCGGATAACCCTTGGTCATGCTTACAGTCGTCAGTCTGGCCCGGATCAACGCCTTATCACCATTCCTCGCTGTCTCCGTCTTTGCCGCCAGTGAGTCCATGAATGCCATGTGGTCCTTCCGCTCCGCTAACCTGCCTGCTCCCGCGACGCCTAGCTTAGCCAGCTCCGCTACCTCGCGGGCGACACGGTCCCTTTCACCGTTGGTCCACTCCTTGACCTGCTGTTTACGATATCCCTCGACAGCCTGTTTGAAACAGCGGGCGAGTGCTTGGCGATATACGTCTGCGTGGGTTTCGTAAAGCGGCACCGAGTCGAGAGGGAGATCGCCGGTCAACGGGATGGCAGCACGATTGGTCCTCAGCAACTGGAGAATGCGGCTGCTTTCGCGCACATTGACCTGGTGCGTGTAGTTCTCCTCGAGGTTCCAGCGCACCACTGTCTCTCCGAGCTGACCGTCAGATGTAACACGCGTCGGCCAGTCTCCATCCTCGCCGGGGTAAGGCTGCGGCGGGGGCGTGCCGTCTCCGTAACAGAATTCGACAGCGGCTCTGACCATCCGGCCTATCGACTTTTGCGCAACCTCGTCTACGTCCGGCTCGGGCCGTCCGGCTTTCAGGTCTGCAACCTCTTCTTCCAACGTTCGAACCCTATCCTTCAACTGCTGGACCTCCCGGCCTTGGCCCTCTGTGGTGAGTAGAAGCCCATCGATCGCTTTGACGCAGTCCAAGAACCCTTGTTTGAATGCGTCGAAATCCTTCAGCTGAGCGTGATGTTCGTTGGATCGGATAGCCAGCTGGGTTATCTGGGATGAGAGCAGTCTTTGAGCTTGACCTCGGTTCTGGACCTGGGTTCCAGGCTCGGGCTGGCGTCCGTCTCGTGCTTGGGCTTGAAAGGGTGAGTCGGCTTCAGCGGGGGTATTGATGCGATGGGTGGTTGCTGACTGTGCCCGGGAACGGTGATGATCCTCTTCGGGTGATGATGATGCGTCGTCGGCATGGGTGCGATCGTATACAGGCGGTGGGAGAGAGGGTGCAGATGGAAAGTGAGTCGAAGAGACCGAGGATTCTCGGCGGACAGGGTCGGTGTGCTGATCCACGGTATTCCTTGGTCTCGTTGCCGGATCTTTGGGTCTAGGTCGTAGAGCTGTGGCTCCGTACTGCAATAAACCTGGTGTCGTCGAGGTCGTTCGGCTCGGGACAGGAGTGGAACTAGAGCCACCGGCGGGGGTTATCGGATTGTGCAAGGCTCGACTTGATCCTGAGCCGGAAGCGTAGGACGTTCGGGGCACGCCGGCCCTGGGAGTACGGTCTTGATACATGACTTGAGGCGGACTACGACTGCAACAAGTCGGAAATGTCAGTCAGTCGGGGTGCAGCTGTAGTGGATCCCATACCTCGCTGATCTCTAGCCACTGATCACTCACCCAAAGGTCCGGGTCCACACAAAGCTCCTCTACCCTCAACCGCTCACACAACCACGCAACCACACAACCACACGAAGTACAGATCGTATTCTGGCCTGTCCACCAGGGCTGAGGTGCCGGGGGTTGATCAAAGGAGGTAAGCCATCAAAGCTACGATACCGACGGCACCCTAATCTGATCACCCGCTCGATAACTCACAGCGGCACACTCTGAAACGCTTTCCAAACTTCAGCCGTTGTTACGAGATATTACGATACCCTGGATTCTACGTAAAGGTGGTTCGGAGCCGTGGTTGCGTGGTTGTAGTAGTATTAGTCGATTGATCATTTCATCTAGATACTGAATCCGAGTGTTTACATTTGCTCATCTCGTCTCCATATCGGCCGTATCAATATATCATATCAGCTGCATTTCGTCCCGTACATATGACGTGTATATAGTACCCGCTAGATGCGGCCTAAATTACGTCATCCGTCTGCATCTAGCGGGTTCTATATGAACGGCAGATGAGTGATATATACGGCCCAAATGAGCTATATCGACCTTATCGAATCGACCCATATGAACTGATTTTAGGAAGTGTTTGTGAAGGGTTGCACATTTGCACAAGCGATGAGCTTCACCGAAATGTGCGGATCTTCCTGAACGCATAACGTCTCAGATTGCAGATAACAGGCAAGACTAATATTACTGTACATTTTGTACATGCCCGGATCTCCCGAGATTCCAGCTCGTTGTAGAGTACGTAGAGTGTAGATCATGATGATATGCGCATCTGCATCATGTAGATCAACGATCAACACCTTCGACACCTCGCTGCGTGCTGCATGCGTGTGCTTGATTTGAGCGTTTGACATGGCGATAAACGTGTCCTCTCTCTCAACGCACTCGCTATGTATCGCCGGGTCTTCAGCCGGCACATGACCTTGGGACCTAGGTATCAGCTGATAGTAGCTCTGGGTCGTACATCTGGTGGCATGTTCAGATTCAGAATAACAGTAGATGGAGTATATAGGTCGAAGGTGTCGACATCCCCACCCACGGCGACGCGTGTGCCAGCGTGTCAAAGCCCGAGGGCGGACCACCTCGACCTCGATCAACCGTTAGCGTTAGACCTTATCATCGACCTTGTCTTCCTTTCGAGCACATCACAAGCCATTCTCCCTGCTGAGGTATCTGAGGTATCTACGTCACACATCTCTCAATCAAAGGAAGCCTCGAAGCCTCGACGTAGAAACCCGGGGCGAGCGGTGAACGAGAAAACGCGTTCTCATCAGTTCGAGTACGACATTCCCGGTACCCTCATCAGGCTCGCTCACCCACCTGAACATATCGACTCGCTGGTAGCTTGGGCACTGTAAACACCTCGTACAAACAACTTCTCCCGCAGTAAAAGTATTCAGGATGTCAGATCCCACGCCGCCTCGACCTTCCACCCCGACACCTAAAGGCACCACCATCGCGACGTCACCATCATCACCATCATCGGCAGCATTACAATTACCGTCTACCCCGAAATCGAAAGCACTGGCATCACCTACAACATTCAATCCGACGGAGAAGGCGACGACAATGCCACCAGCGGGATCGGGTTCAGGACCTCCAGGTCTCTCTCCTCAAGGTCAACAGAAACAGGTGCGATCCCCCGTAGCCGGAGCTACAACAGGAAATGCCACAAGCGTAGGAGCAAGTACGGGAGGAGGGTTTTTACCGGGGATCACTCTTTCTAAACCTACTACTACGACCGCTACAACAACTACGACGACTACTACGACTACGGGTACGGGTACGACGGGTACGACTGTGGGAAGCACTCATCCTCACCTTGGCTCACCCTCACCCTCGACCTTGAATTCGGGTGCTGTTGGGAATGGATCTCCTTCGAAACCACAAAGTCAATCACAAGCTCGTGGTCCGTTGAGCAAGAAACTTGGCAAGAAGGCTTCTTCTTCCCACCCCGAGGACCACTCCCACTCCCACCCTTCAAACGAAAAAGCTCACACTCACGATCACGGCAACAAAGACGTCCAGAAAGAAAAGGAGCGCGACCCGACCCGTCAAGGAAAAGGAAAAGACCTCTCACACGTCCCCTGTCGGTTCTACAAGATGGGCGCTTGTGCGGCGGGTGAGGGGTGTGTTTTTAGTCATAATCTCTCTGGGGGTGGGGAGGGAGGTGAGTTTGAATTTTCGAGTTTTGATGTTTGAGGGGTTGTTTTGAGTTTGAGGGGGTTGTTTTGAGGACGGGGGGAGATGGTGGTGGTGATGGTGGTGGTGGTGGTGGTGGGCAAGGGTGGTGGTCGGGTTGGCCTTTGGAGTTCAAGATATTGTAATCGGGAAGGCTGATCTCGATCGTCTCTCGTTTCTTCTGATCTCTCGATGTTGATCTATCTATCCACGGTTCCCGACGGGCTCAACCGAATCGCTCTAACGATAACGATAACGACAATAATAATACGCATTCTAAACTACTGAACACGACAACTCTCGGTATCATCACCGACCACCGATCGACATTTCAATCACGGTCGTCCCGGGATTGAAAACGACCGCTACTACGATACGATCCGACCTCTTCTCGTCACCTATCGTTCATCCACCTCACTCATCGATCGCCCACATGTATCGACGACCTGCCTGTTCACCCGCCTTGAAAACGAATCACCTATCAACTTGAACTTTGAACTTTGGTCGCCGGTTGTCTCGTACCTCATCCTGACTTTGTTCGCCGAGTGACACCTTAGCGGGCAATACGAAACAAGTCTGTCAATGGTTTTTGAAAGGAAATTGTCGGTTCGGACATAAGTGTGAGTCGGCGTACCGGGGTCTTTTGCGGGTTCCGTGCTGTATCAAGAAACAGTATTGAGGCGGTAGCTGACCTGGTGTATTTACTGCAAAAACGATAAATTTCACGTTATTCTTGACCTCGCCATTCCATCTGATGTTGTTCTTCTCGCTGTCGGTCCTTTTCGGCACCGCTCGCAGGCGCCCTGGCCCATCTCTATCCGAACGAGCCCCCGACCATGGACCGGAAACACAAAAAGGCCGCCCAGCTCGCCGCGAACGGGGTCCCGCAGGAAGAGATCGAGTCGGTCGTCTACGGTGGGACGTCGTACATCTTGCCCGCCGGTGGGTATCAGCAGGAGGAAGCCAAGCAAGAGGACGAGAACGAGGTCACGGGCGGCATGGATTTACCCGTCGACAAGACGACGAGCACGAACGGGGGCAAGATGAGTTACTCGCAATCGTTAAAATCGCCCAACAACGCCAAGTCGGCCAGTGGGGCCAACAAGGCGGACGCCTCGCTCGACAGCCACATGGCCGACTCGGCCGCACGAGCCCGTCGAGGATCGTCCACTGTCGATCGGACCGGCGCGGTCCCGATCAAATCGATTCGCTCGCAAGCCCAACGACAGGACGCCGCGGGCGGGATGATCGGGTCCATCTCCCCTGCGAACCGACATCAGGCGGCCTTGCTCTCGACCCTGAACCGACCGGGGTCTGCGACCGCTCAAGCCGCACACTCGCCCTCGACCCCGCCGACGCTCGGTTACAACCCGTCCATGTCCTCGTCCATCCCTCGGTCGCAAGGCACACTCATGGCTAGAGGTCCGGGTGACGAGTCGGAAAATTTCAAGTCTCGACCTGTTCCTCTCAGCGTTCCCGGTCCTCTGCCCATGTCCGCCAGGTCCGGGTCGTTCGTTCAAGACCCGATCGGCACTCCACCTCGCGAGTCGACGTCGTTCATCCTCGGTCGAAGTTTCGGTGCTGGAGGATCGACTAATCCGCTCACCGCGCCCTTGCTCAACCGGGATGGATCGTTCTCCTCGACCGACCCCGTCAACATGCGCCCGGGGCTCAAGACGACCGGGTTCGCAGATTCGAACAGCGTCAACATGCCTCCCGGATCGGTACCCGGATCCAAGTTCTCGTCGTCCGTTCTCGGCGCCGAGTTTAATCAGATGGGTAGGGACATCTGGGGTCAGCGGACGTCGTTGGCGCCGGTACCCTCGCGTACCCATTCGACCCAATCACAATCGGGCATGACGAGGCCCATCCTGGACACGTCAAACAGACGCGAATCCGAGGTCTTTATGCTGGACGACGCCGACGACGAGGATGCCGATGCCGAAGAGTTTTTGCCAGGCAGTTTGACCGAGCTGTTGAACCCGCGCGAACGGGCTCGGCGATTGAGCCGAAGGGAGAGTGGAAGTGGTCCAGGTGTCACCTCGGGTTCGGTCGGGATCAGGGCCGGGTGGGTATCTTCTTCTGGGAACGGGGCTGGTGGGGATACGAACACGCTCGGTGGGATCGGGAGCACCGGGTCGAGCTGGGATTCTAGGCCCAACATGGACGCCCTCTTGCATCGACAGGCCATGTCGGCCGGCGCGGTCGATGGTGGGTTCTTGCGCAGTCTCTGGGACGATGCCGGTGAGGACGCTCGACGCAAGGTCAGGCAGCAAGACCTCGATGCTCCGCCTGCCAGTGCCGCTGCTGCCGTCGGAGGTCTGTCGAGCATGTTTGCCGGTGCCGGCGGATCGAACGAAGGGTACCTGACTGCACCCCCTGATACTGGCTTCCAACTCGGACCTAGCAACTCGTCGGTCGCCTTTTTGCCCACGTTTACGGCTCATCGACAAGCCATCCTCGGTGACCACGGCTCGCCCGCCACTCGTGGCAACCTGCACTCGCCTTCGCGACCGTCGCCCTTGCATCGGGATAGCACCAATCAGGCCATCTCGTCGTCCAACGTCCCCGTCAAGGACGGTCTCGAGGTTCAGCACGCACATCTCGCACCGCCACACTTGCGTCCTTTGGCCTCGCCCGGCACTCGAGCACTGGAAGCACATGCACCGGGTCAAAGCTTGCCTCAAGGGCTGGCCGCCGGATTGTCCCGCATGCATCTCCGACCTAGCACCTCGCGGCAGTCGAGCGGGCTCAATAACAACAACACCGGCACCCACAGCGGACTCTCCGGGGGCGAAGCGCTTAGCCCGAGTGGGAGCAGTATGGGAGTCGCTGGACCTCAGGCGATCGGGCGGTACGAGACCCTTCGTCGACAAGAGAGTCGGGAGAAACCGGTCGTCCCTCAGGTGGCGGTCGCTCCGGCGGGAGAGGGCGAGGACGACGACCTGTTCGAGATGGAGGGATGATCAGTTATGCAAGACAAGACCAAGGCGAGGTGTGTACCGACGGGGACCTTTTTCAGCTTGACGATATCGAGATACGGTCGCTTCGAACTAGTAATATACCTGATAGTGGTTGTACAACACAAAGATTGACATGCAAATCTTCTGAATACATCGCAGACCGCTCCCTCCCAATCATAGACCGCACACTACGAAGCGCATTGACTGGTTATTACGTGACGTACAGCCCTTGCAGTGCGAACTTTGAACATTGTATGATAGACCCACCCCATGTCTACTGATGCTTTATAACCACCAACACGTATCAGAAATCTCAGGAATCGACTAGCATACCATCTCTAACAGACTTTGGTACAAGTTCATGACTCGGTCATCAAAGGCTCAAGAAAAACCTTGGCAACAACGGCTGTCAAGAACTCTTTGTCCAGGTTGGGCCTTTGACACTCCTGCAGCACTTGATCAAGACAGGTGACTTCAGCTTCCCGTGGGATTCTCGATTCCTTGTCGGAGGCGATCTTTATAATCGCGTCTGAAAACTGTGACCTGCCCGCGACGACACTTGCTCTCCAACCCTGAACACTGGTCCGTCTCCTGTAGAGGAGAGCGATCCGTTCCGCTGCCTCCTTTCGAACACGTTTCCTTTCTTCTTCAGCTACTTGTGCGTCCATGGCCTGCTGATCTGTTTCTGTTGCGAACTTTGCTGTGGCCTCCATCGCCTGACTCAAGATCGAGGCGTCTCGCGAGGAGGGATCCAGCTCATCATGTGAGGCCTCCAACAGTTCGTAAACTTTCCAGGGTGTCATTCCGGCGGGCTGCTGTACGTGTACGTGAATTCGTGCGTCAGGTGGACGATGGACGACGTGGAGTGATACGCAGGGTAACTGGATCTGTGCGGCTGCATCGCTGTTCGATTCGTTGCTAGTTCCGTCAGCTGGAGCTCTCCACTCAGCTTTGAGAACCCGATGTCCATCGTCAGCCAGTCCCTCTGTCAAGATGGTGCATGTGCCATCATGCGAGGGCTGACAGGTGGAATAGTGACTCTGCGCGCTGTGGCAGTATCGGGTTGACTGGGACATCCTCGACAATGGATCGATCAATGCTGATGCGCTGATGGGTTGTTATGATGGGCTATTTTGATGGGTTGTTGCAAAGTTCTCTCAAGCCGGTCGCTGTTTTCCCCTGACCCTTTAAGTATGTGATCGAGTTCCACCCGCCAGCCTCAATTAGTACAAAGGATCACTATTGCTGCGGAAAGACGTCATGGGTCTCTATAAGACCCTGACGAGGACTGAGAATGAAAACGTTCACCAGATGACGTCAAGACTCATCTGCAGATACAAAGGATGACCGTTACGTACCAATGACATCATGCATCCCGCAGCAGTCTCTACGACCTCTACGAGATCAGTAGTTAGCTGTATCAGCCGTCTGCCCCTCGGACAAATGTTTGTCAATGGCGCAAGCGTCCCTGTCCGCCGATCATGGACGCCGATATGAACCTACCAGATTGGTCCAGATAGATGTCTCATCTTCCGCTTCCGTAGGGCGATGCCCAACGACCATCACTTTGAAGATTCTGGCGGATGGGATGGACGCCGGCATCGATCGACGCCATCCTGCCGGAAATGAGGCAGCGCGCGCGTTTCACATTTAGCGGCGCTGGAACTGGTTGTTTTGGAATTCTGGACAACTATTCCGTATAGCCGATCGAAAATCCAACCCATGCCACTGGGAATTGCATGATGTATTAGCTTACCTTAATCCTGAGCGTCAACGTCGGCGACGATGCTGCTGTTTCACCCGTAGCTGATCGGGCCGGCCTGCTAGTGCCAAAGCCATTAATTGACTTGAACCGTCGGTGCCGTAGGCGCCTCTTCCTAAACTTCTCGCCGGCACACCGCCGCTATAGACATGGTATCACTACTCTATCGGTCTCCACGTGAGGGTACGAATACGGTCCTGTCCGTAACCTCTGGACCGGCAAATCGAGGCTGCGCTCGCTTTGCTCCGACTCTTTACGTCAGTGCCTGTTCGGTGACAGACCGATGTCTGTGTGGTAGCAGATACTGTTGCGCATTTGGCATCATCTATTAGATAGTCATTGAAGCATATATCTTGAGCCTGTGATATTTCACTGCACCCGCCAGAGGTCCCGCTCCTCCCACATCTGACGACCTTTGCCGAAATATGGCTTGCAGCAAGAGGTCCGGCATGAGTGAAGGTCACCGAGCCGACTGCCACCCTGACTAGCTCTAAGAAGCACCTTCTGTTTCTTCCTGTCTTTGGGGCTTGTTCATACCTCTCGTACCCGTGTTTAAAGTTGGACCTTGATCCACGGACATTCTACCACGGGCTGTCTTGGGATCTGGCCCAACTCCCCGACTAGCTTCTCGTCCTCCTCGTCCACCCGTGCTGGGCTCTCTTGCATGGTGGTGGTATCTCTGGAATCGCAAACCCTGACTGCAAGGTAAGTAAAGAGACGACTCGTCCGCCCATATTGTAGCTGCGTCAACTGATGCGGGGAACAAGGATGTTGGGAAAGTCGCTTAGGGGTCAGGGGGTTAGAGCTGCTTGAGGACCAGCGCTTTGTTTTGAGCGACTCTTTCACCCTGATTTGATGGGATCACATTGACCCCTGCGTCCTGTCGAGGTTGGGCAGCTTGATCCACTCGGTGATACAGTATGGATGGCAATCGCCAACGAGTGGAGTCCATATTGGCCACAGATGCGGCCTCGATCTTTCCTGTAAGCAAGCATCAACGACGTTCCTGAGACAGATCCGCTTAAAAGTTCTGATTGTCGGCAAGGGAGAGAAAAGCGCCTCAGTTTACCGAGAGATGATGGCCCGCAACTTGAGCAAGCCACTCACCGGCGTCTTCAGGTTCTGTATCTCGTCCCTGGGCTTGTTGGAATGCTTCTCCTTTTCCTTGAGCGAGACGGTCAGATTGCTTTGCTGTTTGGCCTCCTGTTTCAGCGCTTTGAGCTTGTTCTCTTTCTCCTCCAGTCCAGTAGCAAGAGCGTTGTGCGCCTTGACCTCTTTTTTGAGATCTTCGAGCTGCTTTTCTTACCCTTTGAGCTGAGTAGCGAGAGCGTTGCCTGCCTTGACATCTTTTCTGAGAGTCTCGAGCTGCTTCTCTTTCTCTTCAAGCCGGGTAGCAAGAGCATCGTGCGCCTTGACCTCTTTTCGGACAATTTCGAGCTGCTTGTCTCTCTTGTTGAGCCGGATAGCAAGGTTGTCGTGCGCCTTGATCTCCTTCTGCTTCTCCTGCAGGCTAGCTCCGAGCCCGTCAACCTCCTGCTGCTTCTCTACCAATTTAGCAGCGAGATCCTTGTGCTGCTCAATTGCCTTCTGCTTCTCCTGCAAGCTGGTACCAAGCCTCTCGACCTCCTTCTGCTTCTCGTGTAAGCTAGATCCGAGCCTGTTCGCTTCCTTCTGCTTCTCCTCCAGCTGAAACCCAGGGCGATTGTTCTGCTTGGCTTCGGCTTGGAGTCGCCCAACCTCTGTTTCGAGGTTGTCTAGCTGAAATCCAAGTTGGTCGTTCTGCCTCGCTTGGGAGTTGAGCGATTCCACCTCGGTTTTCAACTTAGCCACCTCCTTCTGCCTCTCCTTGAGCTGGAATCCGAGCCGATCCTTCTGCTTGGCCTCGTTTTTTAGTTCAAGCTCGGTTTTGAAGCTGGCAGCCTCCGCGTGCCTCTCCTCTAGCTGGAATCCAAGCCGATCGTTCTGCTTTATTTCGGATTTGACCTGGCCTTGAGCTCGTCAACCTTGTTCTGCTTGGCTTGCAGGATCAAACGTTGCTCCTCGATGATCGCGTCCTTAGACCTCATGCTCCCGCTCAGATTCTCATGCTGGTCCACCTGATCAAGAGGAGATCAAGTCATCAGCAACAATGAACGGCAAGCACTACCAAGCGAGACGCACCTTTTGTTGCAGCACAATCATCTCCCTCTCCTGCTCTTCAAAGAGCCCTTTCCAAGACGCAGCCACTTCCAGTCGGTTCTGTAGGGACTCAATCGTTTCATCCTTGGCCGAATCCTCACTGATGGCCTGATTCATATCCTCGGGCAGCTGCTGAAGAGAGGTGATCTCCTCATCCTTGGCCTTGCCTTCCCCAATGAGCTGTTGCAGATCGCCCAGCTGTTGTTGCAACGACTGGATCAGTTGATCCTTGGCCGCAACCTCCCCGGCGTTCTGAGTCAACTGGTCGACCTGTCTTTGCAGAGAATCAATAGTTTGATCCTTCTGCTGCAAGCTACCAAGATTCTGAGACGTCGCACGACTCTGTTTTTATCCACGCATGAACAAGACCTGCGGTAACCCCAACTACCACTACTCACCTCTTTCTTGACAGCGGTCATCTCGGCGTTGGTCTGTTGCCAGGCATTGTAAAGGGTTGTCCGTTCCCTTTCTTGCCTCTGGCGGATGTCGACCTGGTTCTCCCATAACTCCTGATCCTTGAGGGCAATCAGATCCAGATGTACCTCGACCTTTTCCAACTACAGCATTTGGCATTTGGCATAAGCATTTGGCGGGGGATGAACGAGATCAACAATGACGTCAGCAACAGACCAGCAAGACCTATCAGCCAGGCATCACTCATCTGCCCCTGCAACCTCCTGATTGTCTCTGACTTTTCTGCCAACACGGCATCCTTGCTCAATACCAGCTCCTGCAACCCTTCCGCCAGATCTCCTACAGAACCTGCCAGATACTGGTACTCCTCCTTGCCAACCACAGGTTCAGCTCTAACCAGCTCGGGAACAGCAGCAGCGGGAAAGGTGGTCGTGGTGGTCGAATCTGAAGTAGAGGCTGGAGCACTGGCAGCGGGATTGGGAAAGGTGGTGGTGGTAGATGAACCTGAGCTGGCGGCTGGAGGACTTGTAGAGAAGGATGTATTGACCAAGACGCCAGTAGAGGGGGTAACGATGAACCGAGTCGATTCCAAGGTAGCAGCGGCAGGAGAAGAAATAAAGTTGACACCTACGCCAGTTGAATGCGAGGTCAAGGCTGCAGGAGACAATGTAGGGAGAGCAGCAACAGAGGTAGATGCTGCAGGCGAGGATGTGGGTGCGGGAGAAGGTGGCAGAGGAATAATCGGCGTTTCCTCTAGATCTTCAACCACTTGCTTGTGGGCAATAAAGTTCTCCTCTCCCATATCATTGTAGGCCTGCAGAACCGTGTCCAGCGGAAAAGGGTCCTCAAAGTCTGTTGCCGTATGAAAGACATCTTTTACCACGATCGAGGTTGAATCCCTGAGCTTCTTGACAAACCTTTTTATGTGAACCTTCCCGCTTATAGCTGATAGGCAGGCCTCGGTAAACTGTCGTCTAAATTTGAGTTCCAGAGGTGAAGGTAGCCAAGCATCCTGATGTCGTATAGCACTGAAGCTGCAAGACAGACAGCCAAAGGGGTCAGCACGAGCACGATACAAGTGCGGGACATATTGATGGTCAAAACCTGTACCTACCTTTCCCGGGCCGTATGGGCAAACTTGCACTTCCTACATCATTTGAGCCCAAGTACTATCAGTTTAAGGACCTCCAGACCCGGCAGTGGTCTTGCACATCTTGTAGGTGGCCGTACATAGTCTATTCCCCACCTGGCCTGTTCCAAGATGTGTTGTTATAGCGGTCACGTGACGCGTCGGACGCGCCGTACGCGACTCCCGTATGCGACTCCCGCCGGGGGTACTTTTCGGTATTGTTATGTTAATGTAGAACTAGTACCCTTGTAATAGCTCTACATCCGTTATTACATTTAGATGTCTACCCATACCTTGCCTCATTCCTGCGTCCTGTCAGCCTGTCCAGGGGGATCCCCGTCGGGGGTCGCTCCCGGGCCTTACATGTGTTCTTGCAGGCATTCTGTTATGGATCCGCGGTACGCGTCCTGAACGGCCGCGCCGGGCAGTTTTGCAAAGACCCCCGATGGGGGTTCCCGTACGGAGTACATCTGGAACACCCCCTATGTAATTACTGTAATGTAGTACCAGTTGTACTACATCCGTTATTACATTCATTACCTTACCCTTACCTTCTAGTCCCATGTGATACTATTCCAGGCTTGCAGGCAAGCCTAATACATTTTTTGTACCACCAGCCGAGTTCTGTGTCAAACGCAGCTTTGCCTTCTTCAGTCTCATGATGGACACCGAGTATCAGAGGGGCCACCATGTTGCTATGTTATTGTCATGGTAGATGATGGATGTTGTCGAAGAGAGTTGTTGGATAGGTCAAGGTGGAAAGAGTTGCTTCTTTGCTTCTTGCTCCTTGATGATCAAGCTCAGCGAGTCATCGGACATCGCCGTAGATCAGATAATTCGAGCATCTTTTGTGGAAATCCAGCGTTGACATTCGACAAATAACGATACAAATGCAGAAGAAGAAGACGAAGACTATGTAAGTGACCATATAAACCCAAAGCCACCTAAGCACCGTCCCTCGTTTTCCCGCTGCCTCCTCCGCCTTGGCCTCTCTATACAGTGTTTATTAGCAATTTGCTAGGTATATTTGCGCCTGAACAAAAAGAACCTGTACTCATCCTTATGGCGGGGAAATGAGAACGGTGGCTCTTGCACGAGGCCCGGCCGAACGTGACTTTGGGGTCCGGGCTTCTTCTTGGTAGGAGATTTCTGTTCATGTCGAGTTTTTTTAGCAATCTTGTGATCTGCTACTCGAGCTCCCTTACTCACTTTGACCTGTTTGCTGCCTTTGCTGCCCGAGCCCGTGCCCGACTTAGCAGAAGACCCGCTGTTGTTCTTCTTGAGCTTCCTTTTTTTGCTTTGGAAGAGACCCTCTGGAGCTCTGATCAAGAGGAGACCCTCGGGACCTCTGATAGAGGCCTTGGGATGGGACTTGGGATGAGACTTGGGATGGGACTTTTTGGATGTGGCGGCAAGCTCGCTCTTTCTTTTGGGAGTACTAAATGCAAGGATCTGGGGGCTTTTGTTGGATGGGAAGCTTGAGGTGAGTTGAGATTGAGACATTGTAATAGTGTTGATGAGAGTAGCAGTGTTTGTTGAAAAGAAGATTGTCGTTGTCAAAAAATTACGATTTGATCAAACACCATGTCATCGACCAACCTCACCTGGAGTTGTCATCCCGAAATCTGAATAGTTCGGTTTGATACACCTCAAAACCAGGTCAATAGAGGCCTTCATGTTGCACGTGGAAAGTTTATGTAGAACAAGAAAGTGCAATCCTGAGGGTCCCTGATTGATTTTTAGCGTTTTCTTCCTAATATGAATGGGGTTTGTTTACAATTCCCCATCCACCTCATCACTTTGGCTCGCGTGGTGCGAGGGTCGAAGAGCATATTCAAAAAGGGATCACTCGATCACTCGCATCTACCACTCCACCACTCTCGGACACTGAGACCACCCGTCAGATTATAACAGATCGAGCGTTCAATTGCTCTTGATAGATATAGTCGCAGGATCGATCGATCGGCCTTGACTACGTTCGGGAACGGGTCGATAGGGAGGAACACGGAGTGTAGTTGCGGGTTCATCAGCAAAGGACGGTCTTCATCACCTAGAATAGTTGCGGTCGACTCTTACCGTCAGGAAAACCCACGGCGTACCGGGATAGGACATAAAGCGAGAACAAGAGAGTACTGGGAGATCAGGAGAGTTTCAAGAGGTCACCATGGATGAGACGAATGGGAATGGGAACGGGAATGGGATGTAAGTTGATTTCGTGCGGTATAGCATGGCTTGTGGAATGACCCTTGGATGACATGCGTCGGTGCTGATCGAGCTACCACTTATTCGACATACTATACTATACCCGACTCTTTCTCTGTTTTTCTCTTTCTGTCCGGCGGAATCTCTCGAATTGGATCTCAACTTCGACCTCGTTTTACTTGATGGTGATACGAACGCTCCACGGGGAATACCTTACAACCATAAACAACCTACATCTCATCACCTATCACTCTACTACCGAACATCCCATTTCTCCCTCTATTCCCTCTTTATTTTATCTTTATTTCTGTAAACAGGGAGGCACCCCCCCACCACGACCTGGAAACCACGAACACGACCACCCCAGCGACCTTCGACCCCAAGACCCCAGAACAAGAACAAGAACGCGATCAATCTTATTGGAAAGAAAAGTACGATGAGGTTAGGGATTTGTTCGAGGATGCGAAGATGGAGGTCGGTGAGTTCCCGTCTTTTACAATCTGTCTCTCAGTGTTGAGAAGGCAGACGAAAAGGCGGAGGAAAGGCGGGGGAAAGGCCGGGGTTGGTGGAAGGAGAGGTTCATGGTGGTGGTGGTTGTGATCGGCGTACTGATCTGGGTCTCTCTTTCTTTCTCTCTATCGTCTTGGGTTTGATCGTTTGACATCGACTTTGTCTCGACGGTATCCTTCCCGCAACTTATCATCCGCCTCGGACTTCGACCTCGATTGTATTCATGGTTGCCGGCTTGAATTTTACTTCTTTACGACATACGACATCACGATCCTACCGCACTTGCGTTTCCCCCCGCACCCGCATCCGGACTCCTACCACCTCACTACACGGACGACCACCCAGAGATGATCCAGCTCCAATCCCAAGAACAAGAATCACACGTCCAATCCCTCGGCGACGAGCTGGAACATTTAGCACAACAGCTCGAGGAGACGAGCAGGCAGTTGGAAGATGTCCGGTGGGAGAGGGACGAGGCGAGGAGGGAGAAGGAGGAGGTGAGAAGGAGGTTGGGGGAGGAGGTTAGGGGTTTGAATGAGGGGATTGCGGGGATGCAGGTGGGTCCGCTCTTAGCGACGTCTTCAGGTTGAAAAGGTGGTCATTATTCATGGGCTGACCCATGGGAATACGACTCATACTTGCCGCACTGCAGCTCTCGATAGATAACCTAACCTCGGAAAGGGACAACGCCAAACGAGCCGTCGTCGCCCTCGAACAAGGCAACGACGATCTGGAGCGGGAACACCGGAACGCGCATTCGTCCTTTCTCGACATCGAGTCCAAGTATAATAGGCTGGTCGAGGAGATGGTACTGCTGGAAGAGGATTTGAGGGGAAAGACGGCGTTGGGGGAGGAGGTGCAGAGGTTGAAGGATGTGGTCAGAGGTGAGTCTGGGGTCGGGTGAAGGGGGATTGTTATGACAAGGGGCTCGTGGCTTATGCGATCAAGGTGTTCGTGTTTTAGAGCAAACCGACGAGATGGCCTACCTTATTGGTCAGGCGGACAAACATCGGAGAGCGCACGAAGAGGCTCTGGAGACGATACATCGGCTGGAAAGACGGGCCGCTCAGCCGGAAGATAAGGAATCGCCCCTGAGACAATCAAAGAGCGCGATCCTCCTCAGCACGCCATCGCCACCCACAGCGCGTCAGGGACCCAATTCGATGTTCATGCCGCCGGTGTCTGAGCATATCGAGAACTCGCCCAGGCCGACCATTTCGTCGGCGTCGACGTCGCATACGCTACGACCGCTGCGTTCGGACGATTCGCCAGGGACGCCGTCGCAGTTGCCAGTACTCAGACCCGGTCGGGTGGACAGCTTGCGATCCAGGCGTGGTCGAGATTCTCCTGGGTCTCCCGGCACTGGCGGGATGAGGAGGAGTCAGACGATCTCCAACTTGTCACCCTCGCCCAGATCGTCGACGTACGACTTGGCACCCGCTCGAGGGCTCAATCGGTCCACCAATTCGAGGCATCTGAACGGGCTCGTCGGTTCGGAAACGCCGAGTCGGGCGAGACCTCAGTATAACGATTATTCGCCCTCGCCGTTTGCCGTCAGGGAAAAGCGAGCGAGCATGTACGGTCATCAACTCCGGCCGCTCGATGTGAGCACCAGCTCGAACGCTACCGCGACAACCATGGGCACGGCGAGAAAGCAGAGTACAGGGGCGAGCAGCGCGTTGGCGGGGCAACAGGCTATGACGAGCAAGACGTCGATGTTGTTGAGTCGCATGGGCAAGTTGGGCAACAAGTCGACTGCCGCTAGTGTGCGTTCGGGCAATACCTCCACGGCCAACACATCGACGGCCAATACGTCTGCGGCCAATACGTCTTCGACGGCGAGCACCTACGGCGAACCGAAACCCCGGGTTATCTCGCGCAAGGCCAGCTTCTCGCAGATGGCACATCAGGGCGTACATGCCATCGCCAACCAGTTCCATCGTTCCCAGCGGGGTGGGCGGGTCGTCTCTTCGGCCTCGGTCTCGTCGAATCGTACGGTGATGGCACTGCAGCAACAGGAACAAGAGACCGACCTGACGATGATCGAGGGTAGTCCGAGCGACAATGGCTGGGTGCAGATGATGCATCGTAGCGAGGCCGAGAAGGATGGCGATAGTCCCACCGATCATACGAATCGCGGGAAGACGCTCAGGGATCGGTTCAAGGAAGAAAGTAGCGGTCGACAGGAGTTTAGCATGGCGTCGACGTCGACCCATAGCGGGCCGTTGCCTATCCGATCCAACATCCCGCCTTCGATGATGAACAAGGTGCCAGCAACCCGCCCAACGCAGACGCAGACGCACGAACGGTCACACTCTCGGATGTCGTCGCAGCTGTCTACGGTATCGAGCTCGTCCACCCGCGCACCCACTCCATCGGGAACTGACAACAAGGCTCCTTATGCGCGACCGGATTCGAGAACGGGAACGCGATCGAGGACGACTACGGCGTCTATCAGCATGTTGCCTCGTCCGCAATCACGACAGGATCATCGTCCGCAATCGCGTCAGGATTACAACCGGGGTATGATGCGCTCGCCTTCGCCTACAGCTTCGCATTCGGTACTGCCCTCGGGACTACCTCAACCTCAGTATGGCAATGCCGCAGGCAATATGACGACCAGCCGCTCGATTCGGCGATCATCGGCACAGCTCGGTCAGCCGGGCAAGCAGCGTCTGGCGGACCCACCTGGCAGCGCAACAAACGTACCCGTCAAATCACGGATACCTCGCAAGTCGACGGGAGCGAGACCGGCGAGTACGATCGAGATGCCCGAGGCGCCTGTGCCGGCTCTGCCGGTCTCGGCGAGCCGAACGACGGGGATGGCGGGGATCGGCAGAGGATTGCCTTCCACAGCTAGATGATCATTGCACAGAGATGGCAGTATACCTACATACAGATGAGCGGTACAATATAACATATAATTGTCTCACGAGCCCTACGTTTTGGGTTATGGGTCGCTACGGCTTCTTTGCGTACTTACGCACTCTCCCTTCAAGAGACCTTCGACCTGAGATTAAAGTTGACTTTATCTTTACCGCACTCAAAAGTCGAGCTGCTGCGCTTGTGTCGTATGGCAGGAGGTGCCAAGCGATCGGGCTCGCTGCTGGTCTCAACTGGCTGTATGCACTTCTACAGTATGAGGCTTGAAGATATTGCGCATCGAATGATGCGAGCGTCAACTATGCAATCAAGATAATGACTTACGCGGTACTCGAGTAACGTTGCGATCTGATACATCCTCCATGGACGATTGACAACAGACAATCGCCCTGACTCGTTGATAGGGCGCTTCATGTCAGCATCAGTGCCATATCGATCCCAACGCACGGTTCATCGGGTCGTCGAGCAGAGAATGCAACCAAAGTCGGCGACAAGAGCGAAAACCGGAACAGGCGTTTTTCGTAAATCTTATGGCAGACCCGTCTATTCGAATTGACGTCTCTTGTGCCACACTGGCGAACCCTCAAGTCACCTTACCGTCCGTCTTAAAGGAATACGGTCGTAATTTCCGTCCGGAACTGTATTTTCAACGTTGTTTGTCTCAACTTATTAAATAACATGCCGCAGTCAAGTCGACGCCTGTGCAATCTTTACGCCTTAACTCACCACCCAAGATTTGCAATGATGATCAGATCCCCCTTTCACATGGCTACTCCAACAACCATGCTCCAAAACGTGATCGTCACGTTTTTGGAGCTACATGTCAAACGCTCAAGAGGATCATAGGATCATACATGACTGCCTGCCTTGAATATAAACAACAATAACTACAACAGCTACTAGTGTAGTGACGGACCACCAGCAACCGGCACCGAACAATGTCTACAGGTGATTCTGTGCTAAATTCAAGAAAGAAAACGCTGTTACTGGATCTACGCTCCACCAACAAACTCTGCTCGCTCACTCGCTCCCCTGCATTCTACTTTGATGGCCTACGAACGATCAAATCAAGAGAGTCAGAGAATGGTTGGAGTGCACCAGAGATCCCAAGGAGGCCTAGGAACTTGGATATACTATTCCCATCCATTTTCAGGATTCTCCTGAAACCGCCCTTGATCAGCTTGCACAACCCGCTCGGATATGATCACGGGAGTTGGGAAGTACAGGCAATGGCTACTGCTCAGATCAAGACATCGATGTTGCCCTCTTCTCCGCTTGCATGATAAGATGGGCTTTCGATTCGGTGCAGAAGACCACACGGTACATATTGGACGGCAACCCTGGACTCCGCTTCCTTGACACCTCCGTCATTATCATCCAGCGTTTAGCCAAGCATGGTCTCACTGTCGAGTGCACCTTGACCGGGTACTCAAAAGGCTTCACTTAACTCTAGAGGAACGGATCACCAGGAAGTCGACGCCTGCTAGTGTCGAGTTCGTGAGTACATTTCACTTAAGTTGCTGGATACCTTCAACGCTTGATCGTTACGCTTCAATCGATGACGCAAATGTGTGGCATCTGAGCGCGGACACTCACTGTACCTTACTTCCCAGAGGAGTACCATGCCCTTTTGGCGGATCTGCTTACAAAGGCGGAGAGGTTGAAGGATAACAAAAGGCGGAAGATTTTGAAACCCTCTTTTCTCTATTTGTCCAGCCTGGCCGAGGTCTTCTGACTCCAAGCAAGGTCCACAGTTCTGTCAAAGCTTGGGAGTGTATATTTTGTGGTTAGTCGCTCACCCTGACCGTACAGATGGTGGAGGAAATCTCGAATAAGCTTGGTCTCAGTCAAGAAAAGACAGAGCTCGCTCACCTCGACTAGTGTGTGCTCAAATGAACCCTCATTCCCCGCCCTTGCCCTCACACCAGGGCGTTTTCCAGCAAGTCTCGGCTGAATCTTGCAACTGCCAACAGCAGTGACGACAGGCCTGTACCTCTGACCGCACAAGCAGCCCCAACAACCTCGACGAGTTTGAACCCTGATGGGTTCCGAGGCAGAACCTCCCAATGATGTGATCGGCTTGCCAGCTGCGTAGCCACTAGGACAAGTGAAGTATTTTGGGCCAGTTCCCGCCACTTCCTGTGCCGACGTCACCGAAGAAATGCGACAGGCGCTGTAAGCGCGCTTGCGGCAAACCACGTCTTGATATGAGGTTACTGATAGATTTCAAGGTCTTGTTCTACTCGATCTGACGCGCCTCTTGAAAGGTACAGGAATTAGCTGGAGGGACAAGACAGAAGACTACCGGATCTTGATGCCGTTAGCTTTGATATCGGGGTGAAACGGTCAGTAAAACAAGCTTCCTTTGTTACCGCACCAGGAGTCGCAAGGAATATCGGTCATATATAGACGGTGACGCTGCGATGACAAGGTCGTGAATGTCAGCCCGCTGAGAACTTACAGGTAAACCCAGACATCGTTACCATCAACAAAAACGATCGTCTGTTCCTTTCACCCTGGCCTCAATGTTCTTCGGTATCAATAGAAGAAGGCGAAGCAGACATTCAGAGTCACCAGGAGCTTTTATCTCGCACAGGGGGTCTTACATTCGTCACTCCAACTACGATGTACATAGGACGTCAGAGTACAGGGAAATCGTGGAGCCTTTCACAGGCGAGATCGAGCTTTTCGTGCAAGCAATACAATCGGCGGACACGAGTCCTGACAGAGAGCCGATATTGGCTCGCGAATGGGTTAGCATGAAAAGGAGAGCAGGCAATACTCGTAGCCTAATCCAGAAAGACCATCGCGGGCTCTCTGGTATCACTTCCAAGGATATTGAGAAGCGTATTCTCAAGAGGATCCTCACTGTGAAGAGCCAACACCGTAACGAGAGGGAATTACCGCCAATTGTAGCCAGATCGGCTCAATCGTATTGGTACATCTCGAATGGCGTCGGGGAAGAAGTAGGAGGTACCGCACAGTCAATAGCATCTGATCAAGACTTCATTCGCTACGGTCTCGTTGTCGACGTGACTTGGCGAATCGAAAACGATGGTGAGATCTTTGAATTTCAGAAACAGTACGGCGGATACATTCCGTACGTGCTAGATCTTGCGCCTCTGCAGAAGGATGCAGGATTGCAAAGAGGAAGGTCATTGATGGATGATGAGTCCAGCGGGTCTCCCGCAGGATCTTCAGACTCCGCAGGTGCCAGTCTAAAATCGTCTCAGCGGTCTGAGCACGAGCGATTCCATGCCCCGCACCGAGCTAAACATTTTCGCGGGAGAGCCTCTGGCGTGGAAGATGCGTCATCTTCTACCTCCAGCGCGAGTATAGTAAGCAGGTTGAAGGAAATGATACAGAGGTCGAAGCCTGTCCGCCTCGTCAACGACAAGCTATCATCATACTGCGAGCCAAGCGTGGTCGCGCTTGAGCCTTCTCAGTTGGCTGGGTCGCTTGCCAGTCTCTCTTCGGACGATGAATCATCGCTAGCCAGCTGTTCTAGACGTAGGGAGAACGGGCGGCGTCAATGGATGCGCCCCATCAAACGCGCGTTGGCAGGAGTAACGAACACGATGGGCGCACGCAGAGGTGATTTGGGTGATGAGCCTATCGGTCTCGGACATACTAGATGGCGTCCAGGGAGAAGAATTGCGAGGCGTAATCGTCCTACACGTAACAGTGCCCATGTCCGGACAGAAGATAGTTGCGATCTAGACCTGACGAGCGTTTCCTCTGATGACTTCTCAATTGACGGATCCCCGAACTATCTCGATCGGATCGACACGACATCTGTCACGGAATTGAACGCCGCTCAGCGGTATGATTCCGATAGCAGGAACCAAGCTATCGAAGCAAACAAGAAAAAGTTCGTCGCTGTTATACGGGCAACTGGAGAACACCTGAGACTATTGCCACGCGAAGGCATAGAAGGCAATGATGAGATGTTCGGCGATTGGACAAGACAGTTGACGAAGCTACGACAGGATAGAACGACGATTTTGAAGGAGATGGAGCGCCTTGGTGTAGGTCGAGGGGAAATCCAACAAGCTGAGCTAGACGCAAAAAGCCCGGCCCGCATAAGCCCGGAGAACAGCGACATTTCGACTTCGCGGTCATCGTTCTCAACCGATGCCTCCTCTACACAAACACATGGAATCGTGACCCCCTGTACAAGCATCTCAGCGGATTCCATGAGATCTGCTGGTCGCAGTGGTACGGCTGTATGGTAGAAGGGTCTTTATGTAACACCTCGAACTCTGGCTGCGAAAAAGGTTGCCGATCGGGTTCCAGTGTCACAGCTAATTATCCCGCCCGGGCTGTCTCGACCGTTCCAAAGGAGATGCCTGTTAATGAATCCAGTATGTAACAACTCTCAATACCTACATATCGAAGAGTTTTTTAGATGTAATTAGCGATACAGCAGTCTCTTCAACCGAGACACATTGCGCTACGTGTCAGTCGAGCAAGCACTAGCGCGAGAGCCCAGCTGAAACGTGGCTGAAACGCAGCGCTTGATCGGCCAACGACGCGCCAAGGCTGTGAACGTATAAATGTGCTATCGCGCGAAGACGATCTTGCTCTGTACACAGTCGTAAACGATTGGACGTCAAAAGCAGGAGCGAATCCCACTTTGTGCTGCTTGTGTCTCTCTTCGCTGTAGGGTCGGCGAGTGGACACACTACTTCCGGAACTCCTGAACATGAAAGCTGCCCAGATTTTAAGCGCCGAGCGAACTATTGTACTCCACAAAACCCTACATAATACAACAGCCCATTACACCTTTGGGTTACAAAAGGGATAAGACGAATGAGGACAAGCACTAATCTCCCAGACAGGCCGGCAGATGTCCCCGTCGTTTTCAGCGGGTGCCAGAGCTAGCAGGAAATCCTTGCTGACTGGATCCCAAGGTCGCGTCCCGAAGATTGGTAGATGGATCGTCTAGAGCAGACAAGTCGTAAGTCTCGGCTTCAGAGAGTCTAGCAACCATCTCATCCGCAGTTTCAGCCCCTCGGAATCGTTCCCCACGACCGTCTTTACGGAGATAACCGAATACGTGAGGAATCCTTCGGTACACACGCCCAATGTTTCGTCTAACTCGTCTCGCCCGACGTGATCGTCGAGAATCCGAGTCCGAATCGTCGTCGCTTTCGCTGACACTCTCTTGTTCGGACTTCGACAGTTCCCGCGGTGGCGAATAGGCCAAATCTTCTGCGGATCCCGTTAGCCCTGCCTCTCTGTATATCCGCTGAGTAAACAACGATCCAGCCAAATCCCGCGCCCGACCGATGAAAGAAGTGTCGTCGGATGTCCCTGTCAGACCCTCTGCAAAGGCGGTGTAGAGTTTCAACTTGGTATTGGGGACTCGGGATTCATCTGTCAGGGTCGATCGGGACGAACGGCCAGATTCAGCCTCGACACTACCGTCCTGGTTTTTGGAGAGAGTCTTTTCATAGACTTCAAGATCGGGGTGTTCCCAAAGTGGCCTGCGGGTCGAAGGTTTCCACTTGAACGTCCAACCGACGTCGTGTACCTGCTTCCTGATAACGTTGCGACCAGCTTCTTTCGGATCACACGTCACCCAATGAATCGTGAACCGCAGAAAGTAGGCTGCTTCGAGCATGACTTCGTCTTTCGACGATACACTGGAATTGTTGATGGCCAGAAGCCACTGTACCTTTGCCAAGGAGATACACGCCGGTGCGATGTACTCGTCCTCGTGCATGCGTCGACGTTGGACCATCTCCCTGATAACTTCTTCAATGTACCTCTCCAGGGGCTTCGACCTCATTCCATCCAACGCCCATCCTAGTTCGAACACGTGACATCCTTGTCGCTTGAACCGATGGTAGGCCTCTTGCATTCGCTTTTCCAAGCGAAAGAATGTGTCTCCGTTGTGACGTTCGAAGACCGTCCTCAGCTCGTCTTTCAAGGGAATCACTTGACACGCCTTCTGCCTGTGGAGCCTCCTCCCTCGGTATCGTCCGATATCTGTCCCCTTCATCCACTCGCCCTCCTTGAGATCATAGTGTAGATCTGTCAAACTGAAGTTGACAAAGTGGTCCATGAGGGCGATTTGACGTGTGAAACGATCGCTTGCATACTTGAGTTTGGTCATGTTTGCCTCAAGTGTACTGTATGTTCTCACGGAGGAAAAGACCGCTTGGAATGGGAGACGATTCGCCGGTAGAATGGCGAGCAACGTATAAACCTCATGACACAAGTAATGAGATCAGGCGGGCGGCTTACATGCTCTATATATGGCTGCCGGACTGCCTTCCCACAAAGGAAAGCTTCGTCTGACCTTGTCCAGGTCACCCGCCAGCTCCTGACGCGAGGCGTTCTCCGTGGTACATCCTTTCAGGCCCGCTGTCACGTCACACGACATGCTATGCTGTGCAGGACATTGACCGGCCGTTTCACCGCCAATGGAGATTTGGTCACCTGTCGCAGCAGCAAGCAGGTGCCGCTTTCCACTGCTCGGTGACCTTTGGCCCTGATGTCCCTGACCTGATGATCATCATAACTCATTCATCGATCCAGATGGCCGGCCGCTACGGGCGTAGCTGTGGATTTCAGTCTGTGATACATTATGACAGATCTGCTTGTGAGACTCGAAACATGCCTTCTTGCGTCTAGATAGCCTGAACTGAGGTGTCGAAAACGGAAGGCCGCAGCGTGCACGAGCGCAAATTCGTGGCTCGGGTGCCTTATATCTGTCAACAGGCGATCATGGGTAATAAGTTCTGCCAATGAAGGATCTTACGGTACATTACATGTGGAGGTGAATGCTGGATCAAGATGAACCATCACGGACTTTGTGACGCCGGAACGCCAAGTAGAACCCGTGATGTCTCGCGACATTCGTGAAACGCGAAACCTGCTTTACCCGCTCGATCCGTCTCATATGTATGGATCACAGCGTTCCGTCGAGCAAGACCCCATGTTCTTCCACGGAACAACAAATGATCAACGTAAAAACGATCTCAACTCGGTGCTTGCAATGCTCAGAGAACGGCGCGCAAGAGTTCCGTCGCTTTAGAGGTAAGAAGCGCACGTGAGATTATATCTCGATGTAATCGTATTGTCGGTACTCGAGTCGACGTTGACCCTTCTCCCGTATCCCCATGTTGAAACCGAATCCTGAAAGCAACGATAGTCCATGCTCGAACACCATCGGACACCCGTCCTTGATACCAAAGCACATACAACCCAGCAAGGTATTGCATGCCTTCGTTGACTAGTTGAACGTTCCGACGGTCAGTCCCGGCGGCGACCGAACAATTCCCTCCGGTGCCATTTGGAACCGCGTTTCAGATCTCGATAACAGGGATAGAAACACTTGGTTACACCCACTGTCGAACATTGATTATATAGCTCAGCATGGAACGGTTGGCAGAAGATGAAACTTGTACTGGGGAAGATTCGACGTTTAATCGCTCAACCCATTCCATCCCATACCGCGATCAACCGCCTCGTCCGAATATCTCTAGCCGCTCTCTCGAACCGACGATATGGTCCGCACCACTACTACTACCACACCAGCCGACGGAAAGACCCTTCTGGTAGTTCAGTGATTCAGCTGACGGTCGCCATCGCCATCGTCGCGATCGCGGTGTATCGTCTGTTCGGCGCCAAGATCAGGACATCTCGAGTCGAGAATATGGTCCTCGGGGCGGTGAGTAATCATGAGCTGTCTCGCCCATATGACAACCGATCCAACCGACTAGCGGATGTCGACCCGTACCGAGCTCATCTTTTGAGGTTATTATAGGCTGCCAAATCGATCATCATTGTCCTCTACGAAATTCTCTCCGCCAACACAAATGCTTTCCGCCGAATCGCCAGCCTGAAAGCGTACATGATCCTATCTATCCTCGAATTGATTTTCTGGCCGGCGGTCGTCGGTGTTCTCTCCTGGACACGTTACACGACGGGATGTACCGCTGGGCTGGGGTGTAGGCTCGCAACGTTGTTGCTGGGCTTGGCGGGTATCATGTTGTGAGTGCAGCGGCAGATCCTTGGACTGTAAACCTCGGGGAAGCCAGCACCAAAGACTGTCGAGTGTCAAGCTGATAGTCTGCTCATGCCCGATATGTCTGGTAACAGGCTCCTGGCGATCTATCCTTGCATTGTCGCTATACGGACCTTCAAGGCCTCTCGACATGACAAAAGTCAATCGGTGGCTCACTACGGGCAGGACGAACAAATTTGCGGACGAGGCCAAGACGTGCACAAGACGCCGGCGCCCGAGAAGTGGACATATCAGCGCCGTATGACGAGTCGTGATGGCCAACCAAGCTTCCGTTTATGTACTACATACAGTCATGTGACCAGGCAACCGACGTCTTTTTCGTCGATGCTCCGCTCACTTCGCGCGGCTCCGAAACGATAGGCGCACCAAATTCGGTTCCATGACCGAGGGACTGTTCGACATCCAGGGTTACCCGGTCCAGTGAGGTAGTGTGCTGTCCACTGATGGGTCTCTAGCTAAAAGCGGTCACCGAGTGTTATTGGCAGCGTCACGCAGAGAGGTGTTTCACACGTCGCGGATATCGCGGAACCCTTCGCGTATCTCAAGCGCCTCGGTGGCGTCTTCGGCTCTAACGGCGGCCGTGAATCGCTCATCGCTCCGCTAATCCCGCTTGAATGTCTATATAGTCCGCATACTTCAGGTGTCGTTTTCGAAAGTTCGCAACCAGATGGCTAGGTGACGCGGACCTCGATCTGCGCACATAGGGTGATCGCCAAGATACATCGTGGACATCGATCGGATAGAGAATCTCATTATCTTTGCCGAACTTACCCTCCACGCTCGAGTCATCCATACCATGTCTACAGCAAGATCATTCTCGACGCGAATCCAGGAAGGAGCTGATCCTGGCCTGTATATGAAGACGTGAGTTTTGCGTACCTCCACGATTTTCTTCGCACGAGACAAATCGTTCTTTCCGCCTGCTTGAACGTCATAAATCACCCGCTCTGTGCACCGTAGGTTTGTCAAGATCGCCAATGATCCGTATCATCCATCAAGCAACCCGGGGGGAATCGTTGGACTGGGAGTGGCCGAGAACTTGTTGATGGTGAGTTGAATCGACCGCCACGTGTAATCTCCAACCATCATCGTCTTGTCCGAGAAGACGAGCGACTCGGTATGATCTCAGTTCGACCGCGAGGTTTTCAAATTTCGAGGTTGTCGTTTCTCAATCGTGTCTAGATCTTACTGTATAGGGTGAAGAACTCGTAGACCTTTCACGACGGGCCATGACTTCAAACTTCACCACGCAAGATCTGTCGTACGGAGACGACTTGTGGGGCTCGAAGCGTCTTCATCGAGCCCTGGCAGGGTTCTTGAATGAGTAAGCCTGCTCGGTGCATTACCCTGCCAGGCCTTTCCCAGGAATGATGATGTACTGTGATGATCTGATCGAGAGCATCACCCCGCTTGCGCTGTAGATGGTTCGAACCGTATGAACAGGCCCAGCCTGAACATATCATCACCAGTAAATGTCTCATGTGGTTCAGATGTGCAGTGTTATTTCCTGCGGTCCAAGCGCTGATTCAAGCGCTCTCCGGCGGAATCCGCCTTCCCTTCTGACGATCGTGATCCAATCTTTTCTCCCTTGCTTCACGTTACAGGCGCCGGCCTATCGTGCTTGATCGACCAGCTCACATACACCTTGTTCAACCCGTCCGAAGGTATCCTGATCCTCCGCCCGTATTATGCAGGCTTTAACCGCGATTTCTGTAAGAGGAACGGGGTGAAGCTCATCGGGGTCACTCATCCGCCGTCGACTCCGAGCTATCAACGAAGGCCACAAGCTGGGGAACAACCTAAGGGCGAGGATGAGGAGGAACAGGGAGAGGATAGAGGCGAATCTTGGGAAGGACCGGACGGGCTTGGGCAGGCCTTCGAGATGGCGCTCAAAGAGGCGGAGGACCAGGGTACCAAGGTGAGTTACGGTCCCTCCATCCTTCCCCGTTGACGAGCTCGTTCGGTGGGACTACGATCGTCTTTGTCCACTACGAGGACTGAATCTCCGTGCACCCCGTCGATCTGTTTTCCCCTTACAGGTCCGCGGCATCGTCCTCTGCAACCCTCATAACCCGACCGGACGGGTCGTCCCTCGTTCGATCGTCCTCGGATACTGTGATTTCGCCGAGCGGCACGATCTGCAGCTGATTAGTGACGAGATTTACGCCCAGAGCGTGTTCAGTTCGAGTGAGTCGTCGATGCACGAGATCAGAGGGTGTACTGGCCCTCCAGCCCGGCCCTCTGGGACTGCCGAGATCTGAACCCGGGAGCGATAGGACCAAGAAGCCCTTTGCGGGAATCTACTGATCCTTGCCTCTGTATGTCGCAGCCAAGTTCACGTCTGCGCTCAATCTGGACGTGGAAAAAGAGACGGGACGACCGTTCGATCGATCGAGGTTACACGTTTTGTATGGCATGTCGAAGGATTTTGGGGCCAATGGGTTCAGGTATGTGTCCCGTCACCTCATCTTCTCTTGCCTACGCCGTCCTCGTCCTCTGGATGGCGCACGGTTTTGATCCCCGCCTACCGTCTCCACAGGATTGGTGTGCTCATCAACCAGGACAATCAAGAACTCTTTCGACTCATGGCAGGGATGTCGATTTTCTCCAAAATATCTGCCCCGGCGGATGTCATCTTCTCCGCTCTGCTCTCCTCGGAATACCTATCGACCTATCTCCTCATCTCCCGAGAGCGTCTCCGAGTAGCGCATGATCTCGTCGAGACTTGGTTCTCTGCTCGCGGATGTACAGTCTATCGGTGCGATGCCGGACCGTTTTTGTGGGTCGACATGGGAGACCGTCTGGGTATCACGACTTGGGAAGAGGAGGCGCAGTGGCACACGAGGCTGTTTGAAGAAGGAAAGGTGTACATAGTCAGTACCCCTGATGCTAGACTATTGTATAATAGTCCTCGAGCGAATTTGATTGACAGCCGCCTGCCCATTCGTCTTTCTTATAAACCTCATATCTGTTCGAACATCTCTCAGAGCCTCGGCGCGACCTATAAGAGCGAGCGACCCGGTTACTTTCGGATCACCTTCGCGGTCCCCGAGTCGACGCTGCTCGAAGGTCTCGGTCGAATGGAAAAGATCCTCGGGTTACAAATCAGATCCAGGTCCACCCATGAACCCTAAGTTCTAGGATAGGATGACAATGAGCCGATGGGTTTCGCTGTGATACGAGAAAAGTGACATCCTCGCTGATGATCAGATCACGATTTAGAGCCTACGTCTGCGTGGTGGTGGCGGGAGCGGTTGCGAGCAATAGAATTGCCAACGAGCAATGTCAGACGATTCGAATACTCAGGCGCAAGTACATAGACAGATGATACAAACATCGGCACGACCAGGAAATCCTCCTTAGCACACTCTTAAGATATGGCAGTCTTGCCCTCGTTTTAAAAAACCTTAGCCATGATCCTGTCGGGCAGAGTCTTGGGCGTCGTCTCCTCTTCGGTACGATAATGGTCGTTCAAAGCTTCGAAAAAGTCTAGGTCGGTAGACAGATCCACGTCGACGCTACGGCGAAAAGGCGTCTTGCCGAAGATCTTGAATCCAAGACCGATGCCGCCCGCCAAGGCAATCTGAGAAGGGAGGCCAGTCAGTACGCCATCTCATACAGGTAATCGATTAACGCACAATTCCGTAATTGAAGATGAAAGTGGCGACTACAAGGTAAAAAGCCATTGGTCGTCAGCTTTACATCGCGAGAAATCGGATTCGGGATCCCGATCCATACCGTTCCAGTTGCCGTTGAGGAATACGGCATATCCCTGGACCCAGAGAAAGATGCTGGCCCAGAACAACGCCCAATAGCCAGCATACGGTTGGAAGCGAGAGGGCGATGGCAGAAAATCTTTCCTGTCGATGCCTTGCACGCGCATCGCCCTGTTGAAGCGAACCCAAGTGATAGCCATGACGCACCAATTGCTGTCGTTGGAAAGACAACGTATCAGTCTGGATTCACCGCGAAACTTCATGGTACGACTGACAGCATGGTCGCAGCCGTGCAGAAGCTATGTGCGAGCAAAGCATAGTCAGTCAAATGCGATGATCCGTATAATTCCGCTGTACTCACTTGAGGATCCAGTTCAAGACCTTCTTGCTGCTCGATCCTAAGGCTAGATACGCGAGACAAGAAAGCGTCATGACAGTGATGACGGCAAGATAAGGGACACCACTGTCGTTCGTGTCGGGAATTCGGGTTAGCTTCTCGCATTCTTCGAATAGTACATCTCATGCTCACCGTTTGTTGAGCCGTTTCAGGACTTGGGCGCCTTGCCATCCAGCGCAAGCGCGTGAAGGCTCCTCGAAGCGTTGAAGGTGTACTAGCGTAAAGCCGTGAGTTCTCAGGCTCACGCAAGTGCGACATACAGCTACTCACAGCGTTGCCTGCCGATACGATGGTGGTCAACAAAGCCGCAGTGACGATAGAAGGGAGTACGGGTATGTTAAGACGTTGCCTGAGCGGATAGGTCGGTCTAGTCAGAACCTGTAGATCCGCTGAGATAGGTCTTGACTCACATGGAGATGACACTACACAACGATTGAGGCATACAACATCAGCTACTAGCTGAGAAGGGTATCGACATCGATGCTCACTAAGGAGATCCGCCAGCATAGGTATCGCTACCTCCGGTGAGCCTGAGATAACAAGGGTATAGACATCAGCGCTGCGGGTCCAAGCACAGACAGACTGTACCCTTACGTGACATCGTTGTAAGGCACCAAAATCTTTTGAATCAATTCTAGGTCAGAGACGATCGTGGCGAGGTGACATCATGATCCACGGAAACTCACTCCGACGCAGAGGGCACCCCCAATGAAGAAGACAATCAACCTAGTCATGATCGTTCGAAAAGCTCTAGGTACGGTCCGACGGGGATCTTTGGCTTCACCGGCGATCACTGCGACGAGAATGAATAATCAGATCGAACACTTTCCGCCTAAAAGTCTAGACAAAGGCGACTTACTAGACTGTCCCGTATGAGACAAAAGCGTTGAAGGCTAATAAGCAAGAGGGAAGAAACAAATGTTCCGAGAGCAACATACAATGTATTCTGAAAACCGATCGAAGTTAGCAGCGTATATAGTCGCATGTTAGAGATGCCAGACTTACCGGGTCCACCCATGCAGAATCCAGCTAGCAGAACAGTCACAATCATGTCGATAAGCGTCGCGTGCGAGTCTCACCCACGTCGTCAGACGTACCGACGTTAACAGCATTGATAAAAGACTGCAACCTTCCCGAAGCATCTTTTCCTGCCCAAACACCCGGATCCTTCCAGTAGCGAAACCCATATTTGCTAGAATGTCTCAAGCGGCTTTAGTACGAGTACCCTCAGCACGGTACACGAACCGCTTACTCGTGTAGCGGATTCCCGCCTACCATCGTGATGAACGTATATAATATGAGTCCTGTGGCGAGAAGGACCTTACCAAGCGCGAGCCAGACTGATGTTCATAGGTGCTGTAGTCAGCTACGCAGGACGTGTCTCCTGTGGGAACGTTCGCGCCTACATTCTACTTCGCCGAAGAGATCCGCTCGGTACACGTTGATTGCCAGGTAAAGAACAAGCGAGATCGTGATAAGAATGGCAGGGTTCTGGTCATAACCCCAGTATTCGACCAAGGTGTTGATCACGGTGGCCTCGAAAATCACATAGGAGGTTTGCGCAAACTGAAGCGATTAGGTCGAAGCGATTAGGTCATGTCAGGATCTGACGATAACATCTCATACTGATACAGTCTTGTAACTCGTCGCTATACTCACGAAATGATTCCAGCCGACCGCGACACCAAGAGCCGGATCGACCATGCGCCCAGCAAGCCTGATGAATGATCCGTCGTAAGGAAAAAGAGCGACGATTTCCATTTCTGTGGGTGAGCATGGTGAAACGTTAGCGCGGTCTCGATCTGAAGGCGCCAAGCAGCGTGCCACTTACGACATTGCGCTACAGAAAAGACGACGGTGGCCCAAAACAGAAAGGCTGTAGAGCAAGCGCACACTCAGTTTCAGATCTAAGGTTCTTGCAATCGCCGCAGCTCACCAATCAGGAGAGCCAGGGGCCCCGACCGGACTCCGGAACCGATGGCGACAAACAATGCGCTGTCAAAAGGAATGCATCGTGAACATCTTCTGCACGCGCCGAGCCAATCAGGACGCGCGTGTTGTCGACTCACGCTCCGATGGATCCAGCGATGGCTGTCAGTTGTATCTGACGTGCGTTCAGACGACGATGATTGATGGACTCCGCCAAGGCGATCGCATCAGCAGACTCGACACCCGCACCGAGCGAAGGAGGGTAGACTTCAGCCGCGAGGTGAGGATCCTAACGGTATTCAAAGTGTCGTCGAGATCAGCTCGGACGGCAGTGATCCGTGATTACTCGCTCTGTGCTAACCTTCTTGGACCCCTCGTCGCCCTTTGTCTCAGGCAGATGGTTCTTGGTGAGATCTTCGTTCATGATGCATCGAGCGTTGATTCGTTTGGCATCCTAATTTCGAGAAACTGGCCTCCCTATCGAAGCGACCAACGGGTGATATTATACTCGAATTGATGGCAGCGAACAACACGGAGATCCCCCACCCCTATCAGTCGAGCACGAGCGGTTACGCCTAGAACGTCGATCCCGCGATACCCGCCACGTGGATCAAGACTCCGTTTGGACTCCCGTCCGGCGTTCTCTGGACTCCGTTGACTCGTCATTTGACATCTGGATTCCTGTCAAGACTCCGGATAGCAATACGCCGATAAGTGTCGAGAGATATAAACGGTCAAGGCGGTTCGCAGCGATAAGACCGAATGCGATGGTGACGGTCGTCCATCCTTCAGTATCCAAGTAAACACTAAACGAAACGGGTGCTGTAGCCCACTGAACATAGTCATGTCTCCCACTTTGGTTACCATCGACGCCAACGAGCCACTACAGGCCATTCTCGACATTATCGCCCGTGATGGCGGCGTCATTGTCTCCAACTTTCTGCCTCCCGACTTGCTGAAAGAGACTATGACCTCGAGTAAGTTTGGGCTGGCAGCGTTCGAACCGATTCCGTGTCCTGGAAACTGAACCCGCTCATCCCAACCTTGCTTTCAATCCGTAGTCGAGCCTTACTTCCGGGGACGTACGACTTACAAGTCCAAGGCGACCCACGACGAACTAGGCCAAGACTTTTTCCCCGAAGGTTCTTTGAGGGTTTATGTAGGTAGCGCACCAGGATCCAGGTCGTCTGCCACTTCACTGACTCGCAAACGCTTCCAGGCGCTCTTGGCCAAGATCCCCGAACAGCTCGTCAAGATCATGCGCCTCGACGTCTGGCAAGGCATCATGGCCCGGTTCCTCAAGTAAGCCAAACGCTGATTTGCCGTTCTGATGATGAAGAACACGCCTGACGAAAGAGGCAATTTGATGCAGCGACGAATACGCATCGTATACCGGTTCCAACCTCATCCCGCAAAAGAGCGGGTACATGCTAGCTTCCACCGCGGCGCTTCGTCTTGTACCGGGAGCCAAGCCTCAGCCGTTGCATCGAGTAGGTGCCAAGTATCCTTTACCCACAGGTATTGTTCGACGTGTTGAGGGCCCCGTTTGGTGATTCATAGGACCAGATCGCCTATCAGACCCGGCCTGACGCTTCGAACCCGCTATTCACGCCGATGGTCGGCTGCCTGATCGCCGGTTCCAAGTGTACCAAGAAGAACGGCGTGAGTCGTCCACCGAATCAGCTTCATCGTCCTGGAAGATGACTTTCACAGGGAATATCGAATTTGGCTAACGCAGACCTCGTCGTGATATTGTAGGCCACCGCCGTTATCCCCGGTAGCCACCTCTGGCCCCCCTGCCGTGCGCCTAAGGTCGAGGAATGCACTTATGCAGAGATGGAACCCGGTTCGGCGCTGTTCACTCTGGGTTGTGAGTCGCCTACGCACTATTCAGAGAGGAAAATGATTCGATCAGACTTTGACGGGCTGACGACTGTGCGACCTGCTCGGGAATGACACAGCGACTTACCACGGCGCTGGGGAGAACAAGTGTGACCCGACCGATCCTGACGCTCTCCGAACGTTGTTTGCGGTGTTCGGGTGAGTCCATGCTGTAGTCACCTTCAGAACCCCCTCTGTCGTGCGGTACTGATCCGGATAGTTACCGAGTGATTGTAGGCAACGAGACTATTTCAGACAGGATCAAGACGAGGTCCTCTCCACGCCTATAGAGATCGCAAGGAGGCTTCCAGAGGACATCTTGAAGATCGCCGGGTATCGTACGTCGTCGTCTGATCCCGCCATCCGGGTCTCTTGATCGACCGAAGAGCCCCTCGAGCTGATTTCTTCCTGTCCTGTCCTGTCGACATCGTCATCGTACATCGTAGACAAGGCCGTCGGTGGAGTGGGATATGTCGAGGATCATCAGTCACCTGTCGAGTTCCTCCACGGCGAATCGGGAATGGGCAGGTTCGGACCTCAGTCCGTCAAGGTGGCTCTCTAACTCTAGATCAGAGTTCTGGATCGTCCCTTTGAGCTTTTATCGTTGTTCCTCGTGGGAGATCAGACTAGGTAGCTCTTGGGGATGATATTTGTATGCAGTGTCTTATCGTTTCATGTATCAACGGTGCTCGAGAGCAGGATGGGGGATCCTATCGTATTCCACCTTCCAATCGTTGGCATCCTATCGTTCGCATCGTCCATGAATCCATGTAGTAATCAGATGACTCGATCGAGCGACTGTGTACATTACTACTGTGTGCCGTATCTGAGTTTCCCACGGTGCCAGGTGGAATCCAGAGTCTTGCAATGTGACCCATCTCGACCACGAGGGTCTGATCTCTTGTTCGATGTCATCGATCCAGGTCCACCTCGACCGACAGAGTTCCTCTCGAGCCGACCGTCGTTCGTCCTATATCTGCCAGCTCTATAAGCTATGATATAATAGCGCAAGTCAAGACGGAGAGGTCGAGTGGACGTCAATCATCGTCGTAATATCGTTCGTCGCCATCACATCAGCAACTCACCTTGGACGCGACCACGTACCTTCGGCAACACATTGATCGATTCAACCTGCTTCGCTGCCCCCACAGGTTTGCCTGCAAATTCTTTCTTTATGTATACCACAGCTTGCGACCATTGCAGGAGACTCCGGATCAAGTCAGCGGCCCCCGCTTCTCTCGCAAAACGGGCTCTCCTGCTGATCTCGATTGCTTGTCTTGCTTGATTTGTTGCGTAGATGCGTCCGTCAGCACGAAGGTCGGATCCCGGACGAGGTATGCGAAGCTTGTCTGCAGAGTGAGACTCCGTGTACTACGACTAAGAGGAAGGTGAGCCGAGTGTTGTTGTTATTGTCGAGGTGATTTCGTTAGGAAGTTGATTTGATGATGATATGTTCCTCTGATGTTGATCGGCGAACAGGTCGGGCGACAAGTAGGATCCAAGAACAAGCGACCTAGATTCACGTCAACATCCTCGTCGAGTGTGACTACAAATACGTACACGAATCCGAGGCCGTCTTCAGCAGATCGGTACTATGCTGGTCTACCAGGTCCATCGAATGTGACAACGACCGACGCTGGACACTTGCCCAATCCGTTACACGTCTTGGCTTCCGAGGCTTATCATCGTGATGCCGATGGTGATGGTCCTATCGGGTAAGTCATGTCATCCTGACTTCAATGTAAACGCTGAAGGTAATACTGTAGCTCACAATCCGCCGGGTTGCTGCTGGGCTTGGAGTTGCAGGTCTGAACAAGAACCTCCAGGCTACGATCATCCTTTCCGGGATAGCACCTCGATCCTGGACGGCTTCCCCGAATGGTCGACCAGGATCTGTGGGGGTTCGAGTACGGGCCGAGCGGGGTTGTTACAGCGTATCGATAGGTTGTTGGCCCACGAGCAGACCCTACGATCAGGGTCAGGAGTGGGAAGTAGTAGTAGCGGCTATAACGCTGGGTTTTCGAGAGAGGTTGAGGATGATGGGCTGGTCTTTCATGGTCGGGTGGATGTGAGTATAGACCCGATCGCTGCCGTACCTCGACACGGACAGGTTGGCTGATGTCGTACGTTTTAGATGGCTCGTCCAGATGCGGCACCCGAGGACGATGTCATCTCTCTACAGATCATCTCCCTGCCAGATGCCCAGCACTTGTTCGACTCGTAAGTCGTTTTTCCGCCTCGGAATCGACTGTGTAAGCTAAACAAGTCGATGTCCATAAACCTCTTGGTCTCCTACCAGCTTCATGAATCTCCTCACCAACGGATCGATGTACTTTGACCCCCGTATCCATACCCTCCCTTACATCCGCTCTCATTCCTCGTTCCTCCTGTGTACGATCCTGACCATCTCGAGCTCTTTCAGACCCATCTCCCCCTCGCCACTCTTACACTCCCGGCTCGTCCCGCACCTGACCCGGCTCGAACACAAAATCCGGACAAAAGGTTTCAAATCCATCGAGATCATACAAGCATTACTCCTCTTGGCGAGCTGGTCGGAAGTACCGGTCAACCTGGCGAGGGATAAGACGTGGACGTACATCTCACATGCGCTGGCGTTGGCTGTGGAGTTGAGGTTGGATACGCCGGTACCGTACTATGTGCAGGTGGACCCGGGGATTACGGTCAGGGACAGGGAGTTGTTTATTAGGAATGCGGTGAGTGTCCTGGGTGCACTGTATGGAGAGCAACAATTGCTTGCTTACATTATATGCTTTTGCTCTCCGTTCTCGTGAAGCATCGATGCTGCATGCTCTTGTATATCCACGACAGGGTGAGTCATTTCCCAGTCCATGCGGTCATCTCCGATTTACTGCCTAACTGACGAGACGATTGTGGGTCATGGGTCATCAGAACATGGCCATGGTAGCCGGTCGGTATCCGATCTTTCCAGAATCGCCCATCTTTTCAGAGAGCAACCTTGCGTCGTGGGGAAAACATCCTGTGAGTGGGGCTATCATTCGTTTCCTCTGCTCGCCACTGACAGGCTTTGTATCTGCGTCCTCGAGCGCAGCAAGCGTACCGCTTCGATGCTTCTCTCTGCGCTTCGGTCACCCTGAGAAAGCTGGTCGTACGTCTTCAACCCCAAGCTTCGACCAATCTCCTCGCCTCTTGATCGAGCTGACGCTTTGGCACCTCGTAGAACGCCGTTCGACATGGACTCGACCTCGCGGCGCCAGTAGCGGATTCGATGGCTGTGATCGACGAATCGCTTGACGCCTGGCGGCAAGCCTGGCAGACCGAGATTTCCTGTAAGTCAGGGCCAGCGAGAAACTTCCCTTAACAGACACTCAACAAAGGATGCACGTTTCGAGCCGCAGCCACCAAAGAATACGACATTATCGCTCGATTTTCGGCATTTGTACTGGTCATGACGTTGGTCCAGCGGCAGCAACAGACGGGTCGACTGGACCTCGGATCTCGCCGGTACTATGAGACGGTGGCTTTCGAGGTCTGCTGTGCGGCCATCGACCATTATACCTCTTGGCCGGGCCTGCTCAATTCTGCGACGTTCGAGTAAGTGACGGCAGGGTCATTTGTTGTTCTCGAAGCTGATCTTTCGTGCTGTGTTTGTGTCACACAGTACGAGCATGGTCACGTACTGCGCACTCTGCATAGTTCAGTCGATCGGTAGCTCTCCCGCCAATGCGCTTTCGGACTGGTCCTTGCTGCGTCTAGCTACGCTCCAAGAACTGGTGTCTCTTCTCGAAGCGCAAGCAGCTGGCCGACATCAGGTGCCAACATCTATAGGGACCAACGTCGTCGATGCAATGGCTCGACGGCTTTCACGAGAGATCAGTTTAGTACTTGCAAAGACGCATACAAGCCATCATCGCGAGCCACACCCTTCGACTTCGAGGATGCCAATCACCGAGCAGATCGTACCTCAAGACTGGTGGGGCGGGGACTTACGCTCTACACAAGAGACGACGCAACACTCCACCCAGAATCACAATGGCAACGTCGGGGGTCTCTTTCTATCCGACTCGGCTTGGCAGGAGCTCCTAGATCAGACGCAAGAGGAACCCGTACCGATGTTGAGCGACGCGGAACTCGAAGCGATCGTGGCCGGGCTACCTTCGTTCGATTTGAGCTGGTGGGCCATGTAGCAGGCGAGCAAAACTGGTCAAGAGAAGGGGATCCGGAACCGCAGCGACGTAGCTATGTCGCATCGCTCGGCCTCAATGACCACCACAATACCTGCGCGGTGTAGGTCGGAACCATACCAGGACAAGGCTACCAAACGTAGACCGTCCGCTTCACACACACGAGACCCTCCCTGTCATGCATCTCAAATTCCACGTACTGGCAGTACGCAATATCAAGGTCGAAGTCGTGATTTCCCGGTACGGCTTCATTGCCGCAGCGGTTCAACGGGACTACCGATGACAGGGTTACTTGGTCCTCGTGACCAGTGAGACTTTCCGACTCCCACTGCGCAGACACGAGCTCTGTACACGTCGCGAGAGCCCGATCCCTGGACTACCAGCACGTCGTTGAGGTTGCCGCTGGACCCAACGTTCGACACGTCTACGAGCTCGAGTGTCCCTTCTGCAGAGACCTCTACACTTTTGAATGCTGGAAGTCACGTCGAGGCCGGCACAGCTCTGGTCCAAAGTCAGGACGTGAAAACATCGCGTTGCCGTCGACACGACGCTCATCGATTGACATAATCGATAGTCTTCGGCGAGGACCCCTCTCGGCCTCTTTGGTCGTCGTTACGGCTTGAGCGCAAGCGCTTTCGTCTGCTTCTAATCGTCTCCCTGGTATTCACGTCAAATTGATCCTCTGTGTGACGATAATTCCAGCGCAGGGACCGTTGTATCTCAGCATGCTTTGAGAACTCATTCCAGCATTACAATAAGCCCTCATCTAGAGCTACGTGTGGTCACCGCCGATTGACACTGGCCGGTATTGGCCCTGTTCCCAGTCGTTACAGAATGAGATTACCTTTAAGCTTATAACGATGGTTTATCAATACGATCTAAGCAACAAGCATCAGGTCTAGACCGATCGTAACGGTTAGATCGAGCAGTCTTCGACTCAAGTCTGTCTCTAGTGCGACGATTCCCGGCCGTATCACATCCTGATCCAGTTCCAGCTAATACGCCCGTCATCAGGAAAGCGGGAGTTTCATCATCACGCTGTGATCCTTGAGCGCTGGTAGCGATGAGACTTGGCCGGTATGGGAAGTCGGTCCTCGTCGTACTTCACCCCGACGATACCGACCTTGGATATATCCATAGGAGCTGTCTTCGTAGATGTCTTAGGTTCAACCCCAGAAAAAGGTCGGCCTCCTCCTCCCCGTAAACCGTCGACCACATCATGGTGTCCTAGAGTAAGCGGGCAGTCGACCCCGGAAGATGTGGCTTTCAGTGAATCACTAGGAGAGCAGATGTTCCGGAGAGAAATGAAGAAACGTACCCAAAGGCAACACATGGCTATCGCCAAAACATCGTCGCAGCCCGGTTGGACCCTGATATCGTAAGATATGATGTAGACTGTGATGACAAGTGACCGCGTTAAGATCATGTGTGTCTGCTTATGTCGGCGAGGCGACTCACAAGGCCACCAGCCCTTCGTAGAATAATTAAGCTTAGCGATCGACGTTCCGTGGGAACCCTTGATTTCGGCCTGCTTGCCATCTCCGGGCGGGTCGCACAGAACCCAAGTCGTCTTCTGTCCAGTGTGGTGACCTCTTTGGTTCAGAAAGCTCGCTGAGATCTTACAGTTCACGTAGTCCAAGTCGAACGAGATTTCGGATCGGACGAAATGGTCCATGTTGGTGATCCCGGTGTACCGCAGGGAGAACCAATTTCTCGTAAATTGTATGATCGGTTGGTCCATGGGAGTCTTGATATAGGCTGGGTGTCGGTGCAGGTTCGACATCCCGGGCGCCAGGTCAGCCGGGGTGTGTGCTGTATAAATTGCGCATTATGTACTCACTGGTGCCGCTGAGGAGACTGCTCGAGATGTACATGACCTCTCGATCCTGAGGCATGAACCATATCGACGACCGGTGGAGACCAGAAGTATAGTACTTGAAATCATGCACCAGGTCGTCGTCCGATTCGACATCAAAGTGTGAAACGCCTGCGGGTCCAGTCGGCCCAGACGCCGGAGAGGAGAAGGACGAACCCATTGGAAGGCGTGTGCACCGCACGGGATCGTGGTGCTATTGGAGTCCGGATTTCGATAGAGCACGCCTTTCTTGGTATGTGACAAGGTGCGCCTTCGTGTCAAGTGAGGTTCTGTGGACGCCGACCCTTGTTCGACTCATCACCGTCCGATCGTGAGTTCAGGGCTATCGCTAGTTATCACGGTTTCGAGCGCCGCCGTGTTCCGACGGAATCAAAGCGTGCATAGCGAATGTCTCATACTGAAATCAGGGTATAAGGGATAACCATCTTCATACAACGTAGCCAGCTTCTTACAAGACGGAACAAGACGACACACTTTCATCACTCTTGCACCCTGACCATCCTGCCGCCATCCTGCATCGTAATGGCCCGAGCGTCTTCGATGACCTCGCCGCGTCGATTGACCTCGAGAATAGCGTTCTCTGCCTTGGTCAAAAGGATGACCGCGAGATAGTTGGTAAAAGAATACAGTTGGGTGATGGCGCTGCGAAGGGGAACGTCTTCAGCGAAATCCAATGCGGCTCGGCTGACCTTGGAGACGCACCGCACGGCGCCCATCAACACAAACATGACCAGCACCAGGCTACCTATCCCAACGGTCCCAAGCTGACCGGTTTGCATTGTAGCCACCCTGGCTTGAGCAGCGCGTCTACGGCCCCCAATCGCGCCCATGGGCAAGCCGAACGGGCCACCGCTGGCGGATGAAGACGGTTAGACGCAACTATACCCAGAAATCTCCGCCCTCAACGACTCACCCTCGTCCGATCCTGACATTGTTCGCCAGCTGGAAAGGCGCCATCAAGCTCGAAGTGATGAGCAGGGTGGCAAAAGAAATTGAGCCGATCAAGGAAAAGCCCAGCGAGAACCGCTCGATGATGGGTCCGAGGAGTGTCACCAATCGACCCAGACCGACCAGGATGGCCAGCTTGGAGACCAGCCTGAACGGTAGCAACGCATAGTGTCCCGCCTTGTATACCTCGAGGTATTCCGCCGCATCGACCAGCATTTGCCACATGCCCTCGCCGACCTCCCGTGCCTCGCCGTTGACGAACGCTCGCATGCTCCGGATGACCAGCTCGAACATGCCCGAGCTGGGTTGCATGTAGGTAAAGCCGCCGGGCAACTCGATACCGATGGGCACGAGCGGGTCCTGCCTCACCGCCGCTTCAAATTCTTCTTGCGTGTCCTCCATCTGGAACGGGAGCCACCGCGAGATCCTGTTCTTCTTGCGCACGAGCTTGAGCATCCTCGGGCGTCGCTCGGTTGGTCCGGCGACGAGCTTCCTGAATCGGCTGAATCGCATCAACCAGTGGAGTCCCGATCCGACTGCCAGCGTCAGCACTAGGAAGAGGATGAGCGAGGTGATGAAGAGGATGATGGGAGACGAGGCGAGGCCGAGGAAGCGAGTACGGCGGAGTCGGTAGCGGAATTTGCACTGGGTGCATTCTGTTCGGGACGGTCACAGAGATCAGTCTTTGTCTGCAGCGTCGACAGGCAAATTCGAACGTACCCATGTATGCTTTCTGCGGGTCATATTGTACAAGGTCATTTTTCTCAGTCAAAACCCGTTCGCGAGATGCCACCTCGATTGCCTACCTTGTTCCTGCCTTTACCTCGCCATTGCTGTAAGCAGCTGACTACGAAACGCAAGTAGGATGATCAGGTCAGCACGGATCACCGGGTGGCAACGATCGCGTACCGATTCAACTTACTATGCACATGCTGTAGATAGTCACGTATCGCGACGAGTGGAAAGATCGCGGTCGGAGAAGATCCGGGAGATCAGATGCGAGGCAGCAACATGCGAAGCGTCAGCCCCAATGCAGAAAACGGACGTAATTCAGCTCGATCCCCGAAAGATGCTATGATTCGACCGGCGTTCGGGACCACCAATTGCTACCGCGAACGCTTCTGGCATCCACACGAAACGACTGGTCGTGTTTACGTCTGGACCGGTGAAAAGTCCACCAGGGGCGTACCGTTCTTCGCTGTCCACCGCAGCGTTTCGCATGAGACACGTCTCGCAATCAGATCGACCTTTTCAGCTAAGACGTGATGCCAGACGTCCGTCCGGAGGCGATATCTTCGATGAACTGGAATATTCCTGCTCCTCTCCTCGCCGAGCATTCAGGTCTCGCTGTCCCTTCCACCTCGATAGACCACCGGCTGCGCGATGTGCGTATGCGATTCATATGATGACCGATATCATGATCGCCCGCCAGATCTCCGGGCGAGGTCTCGATCATGTCCACATGGACCGTAGAGGATCCTGATCCTCTCGTCTTTGCATAGAAGGCATTCCGCTGACATGCCGATATCGACCTCGTTGCGATGGTCGTGTAGTGTCGAATGCTTTCATCGTGGATCTCATGCTGCTCTCTGCAGGGCCCATTCTTGGACATGCTGTCCGTCACCTCGACCGCTTCGCATACTTTTCCCGGGTCGCAGTCCACAAGCTCGATCCACTCGATCCGCTCTGGTCTGTCCATCAACACATACATCCGTCGATGTACTTGGGATGTATCTTGTTGTCACGAGAGACTTGACGGATCGCGCCTCGCCATCCGCCGCTGGGAGTATCCGGACAAAATACCTCTCGTTTCACCGTCATCTGATGTTCTCCCTCTCTGTCTCTCTCTCTCACGCGATCGTCACCGCCTCCTCCTGGCTACAGACGACTCCCTCGCACATCATCCTTATGTCTCGCCTCGGCTCAGATCCGGCTTATCAACCTCCCCAGGCAGGTTTGTCGTGCTCGAACCGTACGTCTTCTACCCCATCTCAGCCTCGACCCCGCTCTGAACCTCTTCAGCGATATCCGCACCCACTTCTGTATCCACGCCCACTTCCACAACCACGTCTAACTGCAACTACGTCCAACCGCCCAGCATCGCCCTCTTTCGATGCCTACGCTCATCCCAGACGATCGAAAAACCGGACACCGGACACCGGACATCTGAAATAAGAAGCAAAAAGGAACTCACACGCATACTACCCCGACATAAACAGGGCGAGATCAACCTCCCCAGACCTCCGCTTGCTGCTTTCTTCTGCCTGGGGGGTTTCTTTCCGGTCCTAAGGCGTTTGTCCGGCGTCCGATCTCCGACGTTTCGATGATTGTTAGGCTCGGTATGGCAGTGGCGGTTATCGTTGTCGTTATCGTTATCGTTGTCGTTGTCGTTGCCGTTGTGGTTGTCGTTGTCGTTCTCCAGACCGGCATTCTCAGAGTTACGATTCTTTCCGGCATCACTATTACTACTAATATCACCGCTATTCTCTTCCTCATCGTCGTCGTCATCGTCGTCCTCGGCTTCGGAGTCGGAGTCTTCCCCAGTAAAACATATCCGGCACATCTTTTCCCCCTCCTCCTGCCCGTCCGACTCTTCCGGGTCCAAGTCTTCGGTAGCCGTACCCAATCCTGCCGTTCTGTGATTCTCGTTTTCGTTGTTGCTGCTGATGTTCTTCGAGGTTGAGGTAGAGGTCGAGTTTGGGATCGAGTTTGACTTTGACGTTGAGATAGGAAAGCTCGATGGGCCCGGGAAGAACGGAGTTGAGGCGCGTGATTGAGGTCTAGATCTAGATCGGGATCTGGATCGGGTTGTAGGGAGAGGGAGGCGGTGCGGATCCAACTCTGTATTTGGGTGAGATTCTGCACGGTCTGAGGGCAGTGCGGGTGCAGGTGGTGAGATGTGTCGACGGAAAGGAAGACGGGAGAACCAGGTCTTTCTCCTGCCTTCCACCTGAACCTGGACTTGAGCACCGGTAGTACGAGCGGGAGATTCGGATGTGCCGGCGGGAATCTTGGGGGTCGTCGATGCTTCGACGTCGGACCGATTGGGACTATCAATAGTAGTGTCGTAGTCGTTGGGTGAACGAATGCGTTGGCGAGAGTCGTCATGGTCATCGTCGTCGTTGTCGATGTGGAGATGACGGTCGACCTCGTCCTCGGAGTCCACGTCGACTTCAAGGTCCATCTCCAACTCGCTGTGTGAACGGGGCCATCTACCAGGGGGTTCTTCCGAGCCGTCCTTGGGGTCCATCTCGTCGTTGTGGTCACTGTGAGTGGGAGTGGTCATGTTGCGGGTCGTTAAATCGACTATCGCATCGGACGATGTACATGTTATGGTCGGTCGGTTGATCAGATCATTCGACGTCGAGGTCAAGTTGCAGGGTTACATCATCACTCCGGCGCCCTCGGCCGACGTGATTTACGGCATCAGACGACCTCGATGACCCTTTCCTCGGTAACTTACCACACTGCTCGCGCTGCTCGCAACTACTCACCTCGTCAAACAGACCCCTGTGGCCTGTTACATGGTCAAGTGCCGCAGATCTCAATCTCTCTTCGCCGATACAGACGGGGGGACTGGCCCTTTCCGAGGGAGGACACATTCGAAGAGGGGGGTCGGGTCGAAAGGCTCGCTGATGTGTGCGTGTTGTTGTAGAAAAAGTGACGTGTACAAGCAAGGTACGTGTGCGATGAGACAAACAACTGGGAAAGCCGAGTTTCGGGAAAGACGTGACGGTGACTGCTGTTGGATATCATCGTCTTACCGACCACCCATCGCTCTGTACACACAGGCCGGTCTGACTTGTGACCGACAACATGGCGTGAACAAGAGGTGCGTGGGTGGTAAGTGGGTGTCGTGTCGGATGGCCGCTGCGTTGCGTTGCGAGGGGCAAGTGGCAAAAAGTGGCTACAGTAGGGTGGACAGACCAAAGGTGGACTGAGATCCGAAGGTGCGCTTCTAAGCGCGTGTCGAGGTCCACCCCCCCGGACCGTTTCGACGACCCCCGACGGGTAGACTTTGCTCTTTGTTTCCTCTTTGTTTCTATCACGCCAAGGATGGAGAGCAAACGAGCATGAGGAAGGAAAGGACGTGGTGGATCGGATTGTATTGGATTTGAGCCCCACTCAGTTATTCAGGGTGGATAGGTCCGAGCGGGGCACCCTACTCGAGGTCAGAAGTTCTCTTGCGTGTTTTGTGGCCTGTGGCTGTTGGATGTCGAGATATATAAACGAGCGCAGCTGGCCGTCATTGTCTCGCCTCGTCGTCGAGGTTTCGAGGTCGTCTCAGCGGCACACTTTAGCAACACATCGATACGTCACCCAGACCTCAGACACTCGACCCCTAACCCTGATCATTCCTGTCACAACCAACCTATTTCTCCGCATTGGCGACTCGACCCAAGATGAACGGGAATAATACCGAAAAGGACTTAGGGGCGTACGACCTCGATGAGAAGACGCATGGTGCGACGTTTCATATCGAACACAAGGACAAGTATGGGATGCACGGCGCAGAGGCCGAACAAGGGGAAGACTATGAGTACCCGGAAGCGCTCGCCAACATGCCGGAAGCGCCCTCGGCCGAGGTTTTGAGGGACGCTCTTCTGGAGGAACAAAGGCGAGGGGCCGGGTATACGCTCTTGCAGCAGTGTCGAAGGGAATGGAGGTTGCTCCTGGCTTCCAGTTCTTATGTCGTCGCCAAGTAGGTCTTGTCAAGAATGATTTGAGCTATCGTACATAAAGGTCCCTCTCGGGCTTTTGGACAGGGTAGCGAGCTTATAAGCGGATCTGTTGCGTTGCAGTATCGGATACGGGTTTGATAATGGAGCGATGAATATCACGGCGGCCATGCCGGCTTTTTTGATCAAGTTCGGTGGATGTAAGAGAGAGCGAATTCTTCTTCTGTGATAACTTTGACGGGTATCACGAATGTCGCTTATACTGAACTGGAACGAACTCGGCCTTTCCCGCATCGGCACAGTCGACCCCGTGACCAAACGTCTGTCGATCGCCTCGACCTGGATCTCGTTGTGGACCGCCATGTTCTCGCTCGGGCTGTTCATCGGTACCATCTCGTGTACCTGGACCCTCGACCGGTTCGGCCCTCGAAAGGTCACCATGGCGGCGACGGTGTTTTTGATGGCAGGAGTGGCGGTGCAGGTGGCCTCGGTGACCAAAGAGACGCTGCTGGCAGGAAAGGTAGGTCCTCGGCCTCGTTCACAAGGAAATCCCTCAGGCGCCGGCTCATTGATACTGTACGCTGCGCCTCTCCACACACACCCAGCTGTTGACGGGTATACCCCTCGGCGTCATCCAAGTGGCCGCGTCCAACTTTATCGCAGAGTCGTCGCCTGCTCGTCTTCGTGGTCCGCTCGCTGCCACCATCGGCATGGCCAACGTCGTCGGTATCATCTTGGGTATCACCACTGGATCACAGGTCATTCACTATGCAAAGAGCGGTAGGTCATGCGCGCCAGATGAACGCTTGCGACTCGGCGGGGGTGATACTGATCGGTCGTTGTTGTTGCTACTACTGGCGGTAGACTGGAAGTCTTGGAAGTTTACTTTGGCCATGCAGTGGGTCGCTCCGGCACTCACGCTCGTCATGCTGCCGTTCTCGACCACGTCGCCCGTGTATCTGGTCAAGAGGGGACGACCGGCAGAGGCGGCCAAGGCGCTGGTCAGGCTTCACGGTCTTCAAGACGACGTGGCTGTCAAGCAGAAACTCGCGGTGATCCAGTACGCCGTGGCGACCGAGATGCAGATGCGGCCACGACTCGAAGCCATGACCCTCAGGGAGCTCTTTGCGGACGGGGTCGAGCGGAAGCGTACTCTGACGTCGATCGGCCTCTGGTTCTGTTATCAGGCGGGAGGGTCAGTCCAGGCGGGCACAGCGTCGTAGACGAGCACACGAAGCTGATCGTGTTTCTGGTTCTCTTTTAGCAACACGTTCACCGGACAGGGCTTGTACTTTTTGCAACAACAGGGTCTCAAGATTACGACGGCCACCAACATTAGTCTCGGTTGCCTGTCCGTCAGCGCCATCGTCTTCCTCTTGGGCGGTTACGTGATGGAAAGAGTCGGGAGACGGGTGCTCTTTGTCTATTTTCAGTACGTGGCCGTCCTCTCTCACGCTCTCGATGGTATGATCATCCTGGGATCCCACTCACATCAATTTGGCTTGGGGACGGTTAAAACAGTATATTGCATTTCGCCCTGATGCTCGCGCTCGGATGCCTCGGATTCGCCATAAAGTCGAACGCCGCCGCGGGATGGGCCGTCGCCGTGCTGATCAACCTGGCCATCTCCACGCAGTTGTTCGGTGAGCTGCTTAAAGACCTCTGCCAAAGTGACGCTCCACGATCACTGACGCTGCTATCACTCGCTCTTGAACAGCGACGGGTGGAACGGCTTATGCCCTGACGGCGGAGATCTCATCCGTTCGCGCTCGCGCCAAGACTCAATCGCTGTCCTTGTTCACGAACAAGATCTTGAACTTTGGTCTTACGTTCGCGGTGCCTTATATCTACCAAGAACCGGGTTATCTCGGGGCCAAGACTGCTCTCATGTGAGTCGGCGGCGACGACACCAGCCCTTGTGGCGAGACGATCTGAACGCGTGCGCTTGAACAGTTTCGCCGGGACGACCGCGCTGGCCATCGTCTGGGCCTTCTTCATGGTACCGGAGACAGCTGGACGATCCGCAATCGATATCGATGCACTCTATCACGCCGGGATTCCGCCTCGAAAGTTTGCCGATATCGATGTTGTCACGTTGAAGCGATCGCAAAGCGAACAAGGACCCGGACACGCGCCAGTCGTCTGAACAGATGACCAATCTCGACTACTAGGTCGATCATTGACAAAGCGAAGTGGCGCGTTGATCTGGCGCTTTCGGAACAGGAATATGGTACTTGAGATGTGATGAGACTCCAGAGTCCGTTTCGAAGAATGGTGTATGGGGCGGTACATTGTATACTATCAGTAATCGAAAATGCAAGCTTGAACGCTATTCAATGTTTTTTGGCGGAAAGACGACGCGCGGGTTCGAGATTGTTGAGATTGGAGCAGCAAGTGAGAGAAGAAGTGTTGTGAGTGACTTCTCGTGGTCTCGAATCTGTAAGATAGTGTCCAAGTTGTTCACTTCCATCTTGCTGCGGTGAAAGCCTTTCAAAAAGTACTGCAACCGCGGCGATTCCAGACCTGTCTTCGAGTGCGTCGGCGGTCCCCCGAGCTAATTCTTACTGAGAGTCATGAAGCGCGGCGGTTTGGATGTGATGGTAGACCCGAGTCGACAGAGGACCCAGACCCACCGAGGTGACAAGATTTGTAGAAGTTGACATTGATATCTCGTGCATGCGATGCTCAAAAGTACAAAATGGCGACCTCGGACGCAGGCAGGGAGAGCCAGTCATCTGTCAACATTTCTTGCTTTCGATCGCGCGAGTCTATATCGATGGTAAACTCGCCAGACGGATCTTCATAGTGTCCGCCGGCCCAGGTGCTAGGAGGAGAGGTACAATGAGCGTCTCTCGAATGTCACGCAAGATGCTGGTCTACCCATTCCCGATGACGACATGATGACTCACATGCCGGTGCTCGCGTCCGTAAAGGGGGTCGAGAGACGCTTGACGATAGGTCGCCGCTCGCCTATCCCGGCCAGGTGGATCGGCTCGTGAGGTCGTGGGCCTTCAGAGTCTTTGAGGTACACCGCCGAGTTGATCACAACCAACCGGATCATCTCGTCTTGATCGTCCCAGATGGCATAGGCAGAGAGGGTCGGACGGTTGCAATACACCTCGGAGATGCTCGTCGGTCCAGTCGAGCCGATCGCCTCGTTGACGACGATGGCGCCATAGTATGATGGCAGGACGTGCGGTCTGTCTGCTTTTCCCGTCCCGTCATTGATCCCAGATATCGGTTGGATGAGGTTGTAACTGTTGTTCGCAGAAGCGAGACGACAGGCAGGAACTCCGATCGAGTCAGCGGACAGCCGAGAGGAGAAGGCGCTCGTTCAACCAGCACGGGGCGCGCTATACTCACTCGAAACCGACGCCGTGATGAAAATGCAATCGTCTCAACCCGATCGAAGCGCAGTGCAGGGCGTAGTCCACCATCCAGATGGCGGCTTCTGCGGTGTTACTGACACCGGGCACTCCGTGTAGACCGTACGTGTTGGTCTCCCCCAGCATGATGGTCAGTCCTTCTTCAGCAGCTCGAGCGATGTCTCGATGGAAGCGCGACATGAGCAACCGGATGGTCAGCTTGTTCATGAGGTCGCCCTTGTTCGGTTGGGAGGTAGGTCTGCCCGTCCGAGCTCCCTGAGGTGAGATATCGATGGCAACGACTCGTCAGCCGTGATCTCTCTCGGGCCAAGCATAAAGGACCGAAATGCCAGACTCGGGGACTTGCAAAGTAATGGTGCACGCTGATATCGCTGATCAGCGATCCGTCATCCTCCAACAATCCTTGATCGAAGATGGCATCCAGGGACCATTCGCACGGCTTGATCCCCGCCAGAGAAGGAGCTTGGAGTTTAGGAGCGCCTGGTTGTCCGAAACGGAGGATGTCTTTGATACGGGTTGCCGCTAGGTGCCACTGTTCGATAAAGGCCCTCGGGTTCGGGTAGAAAAAGTCGGGCTATTGTACCCGTTAACCCGCGGTGAATTGTATGGATCAGCACGAGTTGGGTGTCCATGATCGGAATCGGAATGTCGCTCACCTCGTTCCCGATCTGGACGTACTCCAGCTCCACTTTCGATAGGAGTCGATTTCGAGCCGGCTCGAACGTCTCGGCCTGTAGAGTGACGAGATGAACGACTCCGTGCTCGGTTGAGAAACGAGACCCCTCGATTCGGAAGACTCACGAGAAGAGACGCTTGTCTCGCCGTCTCTTCGATGTCGTTGGATTTAAGGTTGATACCCCAGATACTAATCGCGGCGCAAGGGACACAGTATGGCGATCAGCATGTACACTCCCACTTCCCACAGCCATACTTGGCAAGTTTTTTTTTGTCGTTAGGAAGAGGCTACGGTAGACGACTTGCAATTTGGTCCCCTCGGCGAAGTTCCCTGACAAGGCGTAAAAGTCTCGCCCGATATAGACCGTCTTGGCTTCGGGGAATGGGACGAGGTCGCTGATCGGACCAAAGTCGGCGTCGATGACGGGGACGTCTGGATTGATGATACCGTGATCTTGACTGTTGGCTGCGAGAGGACGAGAGTTAGGGGTTAGGTATACTGTAGGCACGGTGATCCTCTAGCAGCGACTCCGAGCCCACTCACCCCCGACTCGGATACAGGGCGGCGAGCCGACCTTGTCGCCGAGGTTGCGCAGCATCTGCTTGACGTAGACGTTAGGCTTGCCTACCTCGGGTCCCGCCCAAGTGTCCCATCGATCCATCTCTATCGACAGTCCGATGAGATTGGCCGACAGGGCCTGCGCTCGTTGCGGTCGACGCAGAGGAATCGCGACGACGCCATGTTCGTCCCGATGTCTGATCGGAAGCGGGAAAAGTACGGGTCGGACGAACATCTTGATTGACGTCGGACGATCGACGTTTTCAGCGAGAAAGTTATCAAGCAGAGGTGTGGACTCGGGATCTTACCCTGCTGGACCATCCTGCAGCGCGCATACCTGTTATAGCGATCGCTCGACCGCGCCCTCGGACCGCCTTGTCCACGTTTTGCCACCACCACATGACCCTGAGAGTGGACAAAGTGGAAGAAGAGATGCCGTAAGTCGCCGCCCACGCCTCGCCCGCGAGCGTCCACTTTGACCCACTTTCTGAACGATGTTCCTCCCGATTCAGCTTGTTCACCTTGCTTTGGCCCCCCCTGACCACTGCTGTCAGTCTACCACAATGCTCAGCGAGACAAACTCAGTAGTGACATCACCGGCCGACCTTTCGATGGCTAACATGCTAGACTCGGAATTGCGAGTTGGACAATCCCTAGGCTCGAATCTACGGCCAGCCTGATCGATACCTCGATGCTCGAGAACCAACTCCCACCACAACAACAACCACAACCACAGCCTTGTCGCTGTCACTGCGGCAAGGTCTTCAGTCGACCGGAAAACCTCGCGAGGCACGCTCGGAATCGTACGTCGTCCTCGCTCTTAGCCAAGGTGCTGAAAAGGTCGAAACATGGGCACGCGAGCTGAGTCTGAGGAGTCGACGTTGTATTGTATACAATCAGACGATACGGTCAGACCGTTCAGATGCTTGGCTCCCGGTTGCGGCAAGGCTTTCACCCGATCAGATCTGCTCAGGCGGCACGGACAGCTTCACGGGGATCAGGAGGAGACCGGCCGGTTAGAGGGGGCCAACAAGAGGGCTGCTTCGTCGACGTTAGATGAGCCTATGGGAAAGGTCAGTGAGCCGCATGGGGATTCGCCTCGAAGCCGATCTCCACAGATTTACATGCTCAGAGTGAAAGCGACTGAAAAAAGGCACCTCCCGCTTGTCGTTCATCCGCTCCACAGCGTCTCGCTCTCGAAGATCCCTCTCGACCCTCGATCGACCTCGACGGGACGTTTGTATCGCACCCGACTTTGGCTCTGGGCGTCGATCGATTGGTACCGGAACTCGAGCCTCGAGACGGCCCCGATGAGGAAGAGGACGATGAAGGCCTAGGACCGCTCTTGCCGGACGACTTGTTGCCATGGGGTAGGTCGGTACACAGAATGGGGCTGATCCTTGACGACGCTTACCAGGGCAAGGGGCCCATTACCTTCGGCTATACCTCCCTGGCTTGTGATCTGGCAGACAACGGGATGATGTGGTTCTTGAACGATTCCTGGTCGATCTGTCCGATCGAAGAACCGCAGGTCGGGTCGGATACGGTCCAGGTGGAAAGTCGAGCGGCGACCCCACCGATCGAGAGTAGCGACGAGGACAAGTGGCGTGAGTCGTATGTGCTGCTCCGGAGATATTCGGAGGATCGGGCGAAAGCTGATCGGGAGTGCACCGAAAAAAACTGAAAACAACCATAAACGACGGGACAGCTACGAATTGGGATGCTCGTGGGAGGATCCCGTTCGGAGCCGGGGCAACGATCCCGTCCATCCTGCCAGCAGACTTTGAGGGTATTCACGGTAGATGGGGCCGGTTCTGGATCTCGGAGACGCTACTGGCGCGGATACAGCAGAGCTTGAGTGAGTTCGTCCACGCCTGGTCCCCCCCTTGACGACCCTCGTGGTTTGTCTTGAGCTGAATCTCGCCAAGGTCGGCCGGTCGTGTAGCCGTAGCTACGAAGGCACCCGGAGCGGATCTATCGGGATTCAGGATGCCCGAATCGCTCGACCTGATCAATCACTTTGTGTCTCGTGAGCGTCGCATGTTTCCGGGGTGGCCTGGTTTCGAGCGACGTGCTCACGGGTCCCATGCTCGACAGTGTACTTTGACAAGTTTGAGGCGCAGATGCCGATCATCCATCTCCCGACTTTTCGTATCGACGAGGCCGATCCGCTGCTCGTCGCCTCGATGATCTCGCTCGGAGCCACGTTCTCTCGGCTTCCTGGATCCAAGACGTTCTCGACCGAGCTGGTCGAAGTCGTTCGCAGATGCATCAACGTGTTGTTTGAACTGGACAGTGCGAACGTGAGTCATGGCGCAGCAGGCAAACAGGACGGACGTCGCTCAAAGCCCGGATCTTTCGTGGATGTAGCTGCGCAGCGTCGACCTGGTCCACGTCTCGATGCTGTCTTGCATTTCAGGATTGTTGAGTGGGACCAAGCGGAGCTACGAGATGGCAGAGGCGGCCCGAGGTGTCTTGGTTACCGTGAGTGCGCGATCGAGGATCAGTCTATCAGGCCCCCTTTCCCGAGACCGACCGCTGATCCTGTGTCTCTGCTACTTTCAGCTCTGTCGACGAGCCGACCTGCTGAACTCGTCGTCCTCGTTGAGGCAGCTCGCGCTCACGGACAACGGTGGCACCGATCCGTCGGGACGCTGGCTCAGGTGGGCTCGCGCAGAAAGTCGTAAACGCTTAGGGACCTGCATATGTCTGCTCGACTCGATGTTCCCGGCCATGCACGACACTCCAGCGTACATCTCGCAGGGACAGATGACGGGCGTGGTGCTTCCGTGTGACGAGGTCTACTGGCAGGCCACCTCGGCTAGGATGTGGACCGACTCGCTGGGGATCGCGGGCATCCCGCCGTCGCCTTTATTCGCCTCTGCGTGAGTGATTTTGCGAAGGACATAGCCACGCTGGGGCAGTGTTGCCCAAGATTGAGACGCTTTTGTCGCAGCATCTCTGCCATCCTTACACCTATACGGATACCGCGCGAACTTCGTCCCGCACCCATTCGATCGCTCAGTCCGTTCGGAGGGCTCGTCTTGATAAGCGCGCTGCAGCATCATATCTTTGGTGAGTCGCTTGAGATGGTATCTCTGTTCCAGTACCGTCGACTTCCGCTGACACGACGTCGCTTCTTTATTCCCCCGGCCTCATCCCCCCCTCTCTTCACCAGAGTACGGCGCGCAATCGGACGTCTACCATTCGATCGGGGTTCACGTGCCCGTGTTATCAGAGGTCGAGGGCTCCCATGGCGGCTTCGAGGGCAGACGCAAGGTGGGTTCTAGGGCTATTTGAGCAGACAAACGAGCGACAGCTGACGTTGTCAATCTGACGGCTCGACAGTGGCTGCGACAATCGCTCGAGTCTTGGCGTACACATTATCACAACGGCGATGAAGCCGATCCGATGGTTCGGGCTGGTCAAGTGCTCTATCACGTGGGTCATATCGCTCTCGCGGTCAATATCCGCGTCTTGTTCACCGCGGCAGGAAGTGAGTCTCGCAACGGCCAGGCGCCGTAGAGGTGATGGGGTCCCTCGGTCGCTGACTGGAACTGCTCCTCTGTTAGAGATGGGATGGGAGACGGCGCGCCGTTCTCTGCCGGATCTGGAAGCTTGGGCAGGGACCGGACAGGCCGAGGTGGCGACGAAGCATGCTCTCGATCTATTGGACGTGCTTGCAGCGCCGGGCTCGGTCGACCTGTTTTACCTGCCAGGAAGCGCTTTCATCGCCGTGCTAGCGCTATGGGCTGCTCGCAAGAAAGGTTCGATACCAAGTCCGGCATCGCTCGAACGCATGATCCGACTAGGTATGCACGTGCACTAGGACGCTTGCGCGGCCAACGCCAAAGCCGTACTCGAGTTTGGCGTCGGGTTCTTGGAATCGTTCAAGGCATGGAGATTCGGGACGGCGTTGGCGTTGGTTCTCGCCAAACAGCTCGAGAAGGAGGAGGCCGATGACTTTGTCGGAATTGGTTCTGGCTGAAAACGATAGATCCGGGCGATGTCATTTTCCAGCCATGTATAGCGAAGACGATGCCGATCTTCACGAGACCATGCGACGATGTCGCGCACACTCTGCCAAACTCACTACCTGATAGTAGGATGGCGATTTCAGTGTTGCACCATGGTGTACCAACCTAGGACAGTGTTCAGAGTCATTTGCAAGCTTGTTGCAGCAAGGGAAGCACTCGAGTTTGAGTGAAATCATTGAAACGTCGAGTTTCGACTTGCAAAGGGGTTAGTGATGATTCCGAGAGAACGGGGAGGTTGTGAGCGGACAGCAACGTGTTGAGCTGTTGTTCAGAGTCATGACAAGGCTAACAAAGCCACGGGACCCAGCTCTGACCTCGCGTCCACGTCTAATACTAAATTTTCGCAGCTAAAGTGCCCCCCCACAAGACAAGCGGAAAACACGCAACCCACACTTGTTTGTGGGACAGAGAACAGTCCAGGCAATTTTGCCAGCTTGTTCAGCTGTCAGACCACCCATCTCAAGTTGTCTCACGTCCCTAGCGATGACTGAGCACTCTGAGCGAATTTCGAAAGGTTTAACGTGTTTTGCAATGATTGCGAGCGAGTTTGTCGTGTTTCTGCAACAACCTGATAGTAGGATGGCGATTTCAGTGTTGCACCATGGTGTACCAACCTAGGACAGTGTTCAGAGTCATATGCAAGCTTGTTGCAGCAAGGGAAGCACTCGAGTTTGAGTGAAATCATTGAAACGTCGAGTTTCGACTTGCAAAGGGGTTAGTGATGATTCCGAGAGAACGGGGAGGTTGTGAGCGGACAGCAACGTGTTGAGCTGTTGTTCAGAGTCATGACAAGGCTAACAAAGCCACGGGACCCAGCTCTGACCTCGCGTCCACGTCTAATACTAAATTTTCGCAGCTAAAGTGCCCCCCCACAAGACAAGCGGAAAACACGCAACCCACACTTGTTTGTGGGACAGAGAACAGTCCAGGCAATTTTGCCAGCTTGTTCAGCTGTCAGACCACCCATCTCAAGTTGTCTCACGTCCCTAGCGATGACTGAGCACTCTGAGCGAATTTCGAAAGGTTTAACGTGTTTTGCAATGATTGCGAGCGAGTTTGTCGTGTTTCTGCAACAACCTGATAGTAGGATGGCGATTTCAGTGTTGCACCATGGTGTACCAACCTAGGACAGTGTTCAGAGTCATTTGCAAGCTTGTTGCAGCAAGGGAAGCACTCGAGTTTGAGTGAAATCATTGAAACGTCGAGTTTCGACTTGCAAAGGGGTTAGTGATGATTCCGAGAGAACGGGGAGGTTGTGAGCGGACAGCAACGTGTTGAGCTGTTGTTCAGAGTCATGACAAGGCTAACAAAGCCACGGGACCCAGCTCTGACCTCGCGTCCACGTCTAATACTAAATTTTCGCAGCTAAAGTGCCCCCCCACAAGACAAGCGGAAAACACGCAACCCACACTTGTTTGTGGGACAGAGAACAGTCCAGGCAATTTTGCCAGCTTGTTCAGCTGTCAGACCACCCATCTCAAGTTGTCTCACGTCCCTAGCGATGACTGAGCACTCTGAGCGAATTTCGAAAGGTTTAACGTGTTTTGCAATGATTGCGAGCGAGTTTGTCGTGTTTCTGCAACAACCTGATAGTAGGATGGCGATTTCAGTGTTGCACCATGGTGTACCAACCTAACTATATTTCGCCAGTAGCGTCGCGTCTTTGCCTAGTTAAATCGCGCCTCGCTATTGTTTTTTTCGACCGCGTCTAGCGGCCCGTCATTGTCGTCGAGCACCGTCGCTCCACCCCCTAATCCTCCCTCGAACCTCTCTCCCACAGCAAGCGACACACGTCGACTGGCCTGTACTATCGATTTTCGATCTGGCCTGTACTATCGATTTTCGATCATCGACTTTCGACCCTCCGACCGTCCTCTATCCGAATCTCAATCCTCTCCCTCACAGCAAGCGACACACGTCGACTGCCCCGTACTATCGATTTTCGATCATCGACTTTTGACCCCCCGACCACCTTCTATCCGAATCTCACTCCTCTCCCTCACAGCAAGCGACACACGTCGACTGCCCCGTACTATCGATTTCCGATCATCGACTTTCGGCACATCGAACCTGGGCAAACAAACTTCAATCTTTTGCCTCCTCACACGACATTTCTTGTGGCATGTATGCTGTTTCCCGTTAACCCAGGAATCCCTAACATCTGCCCATTAAAGCTCGCTCTTGTCTTCGCATCCACGACCCCTATGCCATCGACTATCGATCATCGATCTTCGGACGTCTGGCCACCAAAGTCCACTGTCATCTCTTCGCATCCACGACCCCTATGCCATCGACTCTTCATCTTAGATCTCGGACGTCTGGTGATTAAAGCTCACTGTCATCTGAGTCCCGTGATCTCGCTGCCATCCTTGACCACGCGATTTTCTGGTTACTCGATCTTCGCATCCTCTCCTCTAGTCCAGTCGACACACGTCGAACGCCCTATACTATGCATTCTATGTACTTTCCATTGTCAGCGCATTCCCCCTCTTTTCGCTGCGCACGGTTCAGGCGCTTTCTTAGGTCGAATCGTGACATGAATCGCAATCATTGTCTTTCCCATTGATTGTTCAAGGCCATGGTACATTACGAGCTCTTACACCGTTTTCTGGGCTGATCACCCTTTACTGATACGTCTACCTCCGTCCTCTCACAGCTTCCCTACGCTGCTTCCCGTTCATAACTCCCACCTGTCCTACAATTCTATATCTTTTCGCGGAGGTTGTCATCCGGCTCTCGCACCGCTCTTACCTTCTTTCGACTCAGCCGATAATCCTGATCTCCTCTCCTCTTCGCACGACACACGTCGACAGACTATCTTTCGCCCGGTTGATACTCTCTCCGCGGTGTCGTATGACCGTCACTACGAGATTCATAGCTTTCACACTTACGTCTTCCGTTCTCGTTTTTTTCGCATCGACCGGAAGCAACTCGCCCGTCATGCCGGCCCAGTTGCTTCCGCTGCATTGCATGTCTTCACTTCGCTCTCCCTTGGCCTCGTAGCCTCAGATCCTTCCTTGCTGCTCGCTGCTCGTTGCCTTTTCATACCTTTGCGTCAAGAAGAACGCGTTCTTTCCCCGGCCTGCAATCGTTCACGCGACTTGCTCCTTCCCCTTCGGCACTCCGGGACTCCTCAACAACCCTTTTTGGCGACCGCTGTAAGCCACTGACAATCGCTGAGCCTCTTGTTGACTACATCAGGATATTTCGCAAGCAAGCATTTCCCGTTGCGTCCTACTTTAGACAGCATTCTCATTCAACTCGAACATTGCGATGCCTCGAGGCTTTTGTCGGCCCTCGACCACTTGCAATGCGTTTTGACATTCCCTGCTCACCTAGAATTCTATAATCCCGAAAGAAATGCATATTCCCGCACTCTGCGAACTGACGAACATGTTTACATTGTCAACTCGAGGTCCTCATCAGCGCGACTCGCGACGTGATTCACGTGTCTCCATATAAGCTATCCTGGATGTTCATCGAGCTTCCACTCTTCATCGCGTATGTCTTTGTACCTCCTCGTCACCCTCCTCCCTTCCAGCTTTCTCAACTCTTTCCTTGTTCCTTACCATGCCTGCCCCTTCCCAACCTGTTCAGTGTCCTCACTGCCCGGCCCTTATTACTCCTCCCCAAACTCTGAAGGTCCACACGCGCCAACACTCGTTGAGATCGGTTACCTGCCTCGGTCGGTATCCGCTTGACCTTTTGGTTCCGCTCGCACCCGTCTTGATCTGACGATTCTTTTCGACAGGTTTTACTTTTGCTCGTCATGGGCCGGACCCTCATTCCGCTTACACTTGCAACTGTGGCTATAGTAACACCAAACGTAACACCTTCTACAATCATGTGAAGGCTTGTTCGTCTGTCGTGCAGTTTGGGACCGCAGATCTCGTTCTGTCGAGCGATTTTTCTGACGACGATCACCATGAAGACTATCATCAGGATGATTTCCACATCGATGATTTCATTCACCTACCTGCTGGCGAGGATCCTTTCGGGTTCGACCAACCCTTTCCCATCAATCCCGCTACTCCTCAGCCAGCTCCGGCAGAGGAACGTCGTTCTCGAGACTCCTCGACCCCGGAGGACGCCTTCCTCGCCAACGTACCCTCTTGGTCGTTGAGCGTTCCTCCTCCCGGCCGATCTACGCTTTCCTTTGGACAAGTAGACTCGGCTGCTTCCAAGCGGGCCGCAGAAGATGTCAAGCTCTCTCCTCGTCGAGGTTCGCCCAGGTCTTCAACATCCAAATCCGACACTCCGGAGTGGGAGGATAGTCCGTCTCCGAAGAAGAAGGTCCGGACCAGCACCTCCCCTCGGTCACCTCAGCTCGCTCCCGTTGCTTTTGTCCCCCACCTTCCCGCTTCGGTTCATCTCAATCAGCACGGCAGGGATGCTGTTTCTTTCGGCACTGTGGGCGCCTTTCCTACACTTTGGGAGGATGATCCCCATGGCACTCGAAACTGGATGCCACCTCAGGCTGAAGACACTCCCTGGGCGGTTGAAGCAAATGGGTCGTATCCCGCTGCCTCGGTACCGGACGTAGAAATGCCTATGCCCAGTTCACGAGATCTTGGGCGAGAAATCCTGGCTGGCTGTTCTCATGAAGATATCGCTCCGGTGCAAGAGCTGGGTTCGACTCTTCCGGTCGACGACCCCGATGCCAAGTTTGACGAAATCGAGGATGAGCTTATGAAGCTTCGTATGGATTCTGAACAACCTTCGGATTCACACGGTTCACTCGACGGCACCCCTCATTCGGATGTTTTATACGGTCAGTCTACAACATGCCTCGCGCACCACTCTTCATGAATTCTCATCCCGTGCTGTTCTCATTCTTTCCGTAGTCAGCCCAGCTTTGTCCCATTTCGGACTCCTCTTCAATATGCATGTGGGCGTAGCCCATTGCACCCATCCTCGACATACGGGTACATCGCCCCTGTACAATCAGGCCACATTGGACCGATTGATAACCCACCTTCGACGGTTTCACAAGGACCAAAGTCATCCCGAATACCTCCACTCTGTCCGCATCGAAATCAACGAACGGTTAGGGAACGTTCAATCTGGCTTGCTGCAAGATTCTTATCTAGCCCGTGATATTGAAGCTCCGCTACCCCCACCCATCTCTGGAATACCTATTGCGGAGGTCTTCCAATGTCTGCATCCTGCTTGCGATTACCGGACTCCCGGGGTATCTCACCTCTATGCTCATCAGCGTAAAGAACACAACAGGACACGTGATGGGGAAGACAAACCGATTGGCAAACCGTACAAGATGATCTGGGCCCAATCCATTGGCTTGAACCCGTCGACCTGGTGTGTAGTGGCCCGAAAGGCCACGAACCCGTTGGTGCCCAAGGTCGACCGATTCCCAAAGTTCACCTCGGTCATGCGGCCGCTCATATCGATGAGTCGACCCAAGGTCAAGGACGCGCTCGCGAATCTCAATAACGGAGTCCGACAAATGAGCGACTTTCATAGTCAGATCGGTTGGGATACCCAGCTGGAGACTGTTGGTTTGCTCGATCTGGCTCGGTTAGGCTTCCCGAAGCCGCTCGATACCGACGCTCCTTGGATCACCTATCTCTATCGTCACGCCGACAAAGTCTGGGACGGATGGGCCAAAACCCTGTCTCGAAACATGGGCGTCCCGTTCCGTAAGCTCCTCAAAGGGGAGAGCGCACACTCTGGACGAAGCGAATTCCAAGCGCTTCAACCGGATTCGCGCCGCATCTACGCCAAGACGTTTCGGCGAATCATCTTGGTCACGTTGAGATATACCAGCCACTGTCTTGCGGAACCGAGCGGCAACCGTCATGACTGGCAGATCGAGGCTCCGGTGCACAAACAGTTCCTCTGTTTGCGGGACCGGTTCTCGGCCGTCGATTCTGCACCTTCCCGACTTGTGCCATGGGCGGAGATGCTAGTTCCTCAGCAAGAAGAGATTTCGGATTGCATCCATCTTTGGTTCGACACACTGGTCAAGACCGCATATCAGATCAAGGATCTCTGGCACGATCCGCTCCAATGGTTCATGCTCTCGTCTACCGTTCAGAGCCATGCGTCCGACTCGGATCGGCCAAAGGACCTTTTCTTTTCCGAAGAGGACGGGGATCAAGCAGCGATAGCCGACAACCTCGATGCTGCTGAGTTGGCTGACGAATCGGACGTCGTTCAGCTCATCGCACCGAACCACTATTCCGGTGTCTTTGCCCACCTGCAATACTCGATCCGGCTGCTACTTTGGACGCAAGCGTGCGAAATTTACGACAGCATCACATGCAACGATTCGGAAGCGCAGATACTGGAGCAGTATTGTCACGCCGACAACGCCCAGTACATCTTTGCCTGGGTACGACGTGCCCTGTGCACAGCTCGGATGGCACGCCGCGATCTGCCACCTCGTCTCACGATGGGATATTCTGCCTCCCAATTCTACATTTCGATCGGCCGGATTTCCGTCACCCAGCAGCGCTTGACCGTTGCTGCCGGTCGTATCGTCACGCGGCTGTCCGAGTTTCTCGAAGAAGAATTGCTTTTGGGATTGGGCACCTCACTCGTGGATCAAGACTCGAACTTGCCAGTAGCCGACACGTTGCGCAGAGAGACGTTGGGGTACTCATTCATGACGGACACAGGCAACGAGTTTTACGAAAAGCATGCCGAAGTCCTCCAGGCCATCGCCTCGTCTCCTCCGTTACAAAAGAAGTTCTACGGTACCCTGGCAGACGGGACTGTTTTCCTGGACCGCCAACGGATGCTGAGATACCTCGACCATCAGAAGACTTTCCTCGGCCTACTCTTTACGGCCCTTCACCTTGCCTGTGCCGTCCCTTCACGCGCTGCCGAGTATAATACGCTGTTGCTCTCGGAGACGGGAGATCGTCACCGATCTTTATACCACGACCCCAACGGGTTGTTTCTCATTTTCCGTTATACCAAGCAGACCGCCGTCTTTGGATTCGGTCAACCGGTCCCCAAATACGTTGGCAACAGGGTCGGAGCGATTTTGATTCGGTACTTGACATTCGCCCTTCCGACCGCCCGCGCTTTTGCCCAGAAGCTGCGCCTAGACGATGGCCTTGTAGGTCATTCACCGTCAGACGCTCTGTCTACCCACCTTTTTGCCACTCATACTGGGATATTGCCTGGGCACTTCCTCACCTCGAGGTTTCGCCACATTATGCAGACGGTAGGAGACCTTCCCTTGTCGATGTCTGACTATCGCCATGTATGTATAGCATTCGCAAGGAAGTACATCTCGCCCGAACTCTCCGACATGAGCACCGTCCCGGAGCTCATCGAACTGGCTGCCAACCATACGGCTCGGACGGGTCGGGAACTCTATGCGCATCACCAAGAGGAGCCCGAGAACGGCATGGCCGAACGTTTGCTGCAACAACATCTGATATGCACGGCTTGGCAGGGGTGGATCGGGCTAGGTCCCAAGTTCAACCCGAAGAAGATGAACGACCTTCCCGCAAGCGGATCGCCAGACGCACGACGTCTCGCTCAACAACTTGCCGCTGTCGATGGCAACGTCAAACAGACCCCTCCGGCTGATCTGGCTCTCGCTCTCACGTTTGCCATCGAATGTCTCGAGCAGGAGGTCCGTCAGGCATTGTTCCGGGCCACCGCCCAGGTCACGTCTGGGCCGCCTCCTCTAGCACAAAAGGTCTCCCTTTCCGGAGTCACGGATCCTTGCTTGGTGGGAGGGTTGCAAGCGGCTCTCGGTGACGATCGAGCTCGATTCAAGGACCCGTCAATGCTTCGCACCCTGGACGTGATCTTGCATCGGGGCCAAGACGTATTGGCCATCTATCCGACTGGGTCTGGTAAGAGTACGCTCATTTGGCTACCATCGTTGCTTTCCGAGGGGGTTACCGTCATGATTTCTCTTCACCAGCGCCTCACTGAAGACATTTTGCCTACTGCCGCGCGAACCGGTCTGAATGTGGTCCGGTACAGCGCAGATCTTACGATTGGAGCCTGCCCTCGACTCGTCTACGTTGCGGTCGAAAACATCACCTCGGACCATTTTTGCGAATTCATCAAGTCGCTTCATGCCGCCAAGATGCTCGACCGCATCGTTATCGACGAGGTTCATACGGTTCTTCTTCAAGTCAACTTTCGGCAGAAACTCAGAGCGCTGCTCCACCTCAAGGCAAAGCTGAACCTCAAAGGCGTTCCGAGTTTATGGCTGACGGCAACGCTGCCTCCCCACTGGGAACCTATCCTCGCTCGATGGTTGGATACAACTATCAACGACGTCTACGTGGTCCGCGCATCCTCTAACCGGCCTAACCTTCGATACCTCCAAGTTGACGACAAGGCTCTTTCCTCTTCCGCCAACATCACGACAGACGCTTGGAACAAGGCAGTGGTTGCCTTTATAGCGAAGGAGTTGGACGGCTGTCTGACGGGCGATAACGACGACCCGACACGGATCATCGTCTACATCCCCTACGTCAAAGATATGGTCGACGTCCACGCCGCCTTCTTCAAGCATGCCGGCGCAATTTGGCCTTCGGAGCTGTATCACGCTCAGCTTCCCATCGAGGAAAAGAACAAGTCGTTCGCCAACTGGATGACTGGCGTCAGCAAGATCATGTTCGCCACCTCTGCTTTGGGCCAAGGTGTGGATTGCCCTCATGTGCGCAAGGTCTTCTTTGTCGGGAACCCTTTCAACGTTGTCGATTTCGCGCAGCAAGCTGGTCGGGCTGGTCGGGATGGATCTCCTGCAGACATCTATATGATCCCGCCTCTTCGGTCCAGGGACCCCTTTGTGCCAAACGCAGCCGACAAGGATCCGTCTCTGACTGATCTCGAACGAAGTTTGTTGAAGGGTCTGGAATCCGTTTTCTACGAATCGGGACCGCTATCGCCCTATCAACAAGTTTACAAGATTTTCTGCAAGCCTCGCGACTGCATACGGCGTCAACTGACCACCCTTCTCGACTCGATTTCTTCCTCGTGTTTCACAGGGGGCCCAGGTACGGAACTCTGTTCGCTATGCGAAAGCGAGCTTGATGAAGCTCGGAACCCTCGGGATCCTTCGCATCCGTTTCGTCTGGTGCAAGACCGCCGCCTCATTCAAGCAAGATCGACTGTCATTGGCCCTGGTATCCGTTCGGGTCCTGCCGAACCCACGGCTTCGACCCCGGCTCCAGTTGTCACCGCTCCACTGCCTGCCCCGACCCTCAAGTCTTCTGAGCCGGTCCGTCGCTTCAAGCCCCTCTTTCCCGCACCTTCGCCGATCGCAACAGGTTCAACTCGTCGTGGACGAACCGTCATCAAGGTTGAAGAGACCGCTCCCGCCCCGACCCGTAGGCTCAACAGTCCTTCGTCGCCTATCGTGATCGATTCGAGTTCCCCCGAACCTGAGGCACGGCCGGTTACAAGGCGCCCGGCACCGAAGAAGCGCTCACATCATCCTCCCTTTGTTCAGTCCAGCCTGGCAAGCGCCGATCCGCCCGTCCAGAGTTCGTTAGCCATCAAGAAGACGGGTAAATCGGTGGCCCAGAAGAGGTTTTTGGCTCATCCTGCCTTTGAGGCCGAGAGACCAGGCCATGCTGTGGATTCGGTCGCTGGGGAGACTGTCGACGACCAACCTCGTCTTCCGGGACTGTCCTTCCTGGGCGAACGGACGCCACCCCCACCATCTGGGCCAGGCGTCTCGAAGAACTTTGGCATTGCCCCCGCTCGGCCATCACCGGTGGACTCGGTATCGGCCAAATCGTCTTCCTATGGTGCGTGTCCTTCCTTTTGGAACCAGGTCGCCTTTCCGGAAGAAACGCAAGCGGGAAAACCCCTCTCTTTCCAGGAGGCTCTTCCTTCCACGGGCGGATCGCTGCTCTCCTCCAGCGTTCCTCCACACGACAGGCCGCCCGTCCCAATGTCGTCTGTCGTCATGCAACCTTTTCCTTTGCCGCCTCAGATCAACCCTATCGGACGCAATCACGAGCTTGTGGATCGGTTCTTGGACCGTCTTTACGCCGCTTGGTTGAAATCTCTCCGCCAGGGCATACTTGATCGACGTGACTCCCAGTTGATCCCTTGCGGGGTCTGCTTCGTCGCCAAACGGGGCCAGGACTTTTGGCATACCGACGGCGAACTTGCGTGTCCCACACGGCCGTCAAGCTCTTGCTTCAAATGTCTTCGACAGGGACATCAGAGGTCTGCATGCCCGCAGACCACCCTCCCCCGTCGTTTTCAGTTTCAAGGTGGCCGTTGCTTTCAATGCGGCGAACGTCCGTTCACACGGTTGTGTCCTTTGCAGTCGTTCGTCCCCGACATCATTCACACGATTGCTCTCCGGGACGACTGGATCCGCCTTATCGGCCAACATCACCACATCGACCAGGTCGCATCAAGGGGTCGTGCGGTTGACTTTGATCTGCTTCGGGAATGGTTCTTTGAACCTCGCCAACACTATGGACATGTTCCACACTTTTTCGAGTTTTGGCTCGAGTGGTTGATCCGTCCCGAAGAAGTACAGAGGTTATTGAATTCGGCGGAGTAGTGTCACTACTCTTGTCTGCGTAATTCGAACGAGACGCACGGTGGCAGCCGCTTGTCGATCGTTGTTCCGTGGCATTCATTCAACTATGATTAATATTCATTTCTATTGTCGATCGATGCTCTGCCGTGGTCTACATCGCTTGCGGTCCGCGATGTCGTCTGTTACCTATTTTTTTCCACAAGTTCTCCATTCGATCGGCCTCGCACTTTCGGTTCCGAACATGACCTCCACTTTTGGTCAGAGGGCCGGAGATGGCCGATTTCGAGATTTTCGATCGTCAATTGACCATGGCTGTAGCGAGTTGCCAGATGCATATGAATCGCATGAAACGAGAGCAAGAGACGCATTCTTGTGCAGGTCGTTTCAAGAGACCTCTATCCACCTACACATGACGTCAGGTATGACGTAGATCGTTTCAACGTCATAGAGAACTTTTGACGTCAGTGCGATGGTCAAGAACGTCTTTCAAGACTTCCCGTTGCATATATATAAAGCTAGCCAGACTCGTTTCGACTGGGGTTGTCCCCCTTCCTTCAAGATGGACACCACTCGAGCATTCCTAAATCACCATGCCGGATCCACTCGAGACTTTAGCACCCGACACTCTCCGCCTCGTCAGCTCTCCGGACCTGCTGGACGAGTTTTCACTCCAATTACAAAAGCTGCCCCATGAAGAAGCCCAGCGTATCTGTCTCGACCACCTGGCATCCCTTCCTCGTCCTTGCGAGTCCGTATTCGCTCTCGCCCATCTTTGCTACCAATACCTCGTACCGAACGGTGGTTCGGCGTCCGCTTCAACGCTCGGAGCCGTAGGACCAGTCGCTCCGGCCGCTCTTCAAGCCATCGAAGAGTGGGCAACGTTCTTTCACAACCGTCAGAATGTCATCAACATGGCCACAAAGATAGCTCAAGGATGGAAGCTCGACGGGATTGAAAACTTTCGACACGATCAGATGAAACCGCCTCCCGATCCTACGCCTAAGTATCTGCGTGCTCTTAACTCGCTGCTCTTGGCCGGACCGAGTAAGGAGGAGGCATTGGAATTGGTCCATACGGCTTGGGACAAGCGCTGCAAAGACGCTGCATCGGGTCGTCATGGAGGAACGGCTACCCCCTTCATCAGTTCGATCGATCTCGTGAACGCTCGAGGCGCCTACCGACAGAGCCACGGTCAGGATCCCACCTCTTCTGAGGAACCCGGGTCGAATCGCAAGAGACAGCGTGACAGCGTCGAGGCAGACGGAGACCGCCTCGATGGCGCCGTTCAGGACAGTTCCGGGTCGGGATCCTCGGGGCCACCTCCACTCAAGAAGAGCGGTGGCCCACGACGTACCCCTCGATCTGATGTGCATCAGACCCAGCTTCAACAGATCATCGATTGCAAGGTCTGTAGCACCTCTGCGCGCGAGCGGCTTTGCACTCACAGGGAGACCGGACACGCAGACCGTGTTCTGGATGGCGATGGCATGGATACTCTGCTCAGGGGTTAGGGGTTAGGGGTTAGGGGTTTTAATGATAGATCTAGGATGCATTCAAGGTTCAATTTACAAGAGAAGGTGTTTGATAATAGAGAAAATATCTAAGAAATCGAGAATTCGGCCATTCACAGTCAAAAGCAGTCATTTCCACAATCCAACTAATCTATACGCAGTAGTGACACCGTCTGTCAAGTATCTACTCATGTGGCAAAGTGCCGGGTCCTTGCTCTCAGTAGGATGAGGGAGATCCTGCGTCCCATGAATCCAAAGGCCGTTTCGGACATGACCTTTTGCCATTCTTGGAACACCTTGAGCGTCTCCTTTTCCTGAGCACCGCCGATGCTGAACACCAACGGCCGGAACGGGGTCTTTGTCTTCCCCTCGTACTTCTTCCGCTTGGCATCAGCTGATACCGCCAAAACCGCTTGGAGTTCTCCCTTGTACTCGTGCTTCTCCTCGCCTATCCACTTGAACTTGCGGGCCTCAAGTGTTCCCATGCTGACGACCGTGAGGTCGAACTCTTGGGGTCCAGTACCGGTTTCCCGGTTACCAAACACCCTCAAGTCCGTACGGTTCATTCCGCCGGATACCATCGGCTCTACTTCCACCGTGCCGAATTTACCAGAGGACTTTAGAGCATCCGCCATGACGTGTTTGATCTGTTCGTGCCTAGAAACCCTCCACCTCGGTCTCTTTTCGCACACGTCATCATGCCCCAGCTCGTTCTCCTTTCCACAGTCCGCACACATCGTTTTGTGCCCAGGACACAGCGTCCTCAGGTGAAGAGCAGCAGAGATCTCAAAGTCGGAAAGACTAAGTGATTTAGGGGTTAGGGGTTAGGGGTTAGGGGTTAGGGGTTAGGGGTTAGGGGTTAGGGGTTAGGGGTTAGGGGT